AGCATGCCGACTTCAAGCGAGACCTCCCGCACTTCCTTGGATGGTGTCGTTGTAAATTCCGGCGAACCCTGGGCAACCGCGATGATGTTCGACACGTCGGCGGTACCGATTTTCACGGGACAAAATTACTCCGCGTGGAAGTTTAAGTTCCAAGTGCTCATGATGGAGCGGGGACTTTGGGGTTTCTTCAATGGAACGGAGAAGAAGCCGGACGATGAGAGCGGCATCGCGGCATGGAAGAAGAAGGACCAAAAGGCGTTCGCTACGTTGATTTCGCGCATCGGCATCAATCTTGTGAGCTCGGTGCGGATGTGCATCAAGCTCGAAGCGTCGGCGCATGAAGCGTGGAAGCGGCTCGAGACCATCCACGTGAACAAGACTCTCCACGCCAAGATCCTAGCCCGGAATGCATTCTACACGGTGAAGATGCGCGCGGGCGAATCGATGCACGAGTATGCGACTCGTGTGGAGGAACTTGGGGAAACGTTCATGGACCTCGGTGGAACGGTCACGGAGGAGGATTGGATTTTTGCTATGCGGCCTTCCGGAAGAGTGGTCGACGGTGATTACGACACTCGATAGCGTGCAAGACACTTGGACGAAGGAAATGGTGGTCGGTCGGCTTCTCCATGAAGAATCGCGTCGCCGACAATTCGCTAATGAGAGCGAGGGTGCCGCCATGTTCTCCGGGGGGAGTTCCGGAAAGAAGTCCACGTGGAGCAAGAGTGCGACGAAGAAGTCGTTCGGTGGAAGCGATCGCGGCAAGAGAAACACATCGAATGGCTCGAGCAAGTGCCACTATTGTGGCAAGGCGGGACACTTTTGGCGTGAGTGTCGGAAGTGCCCGAGCGATTGGACTCCATCGAAGGCGCGGAACCACGAGGGCAACGCACACACGGCATCTGGCGATGCGGATGATTCAAGGGAGTCGATCGTATTATTGGCCGGTGACGGGACCAACACACCAAGCGACGCATGGTTCCTTGACACCGACGCAACACAACACATGACGCACTCGGCATCGTTCCTCACCAACGTTGGTGCACCGAGAGACGTAACGCGCGTCGTCTTCGGAAACGACAAGTCGCTACCGGTGGTCGGAGTTGGAAGTACGCGCCTCATCGTCGATGGCGGACCGGTGGACATCACGAACGTGCTTCACGTCCCGGGGTTGAAGGTGAATCTCCTCTCCGTCACTCAACTCGCGAAGAAGGGTGTGAAGGTCACTATCGACGATGCGAAGATGAACCTCTTTTGGAAGGGGAAGCAATTCGCACAAGGCGTTCTCAACGGAGAACTCTACCAACTCAAGACGCACCCGGGAGCGGCTTCATCCAACGTGGCGCAAGGTTCCAACGCGACTCTCAAGGCGTGGCATAATCGACTTGCGCACGCCAATTACGACTCGGTCAAGGAGTTGGCAAACAAAGGACTTGCGAAGGGAGTCGACGTGGTCGCCGGCGACGACGAGACGGGCGTGTGCGCGGCGTGTGTCGAAGGAAAAATGGCTCGGAAGCCATTTGGTAGCCGAACGTCACCCCTCGCTAAGGACCCGCTTGCGCTTGTTCACATGGACGTGTGTGGACCGATGCGACATGCATCAAAGGGAGGAGCGCGGTTTCTCTTGGTGATGCTCGACGACGCGACGCGGATGTGTTGGACCCGACTCTTGAAGGCTAAGGGCGACGCGGCCAAGGCAATACAAGAGTGGGTGCTCGAAGTTTGCAACGACGACAAGAAGCGGATCAAGGTTATTCGTACCGATGGTGGTGGCGAATTCGTGAACAACGAGCTTGCGAAATGGATGAAGAGCAAGGGCATCAAGCACGATGTCACAACACCCTACACATCCCAACAAAATGGAGCGGCGGAGCGGCTTAATCGCACATTGGTGGAAGCCGTTCGTTCACTTCTTCAACCCTCCAAGCTTGGGAGCGAGTGGTGGGGTGAGGCGAGCTCGCTAGCGGCGTGGATTCGCAACCGTTTGCCGACGAAGGTGCTCCCGGGAACGACTCCGTTCGAAGCATGGAGCGGAACGAAGCCGAACCTATCACGCCTACGCACCTTTGGGTGCCTTTGCTACTACCATGTACCGGATCACCTTCGCCACAAGTTACAACCGAAGGCTCGTGCGGCGATCTACTTGGGAATTGCGGCGAACGAGCGTGCGTGGCGAGTGTGGGACTTTAGCGACAAGCGCGTCGTCACGTCTCGAGACGTGGTCTTCGACGAAGACAAGTTTCCGACAAAGGAACAACCAACGCCGCAACTCACCGTCGTCCTTCCCGCATGAGAGGAGGATGAAGCGGTGGAGGTTCCATCACAAGTGGAAAAGGAAGCTGAAAATGGAGGGGGAGAGAACGAGGAGAGCGACGACGACGTGGTGGAGGTGCCATCAACCGAGGCGGCAACTTCCTCCACACCTTCCTCCCTCCCATTGGCGTTGACCCGCGAGCAACGTATACGTCGCCTCAACACGAAGTACAACGACTACGCTATGGTAGCCGTTGGGAAGTTGGACGAGGAGCGTGCGGCATATTGCTTCACAACCTTGGGTGATGACCCTCGCACCCATACCGACGCTTTGGCTTCTCCGGATGCGCCACTATGGAAATAAGCGATGGAGAAGGAACTAGCCTCGATCAAAGAGAACGACGTGTTTGAGCTCGTCGACCCGCCGAAGGGTGCCTACTTGGTGGGGTGCAAATGGGAGCCGATGGGAGTGTCGAACGCTACAAGGCGAGGCTTGTAGCTCAAGGCTACACTCAACGAGAGGGGGAGCACTATAGCGAGACCTTCGCTCCCGTCGCTAAGGCTACAACTCTTCGGGTGTTGCTCGCGCTAGCGGCATCTCTCGACCTCGAGGTGGAGCAATTGGACGTTTGCACCGCCTTCCTCTACGGGCTTCTCATGGAAGAGGTCTACATGCGGCAACCCCCGGGGTACGATGACGGTAGCGGAAGGGTGTGGAAGCTCAAGCGTACCCTCTACGGCTTGAAACAAAGTCCACGTGGATGGTACAAGCGCATCGACGACATTCTTCTTCAACACGGCTTCGCGCGTAGCGAGTGCGATAGTGCTTTATACGTGTTGAAGGAGGGGGAGAACCAATTGGTGCTTTTGCTCTACGTCGCTGACCTACTCCTCTTCTCCGACCTCATTCGGGAGGTCAAGCAACGGCTAGGGGCGGAGTTTGCGATGAGGGACTTGGGGCCGGTCACGTACTACCTTGGGATGCACGTCGATCGTGACCGAGCCAACGGGACCATCCACCTCCACCAAGAGAAGTATGTGAAGGGGGTAGTGGAGAGCTTCGGCGTGGGCGATAGCAAACCGGTGGGAACACCACTAGCTACGGGATTTTCTTGCCTCACGGGAGAGGAAGAATCCACCATCGACGAAGCCGAAGTGAAGCGGTTTCATTCGCTAGTGGGCTCGCTCATGTATGCCGCCGTTTCTACTCGCCCCGGCCTCGCATACGCCGCCGGGGTGCTTGGACGAGTCGTGAGCAACCCTCATACCGAGCATATGCGCGCGGGAGGACGCGTTCTACGCTACCTCCAAGGCACACCTAACTTGGGGCTCGTGTATGAAGCCGGCCCGATTGAACTCAAGGGCTATGCCGACTCGGACTACGCGGGAGATCCGAGCACGCGCAAAAGTACCTCTGGGTATGTCTTCACCTTGCTTGGGGCAGCCGTGAGTTGGCAAAGCAAGAAGCAACCAACCGTGGCTCTAAGCTCAACGGGAGCGGAGTATATGGCACTCACTCAAGGTGCCATGGAGGCAATATGGTTACAGCGTCTTCTAGCGGAGCTTGGGCATCCTCAACACAACCCAACTCCTCTCTTTTGTGACAACCAAGCCGCCATAAGCCTCTCTCACAATGCCGTCCTTCACGGGCGAACCAAGCATATCGAAGTGAAACATCACTTCATTCGTGAGGCGGTTGAGAAGGGTGAGATCAAACTCACTTATGTGAGCACCAAAGCTCAACCCGCGGACTTCCTTACTAAACTACTCCCTAAGGATTCATTCCATGCATGCTGTGAGCGTGTTGGTTTGAGCACCTAGTGGCTTGGGTGCAAGGGGGAGTGTTGGAGGTTGAGTGAGGCAAGGTTTTGCCCCCAACCACCGAACGGTGCTTCTCAACTGTTCCAAGAAGTTTGGCTTCACTGCAGGTCTCGAGAAGGTGCAGGTTGACTTCGAGAGACTTGCATTTTGGTGCCACATGGCAGCACAAGAAGAATCGAGACTCAGGGAGAATTCGATTCGGTGAAATTCGAGACTCGAATTTCACCCCTTCGAAATGTTACTCGAACATTCGAGTGTACCACGGTTCGAGGTTACTTGTGCGACTCGATGTTTGTTGCATGCTATAAATCTGTTTGCTTTGTATTGCATGCTTCATACTGGAAAACGTGAATCACTTTGTACACAGTGCATTCGACAACAAATTCCAGAGAGTTTCCAATCCTTCAACATAGAGCATAGCTTTCACGTTAGTAGCCATATCTCGCTCGATACTTAGGCGATCGAGGTGATCTACGGCTCGTTGGAAAGCTAACAGAGTGCTCTACTGATTAGAACAATTTCCAGTTCCTGCAAAGTAGAGGAGAGTACTCTACAACAGAAGCAGCTTCGCGCCGAGTACGCGACGACCCAGCGGGTTGTGACCGAGCACGAGCAGGAGGTGCTTAGCCTCATCGACCTGCGTCTGGACATGATCACGAGTTTTGATCATCTGGTAAGCCAACCTTTACCCTTACCCGTGCATGTTTTCGTCGAGCATGTTTCTTCTGTCGCTCACGTGTGTTTTATACCCGTCACAGACGACGACGGCCTTGACGAACCCCAGTGAACCCGGCGCGGCAGCTCGTGTCGTGCATGAGGTGCGCCGGATTCTGTCGAAATGGGACAATTTCATCCTGCAACCTCGACAGGGCGACCTCCTGATGCTCGGGAGAACGAGCCCTGGCCCGGGTTTGCTACCGTCGTTCATGCTCAAACTTTTTTGGAAAAGGATGGACGAGGCGGCGGAGGGAGTAGGAGTGGGAGGGGGTGCCGGACATGAGGGAGGAGGCGAGGGGGCGCCACGCGTCGTGGTTGAGTACAGCTACGAGGAGGAGGAGGAGATCGAGGAGGATGCATCGAGGCAAGCTCAGCACGGGGTGAGCGGCCCGGGCGGCAATGCGGACGAGCAGGAGGGCTCGAGCTCGGAATCGAGCTCCGGCTCGAGCTCGAACGATGAGTCGATCGAGCACGACGGCGAGGGTTTAGGGTTACATCCAGGTTGGACGGAGCGTACGGAGAAGCACGGAGTGGCGCTCGGGGAGCGGGTGGACGAGCAACAGGCGATGGGGGACGATTGGGATGTCGAAGAGCAGGAGGGCGGAGCGGCTGGGCAGGATTTTGGGACAGGAGTGCAGCAGCAGGAGGGCGGGGCGGCTGCGCAGGAGGGTGGGGTCGGAGGGCAGCAGCAGGAGGGCGTGGTGGCATCGTAGGAGGGTGGAGCGGGAGGGCAGGAGCAGGAGGGCGGGGAGGCTGCGCAGGAGCGACTCGTCGCAGTAAGAAGGAGACACCGCACGGCCAGTGGCAGCGGACAGGCGTGCCCTTTGACGGCAGGCCATTCGACGTCGGCCATTGCATCCGAAGACCAGGTCGTCGAGCTACTGCAGAGGGTCGCGGAGGTCGAGGCGTCGCAAAAGAAGCTCGTCGCCGACGTATTTGCGAAGCACTGTGAGCAAGCCGCTGTTTTCAACAAGCTTGCTGGGGATTTTTGGACGGCCTGGAATATGATTTCGGAGTCGTCGAAGAGCACGCTGAAGTAGTGCGGCGATGCCGTAAACGGTGTCACGGAGGAGAGGAAGCTGTTGGAAGGGGCACGCTCGAAGCTCGACGAGATGAGTGGGAAAATCATCGAGGGGGTGGCAGTCGTTATCACAAAAGCGAGCGAGGACGCCGTCGAGAAGCAGCTCAAGCTTGTCGAGGAGCGGTTGGTTGCTTCGGTCGTGAAGGGTATTGAGAAAGCCGTCAAGGAGGACTTGTTCTACTCCACCCTCCCGCCCGAGAGCATGAAGGAGCTGAAGGACATTGTGAGATAAAGCTACCAAGAAGCTGAAGCTGGCAGATTGGAAGTCCTCACCGAAGCGATGGCGAGAGGGTTTTGGGGCTCGGCGGGCGCGTCGACGAGGTTGCGTCAGGAGGAGGGGATGGCTGGTGTTCGCAGCGGGGTTGAGCGTCGAGTTCATGAGCGCTCGGTTCCTCCTTCTTCTTCGGTGGGAGGACATGTCGGCAACCCGTTAGCATCCCCACCGTCGCGTGCCCGTCAGACCGTCGGCAAGTCCGTCGAGGACAAAGATGTCATCGTACTCGACCAATCGCCCCGTCAGCAGACCTCTGAAGCGCCACTGAAGCCTCCGCCTCATGCTTTTGCTCCGCTGCGGGACATGCTGCAGGGCCTCGGAAAAAAGGGTGGGAAAGGAGTGGTTGTGGGGGAGAAAAGTGGTGCCCCAAATGGCCAGGTCGCCTCAGCCGGGAAAGGAGCCATGGAAAAGCGAGGTGCCCCTACCCCATCCGGCGGCGCTGCGGGGAAAGGAGTGGGGGAGAAATGGGGTGATCCCAGCCAGGTCGCCGTCGCTGCTGGGTTACTGTCAAAGACAAAGGCCGACTCCGCTGCGCAGCTCGGCATTGCTGGCCGTCCTGTCGAGCCTGTGGGAAAGAGGCCGTCGTCTGTTTTAGACGACGTCTCCCTTAGCCAACCGGATTCCCCTCCTCCTGGTCCGAGGCCAAGGTCCCCTTCTGCCTCGAAGAAAAGGCAGGCTGTGACGAAGTCGACGAAGCGGGCTGCAGAGGCAACAGAGAGCAGTGACGTCGAGAAGGCGTCTACCGTCGTTGCTGCTCGACACGAAAAGTCAAAGAAGCCCAAGGTGATCGGCTACGCCCCACCTCCTCCGCCGGACGACCAAGGCAAGATGAGAGGCTGCAAAGCTCCCTTCAAAGGACCGGGCATGATGTCGCGCAAGGGGAAGCCGGTTTCCGAGCAGACCGTAGGCTCGAGGAAGTGGTTCCTGGGCACTTTTGAAACGGAGGCGGACCAGAAGTTTTGTACGGCCATCTGCTGGCGTGTATACTTCCCCGACATAGACCTCAAGGAGTACGAGGGGTTCACGGCGCAGGATGAGAAGGACTGGAAGGTCTATCTCGATGCAGCAGCGCGTATGCCCACCGGCGTTTGGAGCATGGCGCAAGAACAAGGGGAATGTCGTTTGGACGAGTGAGTTCTGTTGAAGTCCTGTAGTTTGACTGTCGTAGCGGTTTTGTTCTTTCCGTCGAAGTGCTGTCGGATTTCCTGTCGAAGTTGTGCCGCCTGACTAACGCATTTGTTTCGATTTGCAGTTTCCGGTCGCTGCTGGCGACGACAAATACGGAAGTGAGAGCCGGAACCGACTAGGGAATTGCGCTGTGCGCGGCGATTGGGAAGGTTGCGACGCTTGGCCGGAGGCACGGGAATGTGATTTATCCGATCTCGAAGAAGATGCACAGGACTGCGCACATGATGGCCGTCGCAGCAACTGTGGCAAGCTCGTGGGCGGCCTGCAGAAAGTTGTCGAGGGAAGACATTAAGAAGGATGCCCTAGCTATCGCAAACGCAGCGCTCTACGCCCCAGAGATGGCGATACGGGCTAGTGCGGCTGCCATGGCTGCGCTGCTGTCCGTACTTTTGCACGTCAGCATGACGTTCCCGGCCAAGCAGTGGCCCGATCTGCTATATTCGTCGGCTGTCGAAGGCCTCGGCTCGACTGACGCCACCCTGTTGCAGATGGTGCGCGTGGCAACACAAGTCTGTACTCAATGGTGCTGCTGTCGATTTGCTGCCCGTTTGCTGGGGACGCGGGCTATGGGAGCCTGGCTATGCCAAAAGAAAAGAGCAAGGCGAAGTTGGGCGACGAGGAGGCAACAGAGGCGGCAACAGGCGGGCAAGGGGAGTAGTATAGGTGGGCGCATTGCATGGGGGTTTTTGCATCATTCGACAGATGTGTTTGTTGTTTCGATAGGTTGATCGACAGATGTTCCTTGACTTTATGTTTTCGGGAATGCTCAATTGGTTCATCTTGTCGAGATGGTGTCACAACATGCATTGGGGGAAGATGCCATGTAAACCCTTAACAACCTACACTAGGGTCCCCCCTCGTCACGGTTGCCCGTCGAACTAAGCCGCGCGCCACTTGTTGCCGTGAACTCTTTCCATTTCTCCTTGCCGAACACCTTCTCCGCCCATTCTGCAGTTCGGAGCTCGACGCGAATGAGCTCCAGAGTGATTATGAGGCGTTGTTTGTCCTTGCGGTTTTCCTCTGCAGACTCGACTTTGCGCTTTTTCGTGAGCTGCCTCCCAGAATCCTCCTTGAGAACGATGCCCTCCGAAAGCATGTTGATCGAGTAGCCTTTTCCGTTCACAATTGAGTCCAGCTTTTCGATGACCGTCGACGTAGCCGCGCTGCTATTGTCGATCCGGAAATGCTCGACGGCCTTCATGTCAGCCTCCATTTTCCGCATTTTCGTCTCGATAGCTTTTGCGGTTGGTGGATTTTCTTTTGGCTGTGCCTCCTTTTCGGAGGTTAAGGGGGGTGGAGTCGGTGTGAACTTGCATAACTTGACGGCGAAGCCCCTCTTGTAAGCCAGTCGAAGACTATGCTCGTTGTTCAGTGGGTTTGGCCCGTCCCAGTACGACCACGCCTTCCGCACGGTCTCGCAATTGCACCACGGCCACACCACCGCGTCGAAGAATGCCTGGTTGAGCTGGCTGCCCACACTCTGTCGAGAGGGCGTTGCTTGTTGGGCTTGCTGTGGAGCCGTGGTGGCTTCCTCGGTCACCGTCTGCGGCACGCTCTCGCTCTCCCCCACATTTGCAACTGTGCTTGTCGCCGCGGTATTCTTCAATGCGTCGAATGCTTTCTGTAGTTGCACGAACACCTCTGTCTTCGCCTCCAACTCAGCTTTCATCGAGCTCTTCTCCCGCTCCAATGACTCGACCTGCTTCTCGAGGTGGTTGATTTGGATTTCCTTTTTCCCTCCCTCCTCCTTGTGGAGGTTTATCTCGGCCCGAAGTTGCGTGACGAGGTGCTTGGTGTTGAGGTGAGAGGATACGTCCTGCACGCAAGAACACGTGCAGTCAGTGGGCTGATGCAAAGTCGTCGCTCATAGTTTTGGAAGGATCTTCTTACCGTTGCTCTCGACATCGTGGGGCTGGTCCGCATCTCGATGTCGTGCTTGTCGAGCGTATACACGTCGAGCGCCCATTTTTGGAAATCTTCGTCCTTGCACAAACCCGACATCTGGACGTAAGGGTGACGCTCGCAGTCACAAACGCTGATCCCGTCGAAGGGGTGGTCCTCACAATGGACGTAGTACATCGCAAGATCCTCTGCGATGGGCATTCGGGCGGCTACCAGGGCCTCCAAGAAACTCTTCGATGTGTAGTACATATGTTCCTTGTCTTGCTCGTTGTTCCACTCCTGGGCCTGAACATAAACGAACGGGGTGACATCGAGAGATGGATGGGCGCGCAAAACTTGCTTTCGACGAAGACGCCAAGTGCTCGACAGATACATACCTCGATGAGCCACAGCTCCGCCTTAGGAAAGATGTGCTCCTCGATAGCCTTCAGGACCTTCGGGGGCACTTTGGTCTTCGATCTTCCGATGTAATAGTCGCCCGGTTCCTGCGAGAAACCCGCTTGCATCTGGATGGCCGGGCGCAGGATGCCTGTGACGTATGACCTGCGCATCTCGTTCATGTCCCATTGACCCAGCTGTGCGATGGTGTCGAGGTCTAAGTTCTTGTCCACGCGGATCTGTGCAGCAGACCGTCGAAAGATGTGCGTGACTTTCGACAGGATCCACACCGCGCTATTCATCGCCCATGTCACCCATTTGTTGTGCGTCGGGTACGGCATCTCTGTCTTCTCTTTGTCGAAGAGGGCGAAGAGCAGGTGTTTCTTCGACCAGGCCTCCGGGGTTGAAAAATCCAAGGGGGGCACGATATTCTCGTTGTTGTAGTAGAGCGGCAAGAGGTCGAAAAGGAAGTGTAGCTAGAGGAAAACTACTCCAAAGCCGCACTGCTGGAAGTCCATGTGTCGAGTCAGGTACAAGTGGCCGAGCTTGTTGTCTTTGACGGTCTTCGAATTGCGATAGGCGACCACGAGAACGAGAATCGATGATTCCCCCGGTCTGTTCGTGATGGGCAGAAGGACGTGAGTGAACATGTTGCAGTAGCGGATCGTACGGATGCTGATCCCCCTGCCCAGCATGTGATGCGCCATCAGAATCATCACCCTCACAGCCAAGGCCTTCCACAGCGACAGACTGGGGTACGCCATCGACGACCCGAAGTACACCTTGGCCCAGTGCGGTAGGATGTCTGAAACAATAATGCGGAACTGCTCCTCCGTGTAGACATCGTCGAGCGAGCCACGATGTGGGTCGACGCCGCTCCTGCATAGAGTGGGCAGATACAACAATTAATAAGTGAGAAAGTGAGTGAGAAGTTGTAGCCGACGGGGTAGGGAAGCGAACTTACTCGAACTGATAGTTGTGCAGCTGTCGCAGCTTGACCGCTAGCAGCTGCCTAGCCTCGGTGATGTCGTCCATCGGTTTTGTGAATGGTTCGTCAAAGAGTATGGCCTCTACTTTGCACAAGCGCCCTAGCGCAGTTAGGCGAGCTAGCATCATCGGTGGGGTGCATTTTTTCGGCTTCCGTCCCGCTACTCTGGTCCGCCCGATATCCAAGGAAGCAGCCTGTTCGTCCGTTTCCGTCGACATGTAATCGACGTAAGCCCGCAACCGCCATTTCGACGTCCAAGGCCCATGCAGGTGCTCCTCGTTAAGGAGCGCCGCCCTCCACCGCTTCCCTAAATCCTTGCCGATCTCTCTCCCGACCTCGTCCTCGTTGATGACCTGCTCCTCGACCGGCACTCCGTTGTTTTTTCCGGGCGCCAGGGCTGCACAGGCCCAAGCCTTGAAATGCATGAAACCCGAGACGTAGTTTGGCCGAGTGGAATCCTGGTCGATTGCCAGCAGCGGAAGCTGACAACGGTGAATCGCACTTTTGAGCGTTCCCGTCGCCAGGTATGGATTTTCTTTGCCCTGTTCATCATCGAGAATGTGGGTTGCCTCCTCTTCTGATATATTTGCCGCGGCAGGGCGCAAAGGGTCCATCTCTTTGACATCGTCCGCCTCGGGCTGTTCTCCCTATTCATCATCGTCATCATTCGTCTCTGCAGGGACGTGGCTGGCTAAGTCCGCTTTGCTGGGTCTTTTCGATGAGCGCATAGGCGCGGCGGGAGTGGCTCGCGAAGCGGATGTACTGGCTGGGGGTGGTGGCCTAACCTCAGCCGGAACACCCATACCCCTTCTCCTACGTCGCCCACCAATCGAGCTCGGGACAGCGGCTACTGGTTCCGTTGGTGTTGTCGAACGTTGTGGTGCCGAAGATGATGACGGCTGGTTAGTCGCTTCCGGTGTCGAGGGAGGGGATGTTGTCGAAATCGGTTCTACTACTACAAGTATGGATTGCGCCGTCGAAGGGACTTCGGTCGGTGCCCCCCCCACTTCGACATTGACGGCACGTTCCGTCGAGCGTTGATCCATCGCAACCGGCTGAACCACTATCGGTATGGCTCGTGACGTCGAGGGTGGCGCTGTTGATACCGGTATGGCTCGTGACGTCGATTGTGGATCTGTCGAGCCTGGTATGGCTCGTGACGTCGAGGGTGGCGGTGTTGAGCCCGGTATGGCTTGTGACGTCCTAGGGGGTTGCGTCGAGATGGTTTCAACGTCGACAGGTAGCGGTCCTACCGCTGCCTGTCGGAAAGGCGTTGTCCTAGACGGATCATTCTCCATCAGTGCCTACCCGAAAGCTCTCGTTGCCGTAGCGCTGGCCTAACTGAGAAAAACGATGTTACTGCTGCTCCCAGTTCAGGATTTCATTGAAACCGTTGTTGGGCTGATAACCCTTCCCTTACAGGTGTCCTCAAGGCCTTGGCCTTTGACGTGGCCGTCATCTGTTGACGTGACCCCTTTGATGGTGACTTACGTAATCCGTCGCCCGTCCGACAGCGACGTCTCGCTCGACCGTCGAAGCGGTCGGTCGACCGCAGTTGAAGGCGCCGTCGATTGTGACCTTCGGCCGGTTGCGAGACCCGTTATCACTCACGTCGACCGACAGCGCGGCCTGTCAGGCGACGTCTGGCGCTGTCACCCGTCTTGTCGGGGGTGCACGGTGCTCGACGGCGATTGGCCAATGCCCGTCAAGCAGTGCTCGATCAATGTCCCCGAAATTGCAACAGTACGGCTGACATATATATGCGCATAAGAATACGACATTGAGACGGAGGGATTCGGAGGGTTTTTTGGAGGGATTTTTCGCCTGGTCAGGCGGGAGTTTCGGGGTGACCCGAGGGATTCTGAGGGTTTTTTCGGTTTGCCCCAATTTCCGAATGTGCCAGGGGGCGTGGGGCGGCATTGATGATGTCACGCGTCCCTATATTACTGGATGTACCACGCCCTTGCGTCAATGATCCCATGATGCAAACCCAGCATCACCAAGAAATCGGCGGGCGTTGCCGAAAACGATTCCCGATGGACGGTTATCGGACCACAATGACCTGTAACCAGATTAGACGAGATACCTAACGAAACTTCACTCCCTTATCCGCAGACCCTTTCCACCTTGTTTCTTCCTTCCCATTCCAGCCAGATCACTCCAACCAGAGTTTGGCCATAGCTGCTTCGCCAGGATTCTTATGACATGGCTGGTGGCTTCTATCCATGATGCACGGCGTAGAACACAATAGCCGTCTAGCCTTTCGGAAAAGAGGCTGTCATGTTAGCGGTTGCGAGATTTCGTTGCGACGGCGTGGGAGGTGGTGATGATGTTTCCGCTTGGCTCGACTGTTTCCGTCCAGATACGACGCCTTGTGCACGGAATTACGGAAAGCAATTATAAGGCCGTTGTTTCTGAGCTTAGTCAGGTAGGCTTGTCAATTGTTAACGTTATGCATTAGGCTTTCAGTAACTTTACAAAATATAGATAATGTTTGGGTACGTTTATGGAGACGTATTCGTTACTTTTTACCAATCTGCTGTGTGTTTTTGCTCGTTTTCCAGATTGCAGATCTAGCAGGACCCGAGGCGAATCAGCTTATTCTTCGTTCGTGTCTGGACGTTCTCTTTAGCGACGACCTAGGTGGTGATCAAAGCGTGGAATTGAAGCATCACCTGCTAGCATCCACATTAGAGTGCCTTTCTCGTAGATCCGATTTTCCGACAACCGTAGCTCGAGCGCTAGGGCATTTCTCGGAACCTTACAAGGGTTTCCTGAAGATTTCTTTAGCGATTATTAGTCTTCCTGTTGCTGTTCAGCTCCGCTCAGGCGTTGGTCTTGCTGACGTCGGTTCTCCGTTCTGGAAGGAGGAAGGTAAAGATATATTCCTTTCGCTAGCAGTTTTGCGGTTACTTACTTTTAGTATTGCATTCCTTTTTCTCCGTTTTGGAAGGAGGAAGGTAAGAATGATTGCGTTCGCTAACGGTTTTGCGGTTCTTTTTATAGAACAAATTTCTACTTATTATCATACAGGTTCCCGGATGTTTTGCGCCGTTAAATCCTCTGTTTCCCTGCTTTTTTTTTACTTTTGGTGCAGCTCTTGACCTAATTGACTGCGTGATTGGCGGATTGCCTGAAGCCGAAGTTTCCGCTCTACCAGGCGATTTGTTCTGGAGCGTCTTTCTGACGTGTTCGTCTTATCCGAAGCTCAAGGAGCACTCCCTCATCTTGGAGGAATCGCTCTGCTGGCGTCTTACCAGGGATCCGTTCCCGATTTACCTCCTTCCGTTCCTAGAAAAGAGCGGTCCGCTCGGGAAAGATTTCGTGTACGTTTTCTTACTGGCTTGCATCCTTTTGGAACGCGATTGCATTTCTGGGAATCGCCTTCTTTTTTGTTTTTTGCATCATTTACAAGGTCTCTTAATCACGTCGTTCCCGCGCCGTTTCTTCTGCGCAGTGCCCTGCCTCGGGATTGGTCCGCCTTCGTCAATTCCATCATGTCCTCATCTTCCGCGTCCACTTCCGCCTCGAATTCCAAGGTGAAGGACATGGCGACGGCGATGGAGGAGCTAGGGTTTGGCTGCACGGACACGGTGGAGCACTGCAAGGCCGTGCTCAAGGAGCACAGCGCCGGCACCAGCATCAGCGAGGCGGACGTCGCGCGGGTCATGGGAGTGGTGGCGAAGGGTTCCGTGGAAACTCGTGGCGGGGGTGGCGGCGCTGGGCCACTCACGTTCTGGAACGTGGACGTGCTAGTTGAAGCCATCGTTCAGCTGGTGAGTGTCTTCAGCTGGTGAGTGTCTTCAGCTGGTGAGTGTCTTCAGCTGGAGAGTGTCAGGACATGGCGACGGCGATGGTGGAGCTAGGGTTTGGCTGCACGGACACGGTGGAGCACTGCAAGGCCGTGCTCAAGGAGCACAGCGCCGGCACCAGCATCAGCGAGGCGGACGTCGCGCGGGTCATGGGGGTAGTTGCCAAAGGGTCGGTGGAGACGCGTGGCGGTGGCGGCGGTGGCGGCGCTGGGCCGCTCACGTTTTGGAACGTGGATGTGCTGGTTGAGGCTATTGTTCAGCTGGTGAGCGTTCGTCCGTGCACCCTTTCTAGGCGCCTCATAAGCGCGGGTCATGGGGGTGGTGGCCAAGGGTTGGCGGAGACTCGCGGAAATGGTGGTGTTGCTGGGGCTATCTTTTGAGACGCGTCCTCCGCAAACCCTCGTTTCTCTCCACCACCCGGTTGTGCGCTGCTGAGGCAGGCACCGAGCCTGTTTTTCAGGCGAGAATATAGCGCGTCGTCTTTTGTTCCAACATTCTTTCTTGCGTGTGTGAGGCAGGCTCGGAAAGTAATTTAGAGACTCTCAAGTTATTGCGTTTTTTTCTCTAAAAACAATCCCCTGTTGTGCACCCCTGAGGCAGGCACCGAGGCTGAGCTGATCGTCGGTGATCAACCGTCTGGACTACCCGGGGTTCTTTGCCAGGGACCACAAATGGCTTCGTTAACTCGTCTCTTTCGTTCCAACATCCTTTCTTGTGTGCGTGTGAGCCAGGCGCCGAGGCTGAGCTGGTCGTCGGTGATCAACCATCTGGACTACCCGGGGTTCTTTGTCAAGGATCAGAAGGGCTTCAGCGCGCTCGTACTCATGCACTCCAAAGCTACCAAGGTATGTATGCATGCGAGTCAGTGAATCACTTTCGAGAAGTCTCGAAGGGCGCATTTTCTGGGCGCGAAGGTGTCTGTTGTGTCTGTCTCGTATCATGTGTACGTTACCGTGGCTTTTGAAGGTCTTGTATTCCCTGTCCATTCCACAGCCCGCCTTTCTCTGCCACGCTGTGAACTGCTTTAAAAGTTTTTTTTTCTTGTCTCTCTCCGCCTCGCAGGAGCTCTTCCCGCTGCCCTCAGTATGCGAAAAGATGTGGGCGAACGCGGAGGGGCAGCTCTCCTTCCTGCGCTGTCTCTTCAGGCGCTGACAGTCGAAACTGGCTCACGTTTCTGAACGCGCCTTCCACCTCACTCTCTCTCCCGCGTATTCTTCCTTCCCCCCCCCCCCCCGCCCCCCTCTCCCCTCCCCACCCAATCCCCACAGGAGCTTTTCCCCCTGCCCTCCATATGCGGCAAGCTGTGGGCGAACGCGGAGGGGCAGCTCTCCTTCCTGCGCCACGCGGTCTCCGCGCCCCCCGAAGTCTTCACCTTCGCGCACTCTCCCCGCCAAACCCCCCCCATGGACAACCTCCACGGGCACAAGCTCCCCACGGGCACCCCCAACTGCGCCTGGGTCTCCCTAAACCTTCTAGAAGCCCTCTGTAGGATCGGCGAGACTGGGAGGAAGGCAGAGGTGCTGGAAGTGCTGGGATACCCGATAAAGCACTGTCCAGAGGTGCTTGTAGTGGGTCTCGGGCAGGTGAAGACCCCCGGAGGGGGGGTGATTCAGAGGGAAGTGCTGGGGGCGCTGGTGCCGCTGTATTTGGCGAATAATCCGAACTCGAGTATTGTGCTGCATGCGCTGTGGGGCGTGCCCGGGGGAAAGGACGTGGTGATGCAGGCGATGGTGGGCGTGCACGCCAGCGACCCCACCAGCATTGCTCGCCTCCTCGACGTGTGCCAGGATCTCAAGGTGAGTGCGAGTTATACCGAGTATGGACTAGGTTATGTAACGCGTATGCATGGAGCATTGTGCTGCATGCGCTGTGGGGGGAGCCCGGGGGAAAGGACGTGGTGATGCAGGCGATGGTGGGCGTGCATGCCAGCGACCCCACCAGCATTGCTCGCCTGCTCAACGTGTGCCAGCATTCTCACCCACCACCCCGCTTTACCTCTTCTGTTGATCATTTCTGAGTTGGATTGTGCTTCCACACTGTGACTAATCTGCAGGTTCTCTCGGTGGTGCTGGAGAGCACGCCCTTCTCTTTCTCCCTGGACCTCGCTTCTCTCGCCTCTCGCCGCGAGTACCTCAACCTCGAGAAGTGGCTGCAGGAGGCGCTCACTCTGCACCGCGACTCCCTCTTCAAGGTACGTTATGGGGGGGCTGTCGTGCTGTAAACACATCGCACCGTAAGCACCTCTCGCCGCGAGTACCTCAACCTCAAGAAGTGGCTGCAGGAGGCGCTCACTCTGCACCACGACTCCCTCTTCAAGGTACGGTGGGGGGAAGGGGTCGCTTTGTCGTTTAACAACCACCTCTCACTGCAAGCGCCTCTCGTTGCATGCACCACTCACTGCAAGCACCCCTCACCACAAATACCTCAACCTTGAGAAGTGGCTCCAGGAGGCGCTCGCTCACGCTGCACCGCGACTCGCTCTTTAAAGGTACAAGATGGGCTCTCGAAATAATGCACTTATTGGACAGCCAGGAGGCCAGCTCACGGCGAATCAACCTGATTCCTTCCTCACTCTCTCGCTCTCTCTCACTCCCTTCTCACTCCCTTACTGCCTCTCGTACTGCCTCCCTTGCTGCTTCTACCCCCGTACAGGCGTGTCTGCAGTTCCTGAGGGCCAAGCTGGTGCAGGACAGCCAGGATGCCAGCGCACAGAGAATCAACCTGTCACTGGAAACGCTCGCCATTTTCTTCAAGGCAAGCTATCTCTGCTTCTCCCTCATGCTCGTTTCCTAATTCTTCTTGTTTGTGTTTTTGTTTTCTTGTTTTTGTTTATTGTTCTATTTAAAACGCCCACTCGATTTCTGCTTCGTTGTCACCCCTCCCCTGCCCCCGGGGCCCCCTCCCCCCATTTTCCCGCTACCCTCCCTTCTCTTGTCTCGCGCCCCCCTGGCCACACCTTCCCCTTCGCAGGTCCTCCAAGCCAACACACCGCAGCTGCAGGCGCCTGAGCTGGGCGACGACCTTAAAGCCCTGTACGCGTCCGCGCTGCAGCTGCACCCGGCGCTGCAGACCGTGGCAGTGCCTGAGCAGGCCCCTGCAGACGTCTTTGCGAGTGACATAGAGGAGGAGGCAAACGCGTATTTCCAGAAGATATACGTGGGGCAGCTGAGCATTGACGAGGTGGTGGATATGCTGAAACGGTTCAACGGCTCCTCCGTGCAAAGGTGGGCAGGGGAGGAGGGGTTTAGGCCTAGGGTTAAATTTGGGGTTTGTGGTTTAGGGTGATGTGGGCGTGTTCACGAGTGACATAGAGGAGGAGGCGAATTCGTACTTCCAGAAGATATATGTCGGGCAGTTGAGCATTGAGGAGGTGGTGGATATGCTGAAGCGCTTCAACGGTTCCTCTTACGAGTCACCTTAACATCTGTGCCCCCTGTGGCTTCCGTTTCCCCCTCCCACTCTTGTTCGACCTGTTTTTCCCCCTCCCAGGGAGCAAGACGTGTTTGCGTGCATGATTCAGAGCCTATTTGACGAGTACCGCTTCTTCCCGCGCTACCCTGACAAGGAGCTCCGCATCACTGCTGTCCTCTTCGGTGAGTAAGACTGTCACTAGGCTTGCTGTTCCTAGTGGAACACCCCTGAAAGGCATGTTCTGTCGAGTATCGCTTCTTCCCGCACTATCATGACAAGGAGCTCCGCATCACTGCTGTCCTCTTCGGTGAGTGGCGTTTTAGCTGGTAAGAGCACAGCACTTAACCCTAAAATTGCTTAACCCTAAAAGCGCCAGCTGGGCTTGTCTCGTCAATCACCCTTTACCGCGCTCGAGCAGTTCCACCAGCGCCTGCCCGAGTGGCCGCCCTACTGCATGCACATCCCTGAGGGGCCTCACTTACCCTTCTCTCTCCCCTCTCTCTTTCCTTTCATTTTCCACCACACCCTGTTCCCCTTTCTCTGAATTCCCAACTCTCCCAGGCTCCCTGGTAAAGCATCAGCTAGTATCATCGATTACCCTCGGCATAGCCCTGCGCTGCGTGCTAGATGCTCTCAAGAAGCCGCCCGACTCCAAGATGTTCTCCTTTGGCGTCACCGCGCTCGAGCAGTTCCACCAGCGCCTGCCCGAGTGGCCGCCCTACTGCACGCACATCCTGCACATTCCGCACCTGCAGGACGTGCACCCGCGCCTGTACGCGTTAGTGCAGGCTGCAGCAGCGGCGCCGGCGAGTAAGGGCGTGGCTGGGGAAGGTTTATCCGGTGCAGGCTCTGCTGCTGCTGCTGCTGGTGGTGCTGCTTCTGGTGGTGGTGGTGCTGCTGGTGGCGGTGGCGGTGCTGCTGGTGTTGGTGGAGGGGGAGGGAAGGCTGGGGCAGGAGGGAATGGGGAGGGTGGGGTGGTGGCAGGGGCAGGGACAGGGGTTGGCGGTCCTGGTGCTGTTGGTGGTACTGCCGCCGCTGGTGTTGCAGCTGCTGTTGGCGGTGTTTCCACTGGTGGTGCTGGTGGGGGGGCTGGTGGGGGAGGAGGGGGAGTGGATGGTGGAGGTGCCATTGGTGCTGGCGACAAGGGGAAGGGCGCTTCTGGTGGCGGTGATACTGGGGGGGTGGGGGCTCAGGACAAGGCAGGGAAGACAGCAGATGGTGTTGCAGGAAATGGAGCAACGGAGGTGAAGGATGGGGCTGGAGGGGGAACGCAGGGGCAGGCACAGGGGCAAGGGCAAGGGAAAGCAGAGCAGAGGAAGGCGGAGGCGGAGGACAGACATGGGGAGAAACAGGGGGAGAAGCAGGATGGGGCAGTGGTAGGGAAGGCAGAGGCGGGTAGTGCAGGGCTAGCGGCTGTGCAGAGCCCGGCTAAGGATTCCATTCTATTCAAGGTGTGTTGGCCTGTCTGGTCTTGTGCTGGTTTCCTCCTCCCCTGCCCTCTCTCTCCTCTCCTTCCTCTCCTCTCCTCTATCCCCTCCCTACTTGCAATCCGTGGGCACTTCCTTGGCCCCAGTGGGGGGTTCAGGAGGCTAACAGAGTTGACTGACTTGAAGCACCATGCTTGCTTCTTCTCTCCTCTCCTTCATCGTCTCCCTACCCGCAGCCCTCAGGAGCGGCCTTGGCCCCAGTGGGAGGGTCAGGAGGCTCACAGAAGCTGGATGCTCTGCGCCCCCGGGGCTCGGGAGTGTCGACTAGGAACCCTCTCGTTTCCTCTCTTCTCTCCCCTCTATTCGCTCTCCTCTGCTTTCAGCCTGCAGGAGCCGCCTTGGCACCAGTGGGGGGGTCCGGAGGCTCACAGAAGCTGGATGCTCTGCGCCCCCGAGGGGGGTCAGGCTCGGGTGTGTCGACGAGAGCGCCTGCTGCTGGGTTTGGGCATGCGCTCAACATTGAGACGCTCATGGCTGCAGCAGAGAAGCGCGAGAGCCCCATCGAGGTGAGCCTTATGGGATGTGGCATGTCTGGTACTAATGGTAGTGTTTGGAGTTGACGAGATCGCCTGCTGCTGGCTTTGGGCATGCGCTCAACATTGAGACGCTCATGGCTGCAGCAGAGAAGCGCGAGAGCCCCATCGAGGTGAGACTTAAAACCCCATAAGGGAGAGCCGTATTGAGGTGGCATGTCTGGTACTGATAGTGCGTGTGTCGACGAGAGCGCCTGCTGCTGGCTTTGGGCATGCGCTCAACATTGAGACGCTCATGGCTGCAGCAGAGAAGCGCGAGAGCCCCATCGAGGTGAGCCTTATGGGATGTGGCATGTCTGGTACTAATGGTAGTGTTTGGAGTTGATGAGATCGCCTGCTGCTGGCTTTGGGCATGCGCTCAACATTGAGACGCACATGGCTGCAGCAGAGAAGCGCGAGAGCCCCATCGAGGTGAGCCTTATGGGATGTGGCATGTCTGGTACTAATGGTAGTGTTTGGAGTTGACGAGATCGCCTGCTGCTGGCTTTGGGCATGCGCTCAACATTGAGACGCTCATGGCTGCAGCAGAGAAGCGCGAGAGCCCCATCGAGGTGAGACTTAAAACCCCATAAGGGAGAGCCGTATTGAGGTGGCATGTCTGGTCGGTACTGATAGTGCGTGTGTCGACGAGAGCGCCTGCTGCTGGCTTTGGGCATGCGCTCAACATTGAGACGCTCATGGCTGCAGCAGAGAAGCGCGAGAGCCCCATCGAGGTGAGATTGAGAACCCTACCCAATAGGTGAGATGGTGAGAATCGCATTTAGGCGCTTCTTATCGGAGGAACCTAACAAGGCAGCTCGTTATCAATAACAATACTGCACCCCCCATCCTTGTTCGCCCTCGTCTGCTGGACGCCACTCTCTCCCTTCCCCGTCCCTCCCCCCCCCCCCCCCCAGATGCCTTCGTCAGATCAGACGCGCAGGACAAGGTGGCGATCATCATCAGCAAGATCCTCATCCGCCGTCGCCCATCTTATACTCGCGCCTCACCGTCTGATACTCCTCTCCCCCTTCCCCTTCACTCAGCCCCCCAGATGCCCTCGTCAGACGCACAGGACAAGGTGGCGATCATAATCAACCACATCTCTTCGACCCATTAGGGCAAATCTTACTCACCCCCTCTGCCTGGCACTCCTCTCTGCCCGGCACTCCCCTCTGCCCCTCCCATTCCCCGTTCGTTCCTCATTCCCCCAGATGCCCTCGTCAGACACGCATGACAAGTTTTCGATCATCATCAACAACATCGCTACTGCCCATGCTTATTCGCCGTTCTCCCTGCCTGGCCGCCCTTCCTCTCCCTCCCTTCCCGTTCTCATCCCCCCCTCCCCCCCTCCTCCCCCCCCCCCCCAGATGCCCTCGTCAGATGCACAGGACAAGGTGGCGTTCATAATCAACAACATTGCGGCGGCAAATTGATGCCCATACATATTTGCCGTTCTCTGCCTTGCCTTTCCCTTCCCTGCCTCTCCCCTTCCCCAGATGCCCTCGTCAGACGCACAGGACAAGGTGGCGTTCATAATCAACAACATAGCAGCGGCGAATCTGGACCAGAAGTCGAAGGAGATACTGGAGGTGCTCAAGGAGCCCTTCTTCCCCTGGTTCGCTCAGTACCTCGTCATGAAGAGGTGAGTTTGGAATATGGCGTGCACTGGCATGTGTGCGTGTGCGTGCGAATGTGTCTGTTTGCGTGTGTGCACACCAAAGCGAGCATAGAACCCAACTTCCACAAGTTCTACCTCAAGTTTATTGTCCTCCCTCAGCCCTGTGTGCGTGCGTGCGTGCGTGCGTATGTGTGCGTGTGTCCATATGTCTGTGTGTGTGCCACCATGCATCAGAGCGAGCATAGAGCCCAACTTCCCACGAGCTCTACCTCAAGTTTGTCGACAAGATGTGCCGTGCTCCAATAGCTGACTCATTATCGTCCTCCCTCTGCCCTGTGTGCGTGCGTGTACATGTGTGTATGTGGCTGTGCGTGTGTGTGTGTGTGTGCCTGCGTGTGTGTCTGTGTGTGTGCCACCATGCATCAGAGCGAGCATAGAGCCCAACTTCCACGAGCTCTACCTCAAGTTTGTCGACAAGATGGCGGCCAAGTCGCTCCAGAAGGAAGTGGTCAAGGCGACGTACGAGAACTGCAAAGTTCTGCTGCGGTCGGAGCTGATCCGGTCCAGCAGTGAGGAGCGGTCGCTGCTCAAGAACATCGGCAGCTGGCTGGGCCGACTCACCATTGGCCGGAACCAGCCGCTGCGAGCCAATCAAATTAACCCTAAGAATCTAATCATCGAGGTGGGTGGGTGGTGAGGTGATTATTCTGTGCTCTCTATGAGGTAGGCGCGGGCTGGTTCTGTGTGAGGGCGGAGTGGGGGGTTTTTGAGACGTCTCAAAAATCTACTTTCTACAGGTAGGCGCGGGCTGGTTTTGTGTGAGGGCGGATTGGGGAGTGTGCGCACGTGGAGGGTGAAGGGAGAAGGGAGAAGGGGGGGTGGAGAGGGGAAGGGCTTCGGGGGCTAAGGTGTGGGAAGGTGTGCCTCCTTGCCTCTGATCCTTTTTTTAATTGCATTTTTTTCCCGAGTTATTCCGTGTTTCATGTCCCCTCCCTCCCCCCCCTCCCCCATCCGCCCCTTCCCCCCTCTTCCCGCATCCCCCTCTCCCCCCTCCCTTATCCCTCATCTCCCCTTCCCTCATCCCGTGTGTAGCTTCCACCTGCCGTCTTTTGCCTTGTTTCATCTTCCCATTCGTAAATTGGATTCCTTGCTACACCCACTCCCCTCCCTCTTTTCAACCCCCAACCCCACTTCCTCTCCGCCTGGTTTACCCATTTCATACCCTATTCAAGTAAAGTGAGCCCTTTTTGTTTCGGTTGTAATTGTGCCCCTTCCTTCCATGCTTCCCCTTCCTCGCTTACTCACTGCCTGTACAACACCATATGCCCCATTCATCCCCGCCTCCTTCCAGGCATACGAGAAGGGCCTTATGATCGCCATCATTCCCTTCACTTCCAAGGCGAGCTCCCTTTTGAAACCCCACCCCCTCTTCCTCCCCTTCCTCTTCTTCTTCACCCCCCTCCTCTTCTTCCTCCTCTTCCCCCTCCTCTTCCCCCACCTCTTCCTCCTGCTCCTTTGATGCTTGCAAACCCATCCACAGCTCTTTAGCCACCTCAGCTCTTTAGCCACCTCAGCAAGCATCTGCTGATTATTAGGCGTACTGTATGCCGTTTATTAATAACTGTGAAGTTTCTGCCGACTTTGGGGTGTACGACGACATAGACAGTCTCATAACTGCCTGCCATACGGTGTACACATTTCTCCTCGTCCACCCGTTTTGTTTGTTTGTTTCATTTTCTCGTTCCCCTACCTCCCTCCTTCCCACCCCCCACCTCCGCTCCCCCCTTCCTCCCCCTCCCCCTCCCCCTCCCCCTCTCCTCTCCTCTCCTCTCCCCCCCCCCCCCCCCTTTCCCCCCACACCCCCCCCCTCCCCTCCCCCCCGCCGCCCGTCCCTCCCGTCCCCCCCTTTTTTTTGTGTCCACGGTTGTTTTCCCTTTGGGGGTCTCCTTGTGCAGGTTCTTGAGCCCTGTGCGAACAGCCTGATCTACCAGCCGCCCACCTCCTTCCCCCTCCCTCCCCTTCCTTCCCTCCCCCGTTTTGTTCTGCAGATTCTCGAACCCTGTGCGAATAGCGTGATCTACCAGCCGCCCAACCCCTGGACCGTGGGCATCCTGGGTCTGCTGGTGGAGATTTACAGCCTCCCCAACCTCAAGCTCAATCTCAAATTCGACATCGAGGTAAGCGTTCCTTGTGTGTCAACATCGAGGTAAGCTTACCGTGTGTTGTTCCCTGGGGTGTTCTTGGTCGTACTGGTGAACTGGATTTGCCTGGTGAGGGTCCACAGCCCCTCTACAGCCTCCCCAACCTCAAGCTCAATCTCAAGTTCGACGTCGAGGTACGTCTTTTGAGGCGCCCCATAAGCCCAACCCCTGGACTGTGGGCATTCTGGGTCTGCTGGTGGAGATCTACAGCCTCCCCAACCTCAAGCTCAATCTCAAGTTTGACATTGAGGTACGTGTTCCTCGTGTGGCTTCCTTGTGTGCTTTCCTGGTCTAACTGCTGATTTGGAGTGACCTGCTGGGGGTCCACAGCCCCTCTACCTCTACAGCCTCCCTAACCTCAAGCTCAATCTCAAGTTTGACATTGAGGTGCGCGCCCCTCTTCTTTGTTCTTTGCTCTTTGCTTGCTGCTTTTTGCTCATGGGATCTTCCTTATCATGGCAATGTTTTGAACCCGACTCATCTCATCTCATCACTGTTTCGCTCTGCTTGCTTTCCTTCCCGCAGGTGCTGTTTAAGAACCTGGGGATCGAGATGAAGGAGGTGAAGCCATCGCAGCTGTTAGTTGGGCGGCAGAGGGAAATGGAGGGCAATCCGGATTTCTCAAACAAGGACCTGTTAGCCGCTCACCTATCCGCTGCAGGAGGAGCGGGGGCAGGAGGAGCGGGGGCAGGAGGAGCAGGGTCAGGAAGGGGTTCTCCTCAGCCTCTTGTGCGGTCAGCTGTTGCTTCCCCTGAGCCGCCTGGTCCTGCTGGTAGAGGGGCAATGGGAGTGCCTGGTGCAGGGAAGGCGGAACAGCAAGTTTCACAGTTTCAGCAGCAGCAACAGCAACAGCAGCAGCAACAGCAACAGCAGCAGCAGCAGCAGCAGCAGCAGCAGCAGCAGCAGCAGCAGCAGCAGCAGCAGCAGCAGCAGCAGCAGCAGCAGCAGCAGCAGCAGCAGCAGCAGCAGCAGCAACAGCAGCAGCAACAGCAGCAGCAGCAGCAACAGCAACAGCAACAGCAACAGCAGCAGCAGCAGCAGCAACAGCAGCAACAACAACAGCAGCAGCAACAACAGCAGCAACAACAGCAACAACAGCAGCAGCTGCAGCAACAACAGCAGCAACAGCAGCAGCAACAGCAGCAGCAAGAACAGATGTCAATGCAGCAGCAATCACCGCCACCGCAGCAGTCCCAGCAACAGCAGCAGTTGTTGCTGCAGCAGTCGCAGCAAGCTGGTGCCAAGGCTGCTGTTCCGGTATGGCTATAACCGAACCTCATTTCCTGACAACACTTCTCATTCTCTCCAAATCGCCCCTCCCCCTTCCACTCGCCCTCCCCCACTCCACGCCCCCACCCCGTCCCCCTACCATTTCCCGTCCCTCTTTTCTCTAGCCACTCGCCCCTCCCTCTTTTCACCTGTGTTGAAATTCCATTCCATCTTTGTGCCCCCATTTTCGTCAACTCGTTTCTTGCTTCTTCCATCGATTTTTTTAATTCTTTAATAGTAATTATTATTATCTCACGTACCCTCCATCCCTGCTGCTGGTTTTCCCACAAATTTCCACCTTTTCCAACCCCTCCCCACCCCTATTAACGCCCCCCCTCCCTGCCATAAAATTTGCTGCCTAACCTGGCATTGTACATCGTCATCAACCCGGAGCTTTTATGATTCGACTCTCTCTCCCCCTGCTGCCCACCCTCCCTTCCCCTCCCACCCACCCCGTCCTCCCCTCCCATTCCCCCTCCCCTCCTCCTCCTTATCCCTTTTTTCTAAACTCCCTCCTTTGCCAGTCATCTGTATTGTTGCCCAACCTGGCGTCCTACATCGTCATCAGCCCCAAGCTCGCTCCAGTGGCACAACAGCTACAGCTGGCAAGGTGAGCACTCCCCCCCATCTCCCTCTAACCCTCTCCACTGCTCTCAACGCCTTCCCCTCCCAGCTGTTGCTACTGGCGTCCTACATGGTCATCAACCCCAAGCTCTCTCCAGTGGTGCAGCTCTTGCAGCTGGCGAGGCGAGCACTCCCCCCCACCCCCCTCGCATGATACTAGCTCTGGGGCATCCTTGTCCGTGCCAGGTGATAAAGGTGTTATTTTGAGACGTCTCAAAATAGCAGCTGCAGCTGGCGAGGTGAGCACTCCCCCCCACCCCCCTCGCATGGTACTAGCTCAGGTGCGTCCTTGTCCGTGCCAGGTGGGAATGGGTCACATGGTAGGCTTTTTGGGATTTGTTGGAGGGTCATATTTTTTCTTCCCTATCCTCTTGTGAAATCGCGTGACATGTGTTCCGTCCATGGAATGGTCACTCTGGAGATTTTGAGGTCCGGGCAGTGTGGGATATTGTGCTGCCCAGCCTTTTTGTTCTGTGTGTGGGAGCTGATTCATCCAGCCACTCTGTCCTTTCTCTCCCTGTGTTGTGCTCCCAGGATCGTGCCCGCGTGCATGGACCGTGCAGTGAGGGAGATTGTGTCGCCAGTGGTGGAGAGGAGCTGCAGCATTGCATGCATGACCACTCGCGAGTTGGTGCTCAAGGACTTTGCAATGGAGGCGGACGACAGCCGCACACAGAAGGCAGCTAACCTCATGGTGGCGAGCCTGGCAGGCAGTCTGGCGCTCGTCACGTGCAAGGTGGGTGTGTTGTGGGGTGCGTGGTGGTTGTGTGCGGTGATGGGGTTCACGGTTTGGTGTATGGTCATGGCAGCAGAAGGCAGCCAACCTAATGGTGGCGAGCCTGGCAGGCAGTCTGGCACTCGTCACGTGCAAGGTGGGGTGCAGGGTGGTTGTGTGCGGTGGGGTGTGTTAGATGGGATATGCAAGGTGATTTGGTGGTGGGATTTTGGCTGGAGTGTGGGTGGTGGGGAATTTCCAGTAGCCAACCTCATTCATGGTAGCCTCACATGCAGCCTGACGCTTTCTCTGTTTCACATCCTCTGTTACTCACCTGTTCTGTCGCTTGCATCCTCTTACTCACCTCTCCCACCACTCTCATCCCTCTTACCCCTCCCATCCCTCACTCTTCCCACCCCCCACTCCTTCCACCCTCTCACCCTTCTCTCTCACCACTGTCACCCCTCTCACCCCCGACGCGTGTGGCGATGGCGAACCACCTGAGAACGCTCCTGCAGGCAGCACTGGCAGGGGCGGAGCTGGAGCAGGTGGCAAAGATGCTGACCCTTCCTGCTCTTTTCTTGTCCGTGCCCCTTCCTTCCACCCCGCCCAACCCTCTATTATCACCCACTCGCCCACACAGGAGCCCCTGCGTGTGGCGATGGCAAATCACCTGAGAACACTGCTGCAGGCAGCACTGGCCGGGGCAGAGCTGGAGCAGGTGGCAAAAATGCTGACCTCACCTCTCCTCCCTTCTCTTGTCTCTGCCGCTTTCTCCCACTGCTGTCATCCGTCCCACCCCTCCCACTTGTCCCAACAGGAGCCCCTGCGTGTGGCGATGGCAAATCACCTGAGAACACTGCTGCAGGCAGCGCTGGCAGGGGCGGAGTTGGAGCAGGTGGCTCAGCTGCTGGTCAGCGACAACCTCGACCTGGGGTGTGCTGTTATTGAGAAGGCCGCAAGTGAGAAGGTGAGTCAGGTTTGACAATGGTCAAGTGTTTCTCGTCATACAATTTGAGTCGACTCAGAAGTATCCAGGTCAGGCGGTGCAGCTGCTGGTCAGCGACAACCTCGACCTGGGGTGTGCTGTCATCGAGAAGGCCGCCAGTGAGAAGGTGAGACCCTGAAAGGCGTTTGTGAATGCTGCAAAACGAGTTGACTAAGGTGATAATCACCAGATGGAGCAGGCGGTGCAGCTGCTGGTCAGCGACAACCTCGACCTGGGGTGTGCCGTCATCGAGAAGGCCGCCAGTGAGAAGGTGAGAGTTACCAGGTGGGGCATTGCAGCTGCTGGTCAGCGACAACCTGGACCTGAGGTGAGAGGCCCTCCCAGGGCAGCCTCGCCCACATTCCAGAGGCGCTCAGTCGGACCTCCTCTTTCCCTTTCAGCCCACCAAACAGTGGGAGGCATTGGGAGCCGCCTACTATGACGAGTTCATCTACTCCCAGGGCACTCTCGCCTGCATCCCAGAGGCTCTCAGTCTGACGGACCTCCTTCCACCTTGTCCTCACCTCCTCTTTCTCTTCTCTCCTCCCTCCTCTGCTTCTCCTCTCTTCCCCCTCCCCCCATTCACAGGCTGTGCGCGATTTAGAGGAGGTGCTGGGGCCAGCACTAGCCATGCGGCGCAAGCAGCGGGAAGCCCTCGGCGCGGCCTACTATGATGCATCCATCTACTCCCAGGGCTCCCTTGCCCGCATCCCAGAGGCGCTCAGGCCCAAACCCGGGCGGCTCACGCTGGTCCAGCAGAGAATCTACGAGGATTTTGCGCATCTGCCCTGGCAGGGGCAGGTGCCGCAGGCTGGAGCGGCTGCTGCTTCTGCTGCTGCTGCTGCTGTGCTGGGTGGGGTTGGAGGGGGGGGGCAGGGCGGGCAGCAGATGGGGCAGGGCGGGCAGGGGCAGATGGTTATTGGGCAGGGGCAAGGGCAGGGGCCGCAGCAGGTGGGGCAGCAGGTGGGGCAGCAGCAGGGTGGAGTGGTTGGTGGTGGGGCTGCTGGTGGGGGCATGGGAGGGATGCTTTCGGGGCTGCCTGGATCGTCCATGTCTCCTGTCCCGTATGGTGCCTCTCAACAACAGCAGCAACAGCAGCAGCAGCAGCTGCTAACGGTTCAGGATCAGCAGGTGCAAGCACAGGCTCAGGCACAGGCGCAGGCACAGGCACAGGCACAGGCGCAGCAGCAGCAGCAGCAGCAGCAGCAGCAGCAGCAGCAGCAGCAGCAGCAGCAGCAGCAGCAGCAGCAGCAGCAGCAGCAGCAGCAGCAGCAGCAGCAGCAGGCGGGGATGGGTTTCCAAGGGGCACCTGGAGCAGCAGGAGCAGCAGCAGGAGGAGCGGCTCAGCTGATCAATGCCAATTCCGCCTCGCCCTCGCCTGCCCAGTTGATCGCAGCAGAAATTGAAAGACCCGGCTCCGCAGCAGCAGCGGCAGCAGCAGCAGCTGCTGCGGGTGGTGTGGGCGCCCCTGGCATGCCTCTTGGTGCGCCAGGCGCTGCTCCCGGCTCTGTCCCTAGCGCTGCCCCTGGCGCTGCTGGCGCTGTGGCAGGCCCCCCTGGGCTGGCCAAAATCCAGATGGGCGCGGAGGGTCCTCTGGTGTATGCTGGCAGCCCCGCCCCTGCCATGGACCTCCCAGGGCTCAACCAACAGGTACGTGGGTAATGGATCCTTAGGTAGGATTGAACTAGCGGGTAAGTGGGTTATGGATTCAAATGTAGGTTGGAACCGTAGATCCATGTGCCTTGATCCATGTGCCTTCTTCCTTGTCTTTCCCTAGTCTCAGGTTGCCATCACTTCTTTTTTTGCGTCTGCCTTGGCGTTGCATCTGCGTGTCTTGCCTGGCATGTGTGTGTGCAGGTGGATTCGTCAGCCATGCCACAGTCAGCTAACGCTCCTCCTGATCACGAGATCAAGGCAAGTTCTGCACCTCACTCACACCCCCAGAAGAAGGAACGCCTCTGGCCACAACCGTTCCTGCACCAGATTTAACGGTTGTGGCCAGAGGCGTTCCTTCTTCTGACAAGTTCTGCACCTCACTCACACGCCCACGCTGCGCTCACACCCCCCTGCTTCACTTACACCGCCCAGCTTCTCAACAATCCCCCACTTATCTCATACTCGTTATAGTCATTGTGGAACGCTGTGAGTGACGTGACGAGTAATACAGTTTATCGTATCCCACTTCCACGTACCCATTGAAACCCCCTCAGGCGCAGGCAGTGGCGTTGTTTGACGACTGGGTGCGGGTGAGCGAGGCAGCAGCATGCAGCAACCAACCATTCCTCCTCATATCCCTTCTCCACCCCCTCGCCTCCCTTGACCCAAACCCCCTTTCCCCCCCCCCTCAGGCGCAGGCGGTGGCTCTGTTTGACGACTGGGTGCGGGTGAGCGAGGCGGCGGGCAGCAACGACAAGGCGGTGGTGGTGTTTCTCTCGCAGCTGCAGCACTCCTCGCTGCTCGCCTCAGAGGACGCCGCAGAAAGGCTCTTCCGCACTCTCACAGACATGGTCGTCGCACACTGCCTCGCCTCCTCCCAGCCTCTCAACCCGCCCCCGCCTGCCGCCCCTGGGAGCGGCCAGGTGCCGCCGGCCCGAGGGCTGAATTTCACGGCTGTCGACATGTTCAGCCGCCTCGTGGTGCTCCTAATCAAGGTAGGCTCTTCTGCACGCTCACAGACACGCTCACAGACATGGTCGTCGCACACTGCCTCGCCTCCTCCCAGCCTCTCAACCCGCCCCCGCCTGCCGCCCCTGGGAGCGGCCAGGTGCCGCCGGCCCGAGGGCTGAATTTCACGGCTGTCGACATGTTCAGCCGCCTCGTGGTGCTGCTTATCAAGGTAGGCTCTTCCGCACGCTCACAGACACGGTGGTCTCCCCGCTGGCCGTCCCTGTGAGTGGCCTGGTGCCTCCAGCCCGAGGGCTGATTTTCACGGCTGTCGACATGTTCAGTCGCCTTGTGGTGCTGCTTATCAAGGTACGCCCTGTAGGGATCACTTCTTGTGGCTGTTTCCCTCACCCCACCCCACCTTATCAAGGTACGCCTCTGAGCAAGGTGAATCTGCTGAACAAGGTGCATTCACAGATGCTCATGGGCGAGCGTGGGAGGCGTACTTCTCACCTCGCACTTGGGCAGATGCTCGCCGCCACCCTGCGGAAAGGGTCTCTGGCGTGCGACGGCGAGGGGGAAATCGTCAATGGGGTTTGCGGATGTTCGATGGTGGGGAAGAAGTTCAAGGTTAAGATTGAGCGGAGCAAGCGAAGCGAAGTGGATAAACTATCTGCTGGCAATAGGCATGATGTCTCCACCAGATAGTTTCTCCACTTCGTTTCCTTTGCTCGACTCAATCCCAACTTTGAACTTCTCCCCCACCATCGAACATTCGAAGACCCCATTGACGATTTTCTTCACTCGCCGTCGCACGCCAGGGACCAATGGGTCATGGTGAGCATCTGCCCCCGTGCGAGGTGAGAAGTACGCCTCCCACGCTCGCCCATGAGCATCTGAGAATAATTATGGGGACAAATCGAATCTGAGCAAGGTGAACTGCTGAAAAAGGTGCTGCCGGGCGTGGCGAGGGTCATCCACCGCCAGGCCGACGAGCGCCGCCTCACCCCCTTCCACCGCTCTCCACCGCTTCCCACCCATTTGAACCCCTCCCTGCCCCTTCCCGCCCATTCCCACCGCTCTCCACCCCTGGAACTGACAGTACTACGTGGATTTGGGAGGCAATGCGAATCTGAGCAAGGTGAATCTGCTGAACAAGGTGCTGTCGGGCATGGTGAGGGTCATCCACCGCCAGGCCGACGAGCGCCGCCTCACCAACCCTCGCCCCTTCTTCCGCCTCCTCGCCAACCTTCTGATCGACTTGAACGCGCCGGATCCCAACTTCGATGCCGCGAGCCACCAGGTGAGGCAGAAAGGATTTTTAGTAGTTTAAAACAGTTTGGGAAGATTTGGGAGGGGAAAGTGGGGTGGAGCACGAGGAGCGAGCGTCACTGTTGATTCGTGCCCTTCCAATCTCTGTTATTTCAATACCTGATCTTCAATTCCCTTACCATCAACTCCTGTTTCCCCTGGTCCCTCGCATCAGGTGCTCACCACCCTGGCGGCCACCTTCCATGCTCTGCAGCCCCTTCGAGTGCCCTCGTTCAGGTGAGGAGCAGGGTCTGGGTGGGTGTGGGGTGGGTGTGGGTGTTTGTGTGGTTGCATGGGGCGGTTTCGCCCGAGCTCTCACCACCCCTGCGGCCACGTTCCACGCTCTGCAGCCCCTTCGAGTGTCCTCGTTCAGGTGAGGAGCAAGGGGTGGGTGGGTGTGGGGTGGGTGTGGGTGTTTGTGTGGTTGCATGGGGCGGTTTCGCCCCAGCTCTCACCACCCCTGCGGCCACGTTCCACGCTCTGCAGCCCCTTCGAGTGTCCTCGTTCAGGTGAGGAGCAAGGGGTGGGTGGGTGTGGGGGTTGGTTGGGTGTGGTGTGGGCTGGGTCACTGGGTGCTATGTTGCACTATACGCGACTGGCGTACCAATCGCGTTCGTACTACGCCAACGTACGAACGTCGTACGATGGATTTCCGCCCCCTCGATACGCTCAAAATACGGTGTCCCAGGCAGGGGAAAAAAAGTTCTGGGCAGGGGAAAAAAGTGCCAGGGAGTGAGTGATGTTCCCTATATTCAATGTTTCTTCCCTATCTGTGCCGATCTGCTGGCGGAATACTAGAATCGCACGGATCTGCTGGCGGAATACTAGAATCGCGCGGATCTGGCAGCGGAATGCCAGATCTGCGCCCCTCTGCCTACTTGCGTCCAGCTGCGACATTAGCGGTCGACATAGGTTTTCGAAGCTGACGACGGGAAAGCCAAAATGTGGTTGGAAGGGAAGGGTTGGGTTTGGGAGGTGGTGTGAGGTTATGTGCGGTGGAAGGGGGGGGGGGGGGTGGGTGCGGGGGAAGGCATTCGACTTTCAAATGTCAAAATTAGGTTACGGAGAATCACAGATCGCGAGAACGGTCGCAACAGATTTTATTTTATTTCGATGGGCTGCCCGTCCAAGCGTACCGCGTATTTGTCCCTGTATCACGTTTTTCCGTTTATACGTGAACGCATAAACATGATACGAATAAAGCCCTCAGCGTATAGTGCAACATAGACTGGGTGTGCAGGTGTGCTGGGTGTGGTAGGGCTGGGTGTGTGTGTGGTCGTGGGCATGGGCGTGGGTGTGGGGGTGGGTGCATGGCTGCCTGTTTAGCTGCCTGGGAGGCGTCTCACCCCAAGCTTGACGCCCATTGCGGCCACACCTTCCATGCACCGCACTGCACCGCACTGCACTGCACTGCACTGCACTGCAGCCTTTTCTCTGCAGTGCCAGCAGCAATGTTCCTTTTCTTCCCTGACACCCACTACAACTTCCACCACCCATCATCCTCCCTCCCCTCCGCGTGGTTGGTTTTGATAAGCCATCGCTCCTTCATTCCCAAGCTGCTGCTCTCATCTTTCCTCATCGGGGGGCTGGTAGCTGGGAGCACAAATGAGCTCTCTCCTTTCCTCGTGCTGTTCCCCCCACCACCTGTGCTGTTCCTCCCGTTACCCCTCCTCCCCCTGGCAGCTTCGCATGGTTGGAGCTCATCTCCCACCGCTCCTTCATGCCCAAGCTGCTGCTCTTCCCGGGCCAGAAGGGGTGGCCCTGGTTCCAGCGCCTGCTGCTCTCGCTCTTTAAATTCATGGAGCCCTACCTCAGGGATGCAGAACTCAGCGACCCGGTGAGTGCCATGGCTTGTCACCAAAAGAGCCCAGTGGCTGGGCTCGTAAAGTTGGTTATTCAGCACTCAGTGCTTGTGGGTTGGGTGCATTCCAGCGCCTGCTACCTGCGGGATGCAGAACTCAGCGACCCGGTGAGTGTATTCAAGTGCTTGGTTCTGGTTGGCCTTCATGTCCTCCTTGTGGGTTCCAGCGCCTGCTGCTCTCGCTCTTTAAAATCATGGATCCCTACCTTCGGGATGCAGAGCTCAGCGACCCGGTGAGTGTTACTAGACCAGCCTAGACGGGCTCCTAACTGTTTGGAAGCCACTTAGCTGTTCCCGCTGTTACCCTCCTCCGTTGCCTTACTCTGTGACTGCGACACACAGCTGAGCTTGCTCATTTTCGTGCTGTTCTCGTTATTGGCAGATCCGCCTGATGTACAAGGGAGCCATCCGAGTGCTGCTGGTGCTGCTGCATGACTTCCCCGAGTTCCTCTGCGACTACCACTTCAGCTTCTGCGACATCATCCCCCCCACCTGCATCCAAATGCGGAACCTCGTGCTCTCCGCCTTCCCCCGCAACATGCGCCTCCCCGACCCCTTCACGCCCAACCTCAAGGTGAGCTGCGCTGACTAACTGTTGTTGGTGTGTTTTTTCTGTGGGCTTCCTGGCACTTTATCACACTGCACCACACCACACCACACCACACCACACCATCATCTCATCATCCCCCCCACATTCAAATGCGCAACCTCGTGCTCTCCGCCTTCCCCCGCAACATGCGACTCCCCGACCCCTTCACACCGAACCTCAAGGTGAGCTGCGCTGGCTAACTGTTGTTGGTGTGGTTTCTAGGTACCTCACCACACCTCACCTCACCACACCACACCACACCACACCACACCATCATCATACCATCCCCCCCACCTTCATCCAAGTGCAACTTCGACTTCTCTGCCCCCCCCCCCCGCAACATGCGCCTCCCCGGCCTTTCACTCCAACCTTCTCCCAACCAGGCCAGCCACCACGGATATTATCCAATGTCGAAGCAACGCTCTGAGCCAAGGGGCTTAAAGCCGAAGTTGATGGATACTTGCAGACGTGCCAGCCGCCCTCCTTCCTCTCTGCTAACCTCAAGCAGCGACTGTTGCTGCCGCCTGGTGCTCCTGCTGCTCCTCATCCCTAACCGCCCCCCCCTCTCCCCTCGTCTCGTCCCCCTCGCCTCTTCTCCTTCCCTCTGCCCCCCCCGCTACTTTCACAGGTCGACTTGCTTCCGGAGATCAGCCAACCTCCTCGCATATTGTCAGACGTGGAAGCTACTCTGAGGACAAAGGGGCTTAAAGCCGAGGTGGACGAGTACTTGCAGACGCGCCAGCCGCCCTCCTTCCTCTCAGCCGGCCTTAAGCAGCGCCTGCTGCTGCCGCCCGCTGAAGCCGTGCAGAGCGGCACCAAGTACAACGTGCCTCTGCTCAACAGCCTCGTGCTCTATGTGGGCATGCAGGTGCGTTTCTATGCAAGGTATGGGGCAGTGTGCAGTGAGCAGTGTGCAGTGTGCAGTGTGCAGTGTGCAGTGAGCAGTGTTCAGTGTGCAGTGTGCAGTGTGCAGTGAGCAGTGTGCAGTAAGCAGTGTGCAGTGTGCAGTGTGCAGCGCGGCACGCGCGACAACGTGCTGCCGCTCAACAGGCGCATGCTCTACGAGGGCATGCAGGTGAGCTGGAATTACTCTCAGAGCATCTTTGATTGCAACTCTTCTGTGCTGCATGTCGATTTGCAGGTGGGTCCTCATGGCCATGCCCTGGGCTCCAACGCACACGCATCCTTCCCTCCCCTACCCCCCTTTTTCCCCCTCCTCCCCCCTCCCCTCCCCCACTCTCCCCACTCCAGGCGATTCAGCAACTGCAGAGCAAGGCAACCCCCTAGCAGCTGGCGGTTCCCACGGCCCCCATCACCCACAGTGCCCCCATGGACGTGTTCCAGCGCCTGCTCTCCCACCTGGACTCGGAGGGGCGGTACCTGACTGCCAGCTTGGCGCTCTCTCACCCCAGTCTCTCCCCGCCTGCCTGCCTGCCTACCTTCCCTCATACCAGGCCATTCAACAGCTGCAGAGCAAGGCGACCCCACAGCAGCTGGCAGTGCCGACAGCCCCCATCACCCACAGCGCCCCCATGGACGTGTTCCAGCGCCTGCTCTCCCACCTGGACTCGGAGGGGCGGTACCTGTTTCTGAACGCAGTGGCGACCCAGCTGCGGTACCCCAACAACCACACGCACTACTTCTCCTGCGTGCTGCTCTACCTCTTTGCCGAGGCCAACCAGGTGAGGGTTAATAGGGTAACCAGGTGTGGGTTGATAGGGTAACCAGATGTGGCTTGAGGGGTGATGCACCAACCAGCTGCGGTACCCCAACAACCACACGCACTACTTCTCCTGCGTGCTGCTCTACCTCTTTGCCGAGGCCAACCAGGTGAGGGTTAATAGGGTAACCAGGTGTGGGTTGATAGGGTAACCAGATGTGGCTTGAGGGGTGATACACCAACCAGCTGCGGTACCCCAGCAACCACACGCACTACTTCTCCTGCGTGCTGCTCTACCTCTTTGCCGAGGCCAACCAGGTGAGATGTGATAGGGGATGGGGGGTGATAGGCCAACCATGTGAGACACGGCACAGTCTTGTGGGGAAGGTGCCCCTCACAGTCTTGTGAGTCTTTGGAGAGAAGTCCACATGGTAAGGTGCCCCTCTGGTGAGCTGCCCATTGTTTTTGTCTTGTGCTGCTTGAGTCGAGTGGCTGATTGTCAACCGTTGATGCGCACCGGAATCAACGGCCTGGCTTCTCCCCTCGTGTTCTTCTCTTTGTGTTGTTCCGTGTTTACAGGAGATCGTTCAGGAGCAGATCACACGTGTGCTGCTGGAGCGGCTGATTGTCAACCGGCCTCACCCGTGGGGTCTCCTCATCACCTTCATCGAACTCATCAAGGTACGAGAAGAGAGTGTACTAAATAAATTTTATCTCGGGTCTGTGTTCCTAGTTCCCTGTCTACCTCCTCCCTCCTTCCCCTTCCCCCCCCCACCCCCCCGTCCCGACTCACTCCCCGCACCCCCAATCCCTCCGTTCCTTCCGGTTCCAACCCTTCGTTTTGACACAATTCAGACTTGTTTCCACAGGTGCTTGGTCCTTGCCCTTGCTGTATGTTTGTTTTGTGCTCTAAAATCTGACATGTTTGTTTTCTCTCTTGCCATTTGCTGATGCTGTGGTTCCTTGTGCTTCCCTGTGGTGCCTCAGAACCCGAGGTACAACTTCTGGAGCCACGGTTTCACGCGGTGTGCACCGGAGATCAAGAAGCTCTTTGAGTCGGTGGCGCGGTCGTGCATGGGCCCGCCGCCCAAGATGGACGAGGACGTGCATACTGCTGTTCCGCAGCAGGCCTGAGTGGGCTTCGGCCGGCCGGGCGGCATGTGTCGGAATTGTCTTGTACAGCTGGTCTGGAAATAATTTTATTCTGAGATGTAAGACATCATAGATGCTTACTGCTCTGCAGGCCTAGCCATGTTATGCCGAACATTTTGGGCCAGAGCTCAGGGTTCAGCCTTGTGTCTGGAACCACATCCTCATTTTTTTATTACTAATTTTTAGGAATCCCGAACTGTCTGACAAGTGCGGAAGAGAATCCTGCTCGAGTGATAAGTAGGCTGTGTCTTACTGCAGGGATGAGGGACTGCGATTCCGCTGCTGTCGGATGTGGCTCACTTTCGGATTCCCCCAAAGGCCGAGGCTGACGTGGACAGGTCGTCATGGCACGTGTCAGCAGCTCATGCTCTCAAAAAGTTCTGGAACCTCATCCAATCACTTCAACCAGTAAGGCTTGAGGTGCAGTTCGCGAAGGCCTTCACACGTCGCTAACCAGGGTTGCTGAATCGTTAGGCTTTTCGCGAGAGTGTTCTGAGTTCGCCGGCACCAAGCTCCCTTACGCATACCTCCACCCACAGCTGATAGGTTCTATGATCTCGGTTGACACTCCCATCATTTTTTGTTTTCTCATTCCCATCCCATCCCAAAGTGGCAAGCTCGTCGGCTGGTCACCCACTAGTAATAACGTTCCTGGCAAAGGTTAGCTGAGAGTACGTCGCACGTTCTTTTCCAATATTTGAAGTTCCTCGTCTCAGTTGAATCGGCGCCATGGCAGCCATAGGGCTTCACCTCAAAGCCTCGCTCACCGTAGCGAAGTTGTCGCAGCCGTCGCATGCGACCGGAGCAGCGACACAAGCGGCAAGCCCGGCCGTCGTCCCCTGCCGTGCGACCCAGCTACCGTCGCACAGACTAGCTGCGATCTCCGTCTTTTCGCCACAACGAACAGCCGCCCTTCCTGCTCTCCGATCCCGCGCCCAGCTGTCGATCCGCGCTTCCGCCTCCGCTTCCGCGCAAGCCGCCGCGCAGCCCTCCGCGCCCCCACCCCCGGCGGCTCTTTTTATCGCAGCATTCGCAGCCGCTTCGGCGACAGCAGCGGCCGTCGCACGCGCAGTCCTCGAGCCGCTGCGACGGCTCTTCGCGCCGCTGTCCGCCGCCGAGCAGCTCCAATTGGACACCCTCACGGGCCGCGCGACATCTATGATCGCCTCCGGGAAACGACTAGCGGCGTGCGCCGCGCCCCTGTTTTTCGCAGCGATCAGCCAATCAAACGCAAGCACCAGCACGCCGCTGACGGTGATCGCGAGTGGCATGGCAAAGTGGTTGGAGCTGTACAGTGGGCTGCTGCTGGTGCGCGTGCTGCTGTCGTGGTTCCCAAACATCGACTGGGAGAGGCAGCCAATGCAAGCCATCCGCGATATGAGCGACCCGTATCTGAACCTCTTCCGCAACATTCTGGTGAGTTCACTGGTTGAATGGAAAAAATAAAGGAACAGTTTTGACAATGCTGGCACTTCAATTGCGGTACAAAGGAATCCTCTCTGTTGATCAGACTCCCGCAGTATCCGCACTCCCGCAATCCATGCGTTTCGGAAATTTACGGAGTGCTTGCGTATGCAGTTACTGTTACCCAGCTTGTGGAGGGAAATGCATGATTGCAAATACATGACCACTTGTGTTTTGAATCGACTCAAAGCACACCTTTTGAGTCTATTGAAAGATGGGGCGGACTGGGCACAGTTGGTACAGTGGACATGCAATCGCAATTATGCATTTTTACTCAAAAGTCACCTCCTTATGCTTGACAAGTCCTCGTCTTGTCCTAGTCCCATTTTGACAAGTCATTGATTGTGCTCTCATCACAACCTTCTGCGGGTCTACCATCTGCTTTGCGGGTTATGTCAGCCCCGTGCTCGCATTCCCACACTTGTCACTTACCATTCCCACACTTGTCACTTACCATTCCCACACTTCTCCTTTGCTCTCTTGCATTTTCTGGCACCCCCCTCCACCCACCCACCCACCCTCGTTGTCCCACATACCCCTCCTCCCCCCTCCCCTCGTCTTGCCTCCCTCTCTCCCTTCCTTCCCAACCCGACCTGTGCCATGATGCCTCCTTTCTTTGAACCTCTGGATCTGCGTCCGATGCTCGCGCTCCCAGTTCTCCGCATGTTCACGTCGCGTCTCTCCTGTTCTGATGCATTTCCACATACCTCCCCCAACCTCCCCACACGCTCTCTCATCCCAATGCAGCCTCCTTTCTTCGGAGCTCTGGATCTGAGTCCCATGCTCGCGTTCTTGGTGCTTGGCATGCTCACGTCGCTCCTCAACACGGCAGTGTTTTCTTAGAGGCGACAGCGCACAGATGCTCTTAGTGATGGAGTTCTTTGAAGAAAGCTTTGAATAATAAAGTCGTATGTTTGCATTCCTGGTGCTGGGCATGCTGAGTGGTGGTGACAATGCATTGCTGTTACCGTATTACCCCGGATATAGGCGCATATGCGCCTATAATAAAATCATTTTTTTTAGGGGTGGCGCTTGTAATTGAATAACGGCCATAAGCGCCGGCGCTTATATCATGGCAAAAATGAATTTGTTATTTTTATGTACCAAATCGAAGCCCGCAATAAGGCGAACACAATTGAGTAACGTGCGCGTGGGATAATGCATGTAATCCCGCCGAAAACTGCTGCGCTTCGATTCCCGACCGCACAAATCCCGTCCAGGAGCAGCGCACCTGCCAGCGCTGACGTGAAAGTTGCCTTGCGGCCCAATCAGGCTTTCATGCGCTGGCAGGCAGCTGCATTTCACCCGAACCATCGAGAAGGGGCTGGAATGCCCTGCCAGCGCAGCATCTTCGTGCCGCGATAACCTCCTCTCCGGGTTCAGACAGGGGGTACCCGTCTCTCCCCGACGAGGACCCCGAGGCGCTAACCAGAAGGGGTCCCTTTGAATCTCTCATTTGTTCTCCATCTCTCTCAGTTTCTCGTTCGGGTTCTTGGTAGTTCTCGCCTGGCTGCCGCCGCCATGGCGGAATTCAGCGGCACCCACTTCTTGTTCAAGAAAAAGCCTACGCGAAGGCCCGCGTTTAGAGTAGACGCTGACGAGTGGTACTCCCGTATCCCACCAGAACCACCAGAGCCACTACGGCCTCCTGCGCCTCCTGCGCCTCCTGCTCCTCCTTCGCCTCCTGCACCTCCTGCGCCTCCTGTTCCTCCTGCTCCTCCGCCTCTGGGTCCTGCGTCTCCGCAACTCACTGGCAATCAGCCCGTGCTCACGATACTGCTCCCATCGGCGTTCGACGAATACCTCTCCGAACCGGAGTCTAACAAGGCGCAAGATTAGTACGTGGAAGTGGAACACTTTCCTGGACGACGTTGGGGACAGCCCGACGATTGCCCTTGGGACGAATCTGCGGTCGGCGCCGACGATGATGTTGCTGACGCAGAGGAAGCGAGCGGCGCTGACGGCGCCGAGGGTGGCACGGAGGCTTCCGCCGGGGGCGGCGCCCAGGGCGGCACCGCTGACGATGTGTTTCCAGAAGGTGTTACGGGCGACGCTGACGACGACGGCGTTGAGTACTGGTCACGCGACGGGCTACCCGAGAAACTGCCCATACCAACCTATCCTCCGAATAATCGCAAGCGACCCCACCCCTCTTCACAGAACCGTGATGCCCGCCCCCCCTCTCCCAGGCACAAGCTCACCGACCACAAGCGGCAAGGTTACACCGCCGCGGAGAAGTTGAAGTGGGTTGCTCTGATGGACTTGGCGGTGTCGGTGCGCGCCTTGGCTCGCGAGAGCGGAATCCACCGGAAGTGTCTCACCAACTGGAAGCGGGCGGCGGAATTCCTCAAGGATGTTCACTCCTCTCGGAAGCGCATGCACGGCCGCGGGCGAGCGTCGTGGTACCGGCCGATGGAGTTGAAGGTGTACGAGAAGCTACTCGAGTGGCGCCGCAAGGGAACCGCCGTGTCAGTCGGCCGCTTGCAGGAGTGGTCGCGGGAGTTCATGAAGCTTCTGTACCCGGACAAGAAGTGGAAAGGAAGCCAGAGGTGGTCGGAGCGCTTTCGGTGGCGATGGAATCTGAGCGTCCGCATGAAGACCCGGGTTGCCCAGAAAACCGCAGCGCGTGAGAATTACCCCGTTCAATTTGGCACGTTGATTTTCTTTAATTGTACTAACGCCCTCCGTCTGTGTCCGACGTCTCTTCCACCGCCGTGCAGATGTCGCTGATCAGTGCAAGAGCTTCTGGCAGTTCGTGCGTGCCAAGCGTCGTGAGCGCGGCATCGACACCGCGTGGATCATCAACGCGGACCAGACGCCGCTCTGGCTGGAGATGCCCGCCACCACCACCGTGGAGGAAACGGGTGTTCGCTCGGTGCCTATCAGGAGCGCGGGGTATCAGAAGCAGAGAGTGACTGTGATGTTGGCGTGCACGGCGGACGGAAGGAAGCTGAAGCCGTGGGTGTTCTTCAAGCGCAAAACCTTGCCGAAGGGCGATTTCCCTGCCGGTAAGTAAAGAGGTGCACGGCTCGGTCACTGCGTTCTTTTCAGAGTTCGAATTCTAACCACCCGTGCGTGTTTCATGCAGATGTGGCCGTGGCTTGCCACGAGAACGGGTGGATGGACTCCCCTGGCGTCGTTCGCTGGCTTGAGGAGTGCATGAAGCCGTTTCTGAAGCCTCGGTTCGGCAGACACGCCAAGAGCTCGATGCTGGTTCTGGATTCTTACCGCGGTCACCTCACCGAGGAGGTGAAGGAGAAGCTCTGCGAGATGAACTGCGTGCCGGCGATCATCCCGTCGGGCTGTACGGCGGAGGTACAGCCGCTCGATGTCTGCATCAACAAGAGCTTTAAGGCGTCGGTCCGCCAGCAGTACCAGAGGTGGTTTGAGGCAGAGGGGCAAGAGCAGCTGACGGCAGCAGGTATGGCATGAGTACAGTATTCTCCCCCCCCCCCCCCCCAAATTCTTTGTTGTTGCACTAACTGCTTTCCACCGTTCTCCCGTAATGTTTCAGGGAACCTGAAGAAGCCTTCACCAGAGGTCGTCCTGCGGTGGGTATCACAAGCCTGGAAGGCAGTGCCCGCCGACCTCATCAAGCATGCCTTCCTCACCTGTGGCATCAGCAACCAGCTTGACGGCAGTGAGGACGGACTCGCCATGGCGCACAGGCGGAGCCAGCTAACAGCTGAAGTGGATGTCGACGATGACATCATCGCTGATGGTTTTTTTGGCAACAACTGCCAGGAGCCCGAATCTGACGAGGAGGAGTAGGAGGGTTACTGTATGATCCATGTTACCGTAGGTAGAAGTACCCCGGCTAAACTTGTTAGGAGATCTAGCTTAATTTGATGTTGCTTAGAAAAAGTGACAATTTAGTAAATTCTTTTGTAATGCCTCCAATGAAAGGTTAAGGGATGCGCTTATAATAAGGATAGAATTTTCAGGGGGTGCGCTTATAATCGAGTTCCGGCCATAAGCGCCATGCTCCAGATAGAGGCGCCGGCGCCTTTAATCGGACGGCGCCTATATCCGGGGCCATACGGTATTTTCTTTAGTAGGGGGAGCCAGTTTTTAGGAAATTCACAAGCGTACCTGACTGCATATATTTTGTTTCCGCTAGTCGGTTTGGTAAACTAATATGGGTACCATTCTAATTCAGCTCAAACCACCCTGTATTGGGGGTTATTGGCTCACATTATCGTGTACTGCGAAGTATCCACTAGCGGGTACGGCAGCGGGCAAGCGAAGCAAAACTCCCAACCCCTTCTCAAATCTACAGATGATGCATCACAGCGAGAACTGCATATAAAACCTGGATAATTAGTCACTAAATAGCTACATCCCAAATACTCTCTACAACTCACAAAGATTGGCTGAGGGCACTTACTGTACTAGCAACCTGTACGAGTGTAAAAACAAAAGCTAGGAGTTAGCAGGAACCGTCCTGTACTGGATGGAGATTATTAAGTTGGAAATAGGTACAACAGGCAAGCAAGCCAGATTTACCTGGTCAATGACTTGTCATTGACAGCAAGTACCGTAAAAGGCGGCCCAAATTGAAGACCTCATTCTCCCCTTGGCCTCTATCAGGCGACTCCAGTTCAGTGCTTTACCTGTGATTGCCGCCAATACTCCGCCAATACTACTACTAGTCGTCAACAGCAGAGGGGGGTCCGAAGCACATGAACCATTTGGACTTTTTCTTTTTCTTCTTCCCCGCACCAGCAGCAGCAGCCAATCGCTTAGCCCCTGCTGCATCGTCTTCCCACAATCTCCCACTCTCTGCGTCACTGGCAGCACTTGAAACAGTTGATTCAGCAACTGAAGCAGAAATCCCGGTCGAACTAGAAGCAGCAGCAGGAGCAGGAGCTTTAACGGGTGCAGGAGCAGGTTTGGGAGCAGGCTCGGGAGCAGGTTCGGGAGCAGGAGCAGGTTTGGGTGGGGAGACAGGCTTGGCGATCGGTGTTGGAGGCTCGTCATAAGTCTCAGCGGGTTGGGCGATGGGAGTTGGAGGCTCCTCGGCATAAGGCTCGGCAGGTTGGGCGATGGGTGTTTGAGGTTCGGCGTAAGGCTGGGCAGGTTGGGCAACAGGGGTGGGTGGTTCGGGAAAGTCGTTGGCAGGTTGGGCAATGGGAGTTTGAGGCTCGGGATAAGACGCGGCGGGTTGGGCTATGGGAGTTGGAGGTTCGGGATAAGGTTGCGCGACTGGTGTTGCAGGCTCGGGAGCATCAAAAGCAGCACCCTCACCATTGGGTGTGACTGAGAGCGGTGTGACTGAATGAGGAGTAACCGAAGCAGATGTTGCAGCAGCAGAAGGCGAACCAGCAGCAGCTAAGAAACCAGCTGTTGGGGTAGAAGCACCACTACCAGGACCAAGGCTGCTTGCTCCTGCTGCCACCCTCCCACTACCACCACCACCAGCAGCAGAAGCACCAGAAGCAAGATGCCCGCTGCTGTTAGGACTGCCAGCTAAGCTCCCTGGTCGGCTGCCAGCCTGGCTGCCAGCGTGGCTGCCAGCCTGGCGACTGGATAAGGACCAGCCACGCGCCACCTGTGCGCCGTCTGCTGATGTGTCCGTGTCCTTCCCAGGGCTGTGCCGAACCTGCGCTGCTGCTTCGGAGTGCAGGCTCGAGGTCCTGCGAGGTGGAGGTGGGTGTGGAGCGGTGGAGGGGAACAACAGAAAGTTCCAGACTAGAGCGTAAGGATTTGAGACACTGAGGGAGTAAAGGGAAAGAAGTGAAGTGAATGGAAGCACACAGGCTTAGGTCACAATATTAAGGTACAGACGCAAAAGAGCCAAGAGAAAGATGGGTGGAAGAGGGAGAGAGTGATAAAGAGTGCATGAGAGAGAGATGGAGAGTGAGAGAGGGGTTGATGAAACATACCGAACAGGAACTTTGAAAGAAGACGAGCGTTGGCTCTCCAGTCTCCCTCTCTCCCTCGGGGATCCTGCTGCTGACGAGGCTCTCGATCCCGGCCCTGCACCCCTCGGGGAGGAATGGGCCGAACCTGGCCCTCCGCTTCGGAGGCCTTCCGCAGCTAGAGCCCGAACCTGCGCCGGAGCCCTGTGGCGGCCAAAGGAAGGGGAGATGCCAAGAGATGACTGGGTTTGAACATGGGAGGAGGGTAGGTGTTGCTGCTGCTGCTGCTGAAGCAAAAACTCCTTAGACTGTTGCGGGTAAGACTGCTGCTGACTGTGCTGCTGCTGGGTGCTGACGCCATGGTGGTTCGGAAAGTTCTTTGGCTTGCGTGGGGTGGAATTGGTGGAAGCGACAGGAGGCATGTGGCGGGAAAGCAGAGCGTACCCTTGGTTCGGCGCTCGCCGCCGGGCCTCGTCCGTAGCCTCGGGTGTCCTGCCGAAGCTGTCGTCGACAGGCATGGCGATAGGCGCGCCAAGCTCGCTAGACATCACGCTCATCCCATCATCATCTATCACACCGGCCCGGATGGCATCAGCAACACCGCTGCCCGACCATCCACCATGCCCCATCCCAACGCCTCCACTCCCGTCACCGCTGCTGTCGCCGCTGGTCCTCCTGCTCCCGCCTGCTCCTCTCATGGCTAACGGCATTGCAATGGGAGCGTCCAGCTCACTCTCCTCATCCATTGCACGCCCCCCTCTCCCTTCCCCATCCTCTCCCTCCTCCCCATCCTCCTCCTCCTCTTCACCACCACCAGCAGCAGCACCACCACCAGCACGCCTTGCGCCCTCCGCTCGTCTTTTCGGCGTGGGACCCATGGGCATGGCGATCGGCACACCAATATCTGACTCCTCCCCATCACCTATCTCCGACGCCCCATCCTCCCCTGCCCCTTGCCGCGCCCCTCCCACTGTGACCGGCATGGCGAGCGGTGTATCAGCATCACTTGCCTCACTGAGGCTTCTCTGGTACTTCCTGCCACTGGAAGACCTTTTTTCCAAAGAATCCATGCGTGCTGCTCCCCCTTCTGTTCCCCCAAGCTGCATTGATTCGGCGACAGAGTCCCTGTCCTCTCCTGCTTCGTCTGACGACCATTCCTCCTCCCCTTCATCTTCGTTTTCCTCCTCGTCTTTCTCTTCCTCCTCCTCTGCCTTCTCCTCTCCCTCCTCTCTCTCCTCTCTCTCCTCTTCCTTCTCCTTGTCCTCGTCCACCTCCTCATCTGCCCCCACGCTTTCTGCTTGATCCTCTCCCTCTTCTTCCCATTGTCTCCCCTCTTCCGTTTCTCTCTCCTCTTCCCTTTCGCTCTCCTCTTCCCTTTCTCTCTCCTCCTCCCTTTCTCTCTCCTCTTCCATTTCTCTGTCCTCTACTCCCTCTCTCTCCTCTACCCTTTCTCTCTCCTCTTCCATTTCTCTCTCCTCCATTTCTCTCTCCTCGTCCCTTTCTCCCTCCTCTTCCCCATCTCCCTCCTCCTCCACAACCTCCTCCTCCGTTTCTCGCCTCGGAACGCTGCGAGCAGGCATGGCAATAGGAGCGTTGAGGTCACTCAAGCCCCCCTCGCTCTCAAAACGAGGAAACCTCCGGGCCACATGCGCAGGAGGTCCATACCCTCCTCTCTCTCCCTCCTCCTCCTGCCTTTCCTGCTCCTCCTGTTCCTCCTCCTCCTGCTCCTCCTGCTCCTCCTCTTCATCATCATATTTCTCTTTTCTTCTTCTCTCATACGAGCTTTCCTCCTCTCCTTCTTCCTCGTCCTCCCCACCGTACCTCCCTTCTCCCTCTCTTCTCTCCTCCTCATCCTCCTCATCCTCCTCCTCTTCTGTGGGAATAGCAGCGGGAATGATGTCAAGAGCGCTTTTGCTCACAGAGTTTCCACGTTCCAATACTGAATGGATCGCGCCCGCTACTGGAACATCATCATCCTCTTCCTCCTCCTCATCCTCCTCCTCATCCTCCTCCTCCTCTTCCTCCTCTTCCTCCTCTTCCTCCTCGTCCCTCACACTAACACCAGCAGCAATGCCAGCAGCAGCAGCAGCAACCACAGGCATGCGGACAGGAGAAGCCACAGGCACCAGACTTTCAGCATCTGTTGCCTCTGTCATAGCAGTAATACCTGTGATATCGGTAGCAGCGTCGTACTCTTTATAAGCTTGCGCCAGGGGCACTTGGCTGTCTGCATCTGTAGCATCGGTCATGCATGTTACAGCCGTGATATCCGTAACCGCATCAAAATCGTTGTACCCCCCTCCCAGTGGTTGCATAGACTCCATCCCCACTTGCTCGTCCTCCTCTTCCTCCTCCTCTTCCTCCTCCTCCTCCTGCTCTGCTGTTCCCTTAGCATCAAACTGCCAGGCACCAGATCCGGATCCCAAGGGACTAGCCCCATCCCACGTGCCCTTCCTCCTGAATCCCCCCTTCCCTCTACCCCCAACCGCCCCCCCTCTCCTTTCCTCACCACCTGCCTCCCCCTCCTCTTCCTCCTCTTCTTCCTCCTCTTCCCCTCCCACCCTCACCCTCTCCATCCCCCGTCCATCACTCATTGTTCTCACTGGTTTCCCCTTCCTCCCCCCTGCCCCTCTTCTCCTTTCCTTACTCCCCACACTCCTCCTCCCCACCTCTTCACCTGCCACATCCGCACCCATATCAAACATTCCAGGGCCAGGCGCAATCACCACAGCAGGAGACTCTAACTCCTCCCACTCTGGGAAACCAGAGCCAAGGTTATCTTTCTTCTCCCCGCCACCACCCATCCCACTCACCACCCTCCCTGGCCCTCCCTCTTCGTCCACCACAGGAACCACCGGCACTCCATCCCTCATAGCCGCACCCAACCCCCCTCTACCTCCCCCAACCGCTCCCAACCCCCCTGCACCCGCATCTGAAGTCAAAGGCTCGTCCCCTGCTCCGGTCCCTGTCAGTTTCACCACCGTCCCTCCCAGAACTAGCACCCCTGCTGCCGCCCCTCCTCGCGCCCTCCTCTCCTCCTCCTCAGTCCGCCATTCCATAGCAGAGGAATCGCTCTCATGACCTCCGTACCGCTCTCCACCATAACTCTCTTTCCCCATCTCCTGCTGCCGCAGCCGCGCCCGCCGCTCCCTCCGCTCGCGCTTTCCGAGCCGCTGTCCCTCCGCCACGGCTTCAGCCGCAATCGGATCAGCAGCCAACGCCAACGGCGCATCTTCATCATCACTATCATCGTCACTATCCTCTTCCTCCTCCTCCTCGTTTCTACCCACCTCTCCTGTCATTCCAGGAGCAAGAGAGCCTGAGAGAAGCACAGCTTTCCCTTCTGGGAGTGGTTCCATAGCGGGTCTCCTGCTCTCCCTAGCCTCCTCCCCACCGTCCTTCTCCTGCTCGTCCCCTTTCCTGACTTCCTCCTCGCCCTCAGTCCCTTCCTCCTCTTCCTCGTCCTCTTCCTGCTCCCCCTCCTCTTCCTCCTCCTCCCGCTTCCCTTCTCCCTCCTCCTCGTCCTCTTCATCCGCGTCCCTCTCCGTTCCCACCTTTGCAGCAGCCTCCGAACCAGCTGCTGCACCAGCAACACCAGCAGCAACAGCCGCAGCAGTCCCAGCGAGAGCAGCACCGGCAGCCAGAGCAGCAACAGGTACTGCATCACTCACAGCGGAAGCAGAGGGGGATAGCTCACTATCAGACACATCTCCATCCCTCCGCCTCCTCTCCTCTCTTTCCTCGTCACTCTCCTCACCCTCCTCACCCTCTTCTCCCTTCCCTCCCTCTTCTTCCTCCTCACCCTCCTCCCTTTCCTCGTCCTCCCCACTTTTCTTGCCATACCTTCTCTCACTCCCCTCACTTCCCGTCTCCTCTCTATACCGTCTTCCCTCTCCCTCCTCTTCTTCCTCCTCCTCATCCCCGTCTCTCCTGACATATTCCCTTCGCCCATACTGATCCCGCTCCTCATCCGTCTCATCCCTCCCATTATGCCTACCTCTCTCACTCTCATACCTATCATCCTCATCCTCCCCACCAGACGTGCCATCCTCTCCCTGCTGCCTTCTCCCACCTTCTCCCCGTCTTCCCTCCCGGTCTCTATCCGCCTCGTCTTGTGTCTCTGATTCGTATTGTCTCTCCGAGTCATATGGTTTCTCCGAGTCATATTGTTGCTCTGACTTGTACCGTCGATCTGACCTGTAGCGTTCTTCCGAGTCGTAACGATCCTCATCCGAGTCGTTACGTCTGTCAGAGTCGTAACGCCCTTCGGAGTCGTCGTTACGTCTGTCCGATTCGTTACGTCTGCCCGATTCATTACGTCTGTCGGAGTCGTAACGCTGGTCCGAGTCATAATGCTGATCAGAATCGTAATGCTTGCCTGAACCCCGAATCTCATCCTCCTCCTCCTCCTCCTCCTCACCTTCCTCATCTTTCTCCTCCTCTTCCTCTTCCTCCTCTTCTTCTAAATCCTTCCTTCGCTCCCTCCGTTCCTCCTCCTCCTCCCCACCACTCTCTCCCTCACCATACTCCCTCCTCCCCCTTCTCCCATCTTCCTCCCCCTCGAACTCCTCTCCCTCCCCTTCCAATCCTCCACCAGAGCCAATGTCAGACCGAGCGTGAGGGGAAGGTTCAGCCGAGCCTGCGTCAGGTTGGGGAATGAGGGCTGGAGACAAAAGAGAATCTGATCGACCGTCCTCCTCCTCATCTTCCTCCTCCTCCGCTCTCGCCTCCTCTTCCTCCTCTGCTCTCTCTTCCTCTTCCTCCTCTCCCACTTCTCCCTCGCTTTCACCCTCCTTCCTCTCTCCATACCCCTCTTTCTCTCTGTACTCATCCTCCTCTTCATCCTCCTCCTCCCTTTCATCTCTTTCAGAACCAGCATCATCCAACACAGAATCAGCAGTGGCAGCTGCCGCAGTCGAATCTAGTGCTACCTCTGACCCTTCCTCTGATCTCGCCTCTGCCTCCTCCTCATGCTCCTCCTCCCTGTCATCTCTCTCAGAACCAGCATCTTCAAAGACAGGAGCCGCAGAGGCAGCAGTGCCTGCAACGGCAGCAGTAGCAGCCACGGCAACGGCGGCAGTGGCAGCAGTAAACGTTGATTCAAGTGCTGACCCCGCGTCTGATCTCGCCTCGTCACCTGATTCACGCTCCTCCGCCCTCCCTTCCTCCCCTTCCGCCCCTTCCTCCCCATCCTCCCCTTCCTCCCCATCCTCCCCTTCCTCCCCATCCTCCTCTATATCACTCTCTCCCAGATCTTCCTCGCCTCTCTCACTCTCCCCCCTCTCACTCTCCCCCCTCTCATTCTCCCCTCTCTCACTCTCCCCTCCTTCACTCCCCCCCTTCTCACTCTCTCGTCTTTCACTCTCCTTCATCTCTCTCTCCCTCTCCACCGCCGTTTCCATCCCCTCATCCGACCTTCCATCTCCAATCCATTCCCCCCCTTCCACCTCTCCTTCTACTCCTTTCCCTTCCCTCACCTCTTCTCCTTCCTCCTCCCCCTCCTCGTCCTCCTCACTCACCTCGTCCCTCTCCATCCCATCCTCTCTCTCCTCCCTCTCCTCCTCCTCCCTCACCTTCTCCCTCACCTCCTCATCATCACCCACCCTCTCGCCCCTCTCCTCCCTCTCCTCTCCCTCCTCACCCTCCTCCTCCACCTTCTCACCAGCAGCCCATCCGGCTCTCCTCCCCTCCTCTCCGCCCTCCCCGTTCCACCCCACACCGAACCCAAACCCCTCCCCAGCCACACGATACGTGGCCAGGCGAGCCCGGGGGGAAATGGGGGAGAGCAGGGAGGGGCGCTGAGGCGGGGGGGACGGGGGGTGGCGCGGGGAGAGCGCCAGAGACGCTCTGGGGGAGAGCGCGAGGGGGGCGTGGGGGGAAAGGGTGAGGGGAGGATGGTGGGCGTGGGTGGGTAGGGTGAGTGAGACTTGGGGAGATGGCCTATGCGGGGCAAAGGTGAAACCAGACGGATCAGCACCAGCAGCAGCAATGCCAGCACCACCATCAGCACCAGCACCAGCACCAGCACCAGCACCAACAGTACCATCAGCGGCGGCGGCGGCGGCGGCGGCGGCGGCAGCGGCAGCAGCAGCACCAGCAGCAGCGGAGCCTAAGCTTCCAGTGCCTAGATGGGGCGAGGGGGGACTGTGGGGGGGAGCAGCCTCTTGGGGGGAGTGGGGGCTCCAGCTGGCACTGCGGGGGGAGCGAGCAGTGAGAGCGATGGCTCCAGGGGAATCAGCTTCTATATCTGCTTCCCCTGCTCCCTCTGCTTCCCCTGCTCCCTCTGCCTCCCCTGCTCCCTCTGCTCCTTCCGCTCCCTTTGCTCCCTCTGCTTCCTCTGCTTCTGAATCACTCATCTCTTTCCCCTGGGTCACAGGGAAAACAACCTCATCCCCTTCCCCTCCTCCTCCTTCCTCCAATTCTTCCTCTTGTTCTTCCACTTCATTATTTACACTCTCCCCTTCACTCTCCGTATCCACCCTCTCTCGCTCCTCCATCTCTATCTCCTCCTCATCCTCCTCACCCTCCTCTTTCTCCTCCTCCTCCCCTTCAGAGAGAGCCCATTCTGCCGCACTGCCACCCACTTCCTCCCCCACTTCTCCCTCCCTTTCCTCCTCCTCCTCCTCCTCCCTCTCATCACCATCCTCACGCCTTCCTGCTGCTGCCTTAGCAGCAGCCGCCGCTGCTGCCAAACCTGCTGCCGAAGCTGCTGCTGCCGAAGCTGCTGAAACCGCTGCTAACGCCTCTCTTTCCTCGTCCTCCTCCCACTCTTCCCCTCTCCCTTCCCACTCACCCTCACTGCTCTCCTCCCCTCCCTCACTATCGATATCCTCCATCTCCTCCCCACTCTCTCCTTCCTCCCTCACTCTCTCCTCCTCTCCTTCTAGCCTCTCCTCTTCTCCAAGGACTCTCTCTCCTTCTCCCTGCCAAGCTTTTTCTCCTTCCTCATCAAACCTACCCTCCCCATCTTCAGATCTACCTTCCCCATCTTCAGATTTATTTTCCTCATCCTCAGATCTACCTTCCCAGTCCTCAGACCTCCCTTCCCCATCCTCAGATCTACCTTCCTCAGAACCACCTGCCTCTGACACCCGTTCCGAAATCCTACCATCAGCCAAGTCATCCTCCAAATCCTCCTCATCTTCCTTCGCAGATACCACCTCCCCTTCATTGTCAATGCCTGATTCCGCCGCACCCTCCTCCCCTTTCACAGATAACACCTCCCCCAGATCAGACTGTCCAGTCGCAACCTCCTCCTCGTCCTTCTCTTCATCACTGTCTGTCGCCCTGCCCCTTTCTTTCTCCTCCACCTCCTCCTCTTCTTCCTCCTCTTCCACCTCCTCCCCTTCTTTTGCCACACTCCGTTCCTCCCCTTCTCCCTCACTCTCCTCACTCTTAAGAGTTTCCCTCTCTTGACCCTCCTCCATATAATCCCTCTCCTCCCCATAATCCCTCTCCTCTCTCTCGTTCATCTCCTCCTCCTCCTCCTCCTCGCTCTCCATCCCTCCACCGCCTTGTTTCTCACTCTCTTCACCAACATCCATCTCATCATCCTCACTCTCCTCCCTTCTACTCTCCTCCCCCTCTCCTTCCCCCTCACTCTCCCCTCCACCCCTAGCCCCATTCTCAAACAACCCTTCTCCACTCTCCCCCGATAAGTCACTTCGCTTATCATCATCATTGATCTTGCCCTCCACGTCCTCCTCCTCATTATCCCCATACTCCTTCCTATCCTCCTCGTACTCTTTATAACGCTCCTCCTTATAATCCCCTCCTCTGTGCTCCTCGTCCTCTTCCTCCTCCTCATCTGCCACCATCTGGTTCTGATGGTACCTGTGTCGCCTCTCCCTCCTCACCTCCCCATCACTATCTTCCTCCTCACTCTCCTCCCTCTCACTCCCCCCCTCCCTGTCACTCCCCTCCCTCTCACACCCCTCCCTGTCACTCCCCTCTCCCTTATCCTCTTCCCCTTCTCTCACCTCCCGCTCAACCTCTTCTCCCTTACTCACTTCCCTCTCACTCTCCCCTCCCTCACTTCCCCCCATCATAAAACCACCGCCCAGTGCATCTACTCCCCTCTCCTCCTCCTCATCCTCCTCCCCATCCCGCTCACTACTGGCCTCCTCCCCACCAGCCTCCTCCTCCTCCTCCTCACGTCCCTCCCTCCACTCTCTCTCCTGAAGCTCCCTATCTTCCCTTTCCTCCTCCTGCTCCTCCCTCTCCTCCTGTCCCTCCTTCTCTTCCTCCCTCTCCTCCTGCTCCTCCCTCTCCTGCTTCTCAAGCCCATTCTCGTCAAAAGCAGACTCGATAAGAGCAACTGACGCATCGCCTTGCACAGGATACACTCCCTCTCCACCCTCTCCTAGAGAAGCTCCCACTGCCAACCCCACCCCAACAAGGCCAGCAGAAACGGCGGCCACAGCAGAGGGGGCGGCCACAGCAACAGCAACATCGTCATCGCTATCACTCCCATCGCTCTCGCTCATACCCCCAGCACCAACATCAACACTGTCCTTTTGCTCCCTTGGCCCGTCCCCATCCTCGTCCCCCATTGCCTCTTCCCTCAACTCGTCCTCACTCAAACGTTCCTCTTGCTCATATAGTTCCTCCTCCTGCTCTCCCCCAAACCCTTCTCCTTTCACTCCCCCGCCTCCCACACCTCCCACTTCCTCCGCTTCCTCGTCGCTCTCCATCCTCCCCTCATCTTCCAAACCTCTTTCTTTTTCCGAACCTGCTTCTGAGCCGCCCCTCAAGCCACTTTCCGAGCCTTGGTGTTCGTCCCTATCCGAATCCCCTTCTTCTAGTGGTGGTGGTACTGCTGCTGCCACTGCAACCACCGCATCATCGTCATCATCATCATCATCATCATCATCACTTCCCTCGTCCAATTGTCCGATCCCCTTCATCCCTTCACCCATACTTCCCTCCAATTCCATTCCCTCCTCCATCTCACCCTCACTCCCACTCTCAATTTCCTCCTCACTCCCCCTCGCACTCCCCTCCTCCCTCCCATCCTCACTCCCCTCCTCACTCCCAGCATGCATCTTGGCCCATTGTCTCTCCCTCTCCTCCTCCTCACTGTCTCCGTCACGCTCCCCCTCACTCTCCCCTCTCTCCATCTCCTTGTCCTCTCCTCTCACACTCCCCTCCTCTTCTTCCCCATCCCTCAGACTCTCCCACTGCCTCTCCCTCTCCTCTTCTTCTCCACCCCTAGACACCACACTCCCTCTCTCACTTCCCTCCTCACTCCCCCTCTCATCCTCGTATCTGCCCTCCCCCTCTCCCTCCAACCCGTCCCACCCTTCTCTCCTCCCACTCCCTGAAAACTCCCCCCTCCAACTTCCCTGCGGCGATAACTCAGGTGTCAAAATTCCCTCCCTTTCCCCCTCGTCTTTCCAGCTTCCCTGTGGCGACAACTCAGGTGTCAAAACCCCCTCTCTCTCCCCCTCGTCCTTCCAGCTTCCCTGTGGCGACAACTCAGGTGTCAAAACCCCCTCTCTCTCCCCCTCGTCCTTCCAGCTTCCCTGTGGCGAGAACTCAGGTGTCAAAACCCCCTCTCTCTCCCCCTCGTCCTTCCAGCTTCCCTGTGGCGACAACTCAGGAGTCAAAACCCCCTCCCTCTGAGTCAACTCAATAACAGACCCTTCCCCTTCAGACCCTTCCCCTCTCTCGCTCCCTGACATGTCCCCCCTCCAACTGCCCTGGGGGGTTAACACAGGTGTCAAAACCCCCTCCCCCTCTTCCTCCCTCTCCCTCTCCCTCTCTGCCTCGTCTCCCCAGTCCCCGCTTCCTTGAGGGGTAATTTCCCCTTTACCCCTCCAAACCGGGGTAAGTTCCCCTTCGCCCCCCCAGCTGCCCAGAGGAGTTAACGTATCATCACCCCTGAAACTGCCCAGGGGAGTGACGTCATCACCCCTCCAGCTTCCTTGGGGTGTAAGCTCTGGAGTCAAAACACCCGCCGAACCACGGTCACTGCCAAGCCTGCGACCCTCCGAACCTTCCGCCGAGCCTCTGTCCGAACCTGACCACTCCTCATGCTCCCGCTGCTCACTATGATCGTCGCTGTGCTCACCATCTCCCTCCTCATCCTCATCCTCCTCATCGTTCGGCCTACCCACATCCACCACCAGTCCTGACCCTCTTCTCCCCACCAGACCTGAACCCAATCGGCCCGCCAAGCCTCCCATCAACCCAATCCTCTTGCTCTCCTCGCTCCGCTTCCTCTCGTCGCCTTCCTCCCCATCCTCGCCTTCCCTGTCCCCTTCCTCCTCGAAACCTCTAGCCTCCTCTGCTTCCCCTGCATCCTCATCGTCCTTTTCGTCTTCCGACCCCCTTTCACTCGCAGATCCCCTCTCCTCAGCTGAACCCCTCTCCTCATCTGAGCCCCGCTCTTCGTCTGAACCCCTCTCCTCATCTGATTCTCTTTTTGCAGCCCATTCCTTCCACTCCTGGTCCGCCCTTTCCTCTATCTCCCCCTCCTCCCCACTCATCCCGCCTCCTTCCTCACCACTCCCCCTCTCACTCCCCTCCTCCTCGCCCCTCTCACTCCTCTGTTCACTCCCATCCTCGCTACCACTGTACCCCTCCTCCCCCACCCACCTCTCCTCTCCCCTTTTCCACCTCCCATCCCGACTATCAGGCCTCCCATCCCTGCTTATCGGTCTTCCCTCCTCATCATAATCCCCATCCCTCCCATAACTGCTATCAGGCCTCCCATCCCTACTTATCGGTCTTCCCTCCTCATCATATTCGTCAGGCCTCCCATCCCGGCTATCAGGTCTCCCATCTCTGCTTATCGGCCTCCTACCATCTCGGCTTATCGGCCTACCCTCCTCATCATACTCTTCATTATAATCCGAACCTGACCAGTGTCCCAAGCCTCGCTCTGAGCCTCGTTCCGAACCAGTCCAGTCGCCCGAGCCTTGCCTGTGATGATTTGGGCCTCCTGCTGAGCCTTCTGACCTGTGGTCAGACTCTTGTTCGGATTCACTGTGCATCTCACTCCCTCCCTCACTTCCTCGCTCACTTCCCTCCTCACTCCCTCTCACACTCCCTTCCTCCCTCTCATCCTCTCCCCCAACTTTCTCCCGATCTATACCAGAAACTTCCAGCCCTCCCTCTTCTCCCTCCCCAACCTCCCCTCTCTCTTCACCCTTTTCACCTTCTTCCGGACCTGAACCTTCCGAACCAGTGTCCCCTTCCTCCTCTCCAACACCCTCCTCCTCCCTTTCCCTTTCCCCCTTCACTCTCTCCTCGTCTCTCCCAGCCTCTCCCATAGTCATGTCAACGCTTCCGAAGCTCTGCAAAGGTGCTGCTTCCACCAGACCAGCTGCCGAGCCTGCTGCAGAGCCTGTAACCAGACCTGCATCCCCAACCTGGCCATGCTTCCGAAGCTGCCACTGATCGGCTGCCGATCCATCCTGCAGCTTGGTCCGGCGAGACGGGGATGCACCAACCTCCTCGTCCAATTCACCTGGCCCAAACTGCCCGGGAGATCCGGGCGGTCGCCCAAATCTTTCTCCCAGCTTCCTCTTGCCGCCCACTCCCGACCCCTCGCTCTCCCCTCCACTCACACTCCTCTCATCCCCATGCTCCTCATCTTCCTCCATCCTTTCCCTTCTCTCCTCATCACTATCACTCAAATCGTCAACCACAGCTGAAGCTGCCATTACATCCCTGCCTCCCATCTCTCCTCCCCCCTCTCCTCCTCCCAGCTCTCTTCCCTCAATCCCCTCATCCTTTTCCTTCTCCTCAAACCCGGAGGCTCCCACAGCAGCAACAGCAGCCGCAGCAACAGCACCCATGCCAGTTACCACTCCCGCTCCAGCCACACCCATACCCCCTCCCTTCACCGTCCCCCCTCCTCCCCCCCCATCTTCCTCTGCCTCTGTATCCGCCTCCTGCCTGCTGCTAACCCTCTTGAAGCTCCTTCGTCCGAAGCTCCCCCACGGGCTCTTCTTTGCTCCTCCTGGGGGTGTAGGCACAAGGGGAACCAACACCTCCTCTCCTACCCCCACACTCACTCGCTTTGGCCCCTCCTCTCCCACTCCCACACCCCCCCCTCCCCCTGCCCCTGTCCCTGCCCCTGCCCCTGCCCCTGCTGCTCCTGCCCCGTCCTCACCCGTCCACATTTCCACTCCCCTTTCAGCCCCTTCCTCCACCACCGTTCCCAACCCTGCTCCACCGCTTCCCCCTCCGGACTCGCTCCTTCTATCCCTCGTAGGTGGAAACGGCCTAGGAGACATTGACACTCCCGCCACTGCCCCCACAGCCCCCACTGCTGCTGCTGCGCCTGCAAGTGCAGCAGGAGAGGCAGCAGGAGACGGAGCAGCAGACCCAGGGGAGGCAGAACCGGTGGAGGTAGATCTGAGGAAGCTAGACCCGCCCCTGGCACCGCCCACACTGCCACTAGGGGACGGAGCAACCGGCAGGGGCAGCGGCGCATGCTTCGTTGGGCTGGCATTGGCTTGTCTCATTATGGGGAGGGTCGGCGCGCGGCCGTACTGGGCCATAGCATCGTCTATTTCCATGGATCCGCCAGGAACCCGGTCTAGGCCCGGGTCACTGTCTGTGTGTATGAACGCACGCCCTGTCACGCCTCTTCCTGTCCCCCGCCCGCGCCCCCTCCCTACTCCTCCTGCCCCTACTCCTGCTCCACCTGCTCCTAGTGAAGTTGTTTCTAGGGTTAATTCCCCATCGGCCCCTCTTCCGCCCCGTCCTATCCCTCTTCCCCTCCCACCTCTCCCCAAACCTCTGCCTGTAGGCCCTCGGCCTCCTGCCAACCCTCCTTCTCCCGCTCTCCCCCTCCCCCTCCCTCGCCCCTCCGCCCCTTCCCCTCGACCCTCCCCCCGACCTCTCCCCTCCAACCCTTCCCCACGCCCTCTCCCCCGCCCCTCCAACCCCTCCCCTCTCCCCCGCCCCCTTCCCCTGCCTCTCCCCACAGCTCCCGGGCTTTCTACCTCCAACCCTCTGCCCCGTCCCCTCCCTCTCCCCCTCCCCCTCCCTCTACCCACCCCTTCCCCTGCCTCCTCCCCTCCACTCTCCCCCTCCCCATCGTCACCAGCGGGTGTTACCCCCCTCCCCCTCCCCCTCCCCACGCCCCGCCCGCGCCCCCTCCCCCTGCCTTCCCGCCCGCCCACCCCCTCCACCCCCCTCCCTCTCCCCCTCCCTCTCCCCCGCTCCCTGCCCACACCGACAGAATCAGCACCAGCAGAAGCAGAATCGGACCTTTCTTCCCCGTAATCCTCGTCCGATTCAGACCTGTCACTTCCACTCTCCCTCTCGCTCCCACTCCTGCTCTGGCCCTCACTTTGATTCTCCCCTTCACTCTCACTCCCACTCTCTTCCCCTCCTTTTCCAAACCTCCCTCTTCCTCTCCCCATCCCGTCCTCCTCCCCATCTCTCTCCCCTTCCTCACTCATCTCCTCCCCCTCACTGCTCCCCTCCCCTTCCTCAGTTGCTGCTGATGAAGCATCATTCTCCTCCTCTTCACTCCTCTCACTGCCGCTCCTGCTACTTCCACCACTCCCCTTGTCCCCATCCCTATAACCCTTCCCCATTCCTCTCCCTTCCTTCTCCTCCTCCTCATCCTCCTCTTCCTCATCTCCCATTTCCCCTTCTCCAAACGAATCCTGGGAAGGAACCTTAAAACCGCCACTACCACCAGTAGCAGCCCCCCTCCCCCTTCCCATGCCCATCCCAAACCTACCACCACCGAATCCAACCGAACCTCGCCCATGCCCCACCCCTGTCTCACCCATCCCCATCGCTCCCCCTCCCCTAACACCCACCCCCACCCCTTGAAACGAATTCACCCGATTAGCAAGCGGCGAGGCAGCAAACCCACTCCCACTCCCGCCCCTCGCGTCCACATTAAACGAATTCACACGATTGGCGAGAGGAGAGGACGGAATCCCGCCTGCACCGCCCCCAGTCCCTGGTCGGTTGTCCACATTAAACGAATTTACCCGCCCTGCTGCCATAGCATGGGGGGAAGCCAGCCCACTAGCCGGATGCGAGAAGGAGTTGACTCTATTCGCTGTTGCTGCTGCCCTGGGGCTGCTGCTAACCGCTCGCATCTGAAAGGAGTTAACTCTTGCGGCTAGTAGCCGGTCTCGTTCTGACATGGGAGGGTGCGGGTGAGGTGGGGGGGTCGGGGTTAGAGGCACGCCGTCCCCCTGCAAACGGTGTCCAGAGAACGAGTTCACCCGGTTGGTCGGCAGCTTCTGGGGCGGCTCGGAAAATACGGAGAAGGAGTTGACGCGGCCGGCGGCGGGCGGCATCGGACGGACGAAACCAGCCGCGCCCGGGCGGCTGAGGGCGGCAACTCTCGGACTGCCCAGCCCCCCGGACCCGGTAAGCGGTTTGTGGGGAACGTCGAAATGCTGCGATCTTAAAGCCTTGATTGCTGCTGGGATGTGCGGCAGGTCGTGCTTACCACTGCCACCCGCACCACCACCACCAGCACCGCCGCTGCCCCCCAAGTTACCGAAACTGCTGTTGTTGCTTTGACTCGACAGGTTCACCATGGCAATAGGAATATCATCATCGTCATCATCATCGTCATCCTCATCATCATCATCATCCTCCTCAATCTCTTCACCAGACCCTGATAGACTGTCAGGGGTAACAGAACCAGCCTCTTCTGGCATCCCAGCGTCATCCTGAGAATCACTCTCCCCTTGCGAATCCCCCTCTTGAAATTCACCCCCTTGAGAGCCCCCATCTTGAGAATTCATCCCTTGGGAATCCCCCTCCCCGAACGAATCTTCTTCTCCTTGGGAATCCCCCAAGCCTTCCCCATCCAGGTCCGGTGCTCTTCCCGGCTGCGCAATCGGCACCACATCGCTGTCCGAACCTGACCCATAATCTCCCGAACCTCCAGCTTCAGCAAGCGGAATATCCTCGTCATCGTCATCGTCATCATCATCGTCGTCGAATATCCCTTCCTCCTGCTCCGGAAATCCCATGCCTGGACCCTGGTACAAGCCAACCCCGCTTCGTGCCGAACCTCCAACGGAGCCTCGGAAAGACCCCGAGTCAGCGAGCGACCCTCGGAAGGAGCCTCGGGCCGAGCCAGTGGCGCTCATACCATCGTGTATAATCACACTGCCACTATCACCCCGCCCCCCCTCCTCATCCTCCTCCCCTTCCCCCTCCTCTTCCGACCCTGAATGATACTCCCTTCCAGGTTCGGCCAAGGGAATATCGTCATCATCATCATCATCGAACGAGCCTTGATCCGAGTCTCCCCTTTCTCCTCCTAACTCACCCATTCCTCTCCCTTGCCTCTCCCCAACGTTCATCCCCCCACCCACCACCCGCCCTCCTCCCACTCCCCCCTCAACATCACTCCCACTCAATCCTTCCTCCCCCTCCCTCATCTCCTCATCCTCAGTCCAATCACCAGACCCCTCCCTCCCCTCCCTTCCTACACCTACCTGCTTCTCCTCCCCTCCACTCATCGACATATCGTCCTCTTCCCCCTCCCCTTCCGAACCCTCCCCCATCCTTCCGCCTCTCCCATCCCGCCCTCTCATATCCCCCCTGTTATCACCCCTCTCACTCCCACTCCCCATCTCACTCCCACTCTCCACCTCACTCCCACCTTCCTCCTCCCCTCCATACACCACCTTCCCTCCTCCCTCTTTAAAACTCACTCTTCCAGCGCCCAGCAACCTCCCCATACCCCTACCATCCCCCTCTCTCTCTTCCTCCAAAAACTCATCCTCATCCTCCTCCTCTACTACCTCTAGCCCTCGATCCTCCTCCCCCCACATCCTCCCCACTCCGCCTTCCTCTCGGCCGTATCCCTCCTCCTCTGCGTCCATATCACCCTCCTCTTCATCAAGCCTCCCCTCCTCATCCATATCATCAATATCCATTCCCATCCTCCCACCTCCTCCTTTTACTCCTCTTCCCTCTGCTCCTCCTACTCCTCCTCCTACTCCTCCAGCTCCTCCCCTTCCTCCTCCCCTCTCGTCCTCCTCCTCACTCTCCCCGTAACTATCCCCTTCCTCCCCTTCCTCGTCCCACGATTCACTCCCTCTACTGCTCCCTCTCTCATGCCTATTCCCATCCATCCCAATCCCTCCTCCCCCCCTCATCCCCCCTCTCCCATCATAATCCTCCTCCTCCTCGCGACCCTCAATCACACTCCCTTCCTCACTCCCACTCCCACACCCACTCCCACTCCCACTCCCACTCCCACTCCCGCTCTCGCTCCCCCCACCACCTCTTCCCGCGCCCCTCCTTCCCCTCCTGAAACTCCCATCGCTCCCGCTTCCCCTCTCACTCCCTCTCTCACTCGCTCCCTCACTCGCTCCCTCACTCGCCTCGCCCTCTTTCTCGAGGTGCCCATCCACGGCCGCCATGAGCACATCGAAGTAAGCCACCACACTCTCCGCGATCTGCTCGCACCCAAACTGCTGCAGCGCATCGTCCAGATCCGCCGCCCCTGGGATGCCTGTGGGGGGGGTGGGGGGTGGGAGGGGTGGGTGGGGGTTGGGTTGGGAGGGGTATGCCTGTCAGGAGAAGAAAGGGAGATACGGCACGAGATGGGGCACGCAGCAGCACTCAGGCGACCCAAACTGTTGCAGCGCATCGTCCAGATCCGCTGCACCTGGGATGCCTGTGGACAAAAATAGGGGAAGGGATGGGGGGAAGAAAGGGGGCGGAGGGGGGGAGGTGGGGAACGCAGCAGCACTTCAAACTGCTGCTGCAACGAGAGTCGTCCATTTCCGCTGCACCTGGAAGCCTGTGGGAGGGGCGGACGAAAAATGGGCAAGAGAAGGGGCACGCAGCAACACTCCGGGCGACCAGAACCGCAGTGGTGCAGAGCATTGTCTTCAGGATCCGCTCTAAGCCAAAAAGATATCCGTGCTAGAAAACAAACTAACTAACCTGTTTGGCACACAGCTAGACGACCAACCGGAGTGCAGCACAGCTGACTGCGCTTGCTGTCACACTTCAGGCAGGCAGGCAGGCCTGTGAAAAACGGCTACGGCATCCGCTTTACAAGCAGACTCAGCCATGCATCCGCATTACGAGCAGCCTTAGTCTCGCATCCGAATTAAAAGCAGACTCAGCCTTGCATCCGCGTTACAAGCTGACTCACCTTTAGAAGCGAGATCCGCCACAAGCTCTTCAACAGCGTAGGCTGTATCGTCATCGTCCACCAGAGCATCCACTGCTGGGTCCTGCACGAATTGCTGTTTTGGGGGGAGGGGGGAGGGGGAACATGAACATGGGGGAAACAACATGGGGGAAGTATTCATGCATGAGGATATCGGAACAGTTTAAACATGCATCTGCTTCCACCAGAGCATCGACCGCTGGGTCCTGCACGAATTGCTATTTTGAGGGGGAAACGTCAACATTGCAGGAGAAAAGACAAACATGTAGGAAGCGGGAATGGGGCAGAAAAAAAAATGAGAATTGTACGCTTGAGAGACTTCAGAGCGAAAAGAAACAAAGGAATTGCAAGAATAAAACAAACTAACGGAGCAACGGACCTTAGCAAGGGAGGAAGCAACGGAGAAAGACTCCTCCACCAGCGGCAGCAGCTGCCCCATGCGCTTCTCCAGCTCGCGCTCCACCCATGGCTGGCGCAGGGAGAGGGGGGAGAAGGTGGCGGGGAAAAGGAAGGCGGAAGACGGGGAAAGAGGAGGATTAGGCTGGAAGGGGGGACACCCCAGCGGTAGCAGCTGCCCCATGCGCTTCTCCAGCTCGCGCTCCACCCATGGCTGGCGCAGGGAGAGGGGGGAGGAGGCGGGGAAAGGAAGGCGGAAGACAGGGAAAGAGAAGAGGATTAGGCGCGGGAAGGGGGGACACCCCAGCGGTAGCACCTGCCCCATGCGCTTCTCCAGCTCGCGCTCCACCCATGGCTGGCGCACGGGGGGGGCGAGAATGAGGGGTGGAGGGCGGAAGGTAGGGACGGAAGAAGGAAAGGGGATTACGGGGTGAGGGAAGAACTCCCCAGCAGCAGCAGCTGCTGCCCCATGCGCTTCTCCAGCTCGCGCTCCACCCGTGGCTGGCGCACGGGGGACAGAGTAGGAAGGTGGGAAGGGGTGAAAGGTGAGCGGGAGGAAATGGGAAAAGAAGGGGATTACTAGGGAAACTAAGAACCCCAGCTCAGGTGTACTAGGGAAAATAAGAAGCCCAATACCAGGTGTACTAAGTGATGTTGCTCTCAACACAACAGCAGATTACCTCCCCTCCGGCGACCCGACTGGGTATTGTAAATAAATAAATAAAATAACGTTTCGTCACAATCGCCTCCCTCCATAACCAACCGGCCACACGTTATGCGGCTCTCTAACCGCGCAGATTGACTCACCTCCTCGGAGCGGTGGCGGAAAGGGAGTTTTTAGTCGATTCAACTGTCACTTTCCTTCCATCGTCTCAAAAGAATCAGTTGGGTCAACAAACCACACGTGACGGCGCTCTCAATCCGCGAAGGTTAACTCACCTCCGGCGCGCCGGGAAGACCTTCACCGCCGTTATTATTCATGGCCGTACACTTTCGGTCCGAGAAGGAGAATGAAAGGAGAACTACGAGACGTTATTCATAATACGTGTAGCACCGTCCTCCCTATCAGCTAACTACTTCTTTTTTCCGAGCAGACTAGTGTTAGCAACACGAGCACTTTTGCAGGGACGGTGACATCAAATAACCAGGTAGGAACTTGTTAGCGGCCCGTTAGGAAAGCTGTATTAAACTGTTAGGTGGAAACTCCAACCGAGATGCGTGTGGCGAAAAGCGCGAGGTGGTATGTGGCGCGTAGCGAAATACGTAAGACGTAACGGCGTAAACGATTCACTGGCGGATGGATCGGCCACTGGCGGGATAAAAATGATTCACCACGAATATCTCACTGCACCGAAATACCTAACTTTACCGACATAAATAATACAGGTTAATTGACGTCTGGCTGCCCTCTCTACAACATTGGACACTCGACTTCGACTCTTGGTTCTGTCCAAACGCTGTTCCGTAACCGGCAAAGTATAACTTAAAGCGACGGTGCACATTTGCCACCCAAAAAACTTCTGAACCCAACACTGCCAAAAGTTGCCCGTCGCTTTAACGCAACCCTAATCGTTCATAACCTGTACGTTAATCGCTCCAGCTAAGCTAGCTCTATCCTCCGTCGTCTTCCACCTTTCCCATTCTTCCTTGCGACTTGGAAAAAGGCGCAAAGCAAATGCAACCTACTCAAGAGGGAAACACACACAACCCACCCGCTTCCCATACTCTGAGAAATGCTATCAACTTGTCCGGCTCCAAGGGGCTGGCATTTGAGAGGTTAGGTCAGGAAGAGGACTCTCGGGGTTGACGAGAAAACAGCTGTCGAGAAAACAGTTCCCAAGGAAGGATGCGGGGTATTCGTGCTGCCACCTCATAATTGGCTTGATTGCTTGAACCCAGCCCTCAATACAATCATAATTTTCTTGACCGAGAATCTGCCCACATTACTGTTCACTCTGGTTTCCCGCCACCGCTGATTGTCCATTGGGTTGGACCTCAATTTGCTGCCCAGGACCACACTCTTCGTTTGAGGCACACCTCTTTCTTCCGCGATTCGAAACTGACCCTGCGAAAAAACACAAGGCGAACAAACGCAACGACGATGCACTTGGTGGTTGGGGTTTCGCCAACGCCGATCTCTTCGTTATGGTAAAAGACGAGTGTCAATAGAACTCATTCTTTGGTGTTCCGACAAGGAAACTCTTACACTACTACAAGATGAACCAGATCTTACAGGGGTATGGCTAATAAAACACAATTGTTTCCAATCATTATATATCAAGAATATTATATATATTACGAGATGAATATCATGAAAATATTAAAAATCAATATCATGCGTTTGCATTTTTGCATAATGTATAGTATTCTCGTATATATTCTATTATGAGCTAATAGAACTTTGTATTGCAGATTCGAAAGCTTCGGCAACGAGTGATTCGTGTTTCAGCACGAACAGATGGGGGCTTTATAATGTGGATGACCACCACCATACCCAGCGCATATAATGCTGGTTGCCTATTGGACAGTGGGAGTGAAGGGTGGGAGCACCCATCATGACGATCTCTTTCCCGCCAAAGAGATTTTACTCAGCCTCGCAGCTGGTGGTTACAGCAGTACACCGACAACAAACTATTTCGCGAGAGCTCCCTAGAATCATGAATTCGTGAATCCTTCCAGAAGCATCCATTTCTCCACACGGGGCAGCATCCTCCATTCTTTGATTCTCCTATCGTAAACGCACTTCTACACTACCATCATCTCTCAATCATCCCCCCCCCCCCCAGACTCCCAAAATCCCGCAACACTCCCAAAGTCTTCTACGGGACTTCCCTGAAGCTGGAATCTGGATTCCCCAGCCAGATCTGCTCCACCTCCAACGTCTCTTTTTTCGTACCTCTGCTGGCAGATCTGGTCTAGGGTTTCTCCCGATCAAGTCTTGGACTGGTAGCCGTAACATTGGCATCTATCTATCCCATGCGTGTCTGGCATCTGTTATAAGCGTATCAGTGCTATTGTGCAGTTTTAGAGCGTACTTCGTCTTGCCATGCTCTGCAAGCTCCACTGCGATTCACACTCGGTCGTCAATTTCCGTCTTCTAAGCGTTCCTCGTTCCGCGCGGCTTTTAGACGGGAATGGCCAATCGCAACAGGTTCACCAGCGTTAACCTTAACAACTCTTTCGGAAAGCAAAGCTCGAGTCAGTCACAAAGCGGAAGCGGCCATGGCAGCGGGAAATTCGGAAAATCTGCATCTTCTGGTGGAATGGTCGTCTTGGGGAAAACAGGACCTGGGTCAACATCGATGGGATCTGCGCATAAGTCACGGCTAGTCGTTCCTAAACCGGTAAACTTGCCGTCTTTGCGGCGAGAGCACGCAGGAAACGACCCATCCGTGTCCCTGGTCCAACCCACCGGCATTGGATCGGGCTGGCAGAAACCTGTCCTCGTCTCAGACGGATCCGCTAGTGACTCCTCGTCCTCGAAACCGCTGGGGTCCACGTCATCGCCGTCTGACGTCAATGCAGCTTCTGGACAGCTCGGATTCCAATCTTCCGCGATTTCCGCAGCAGATTCCGGCGATGCTTCCCGTGCCTCTCGCCCGGGGGTATATCAACCCCCAGGAGCTAGAACCGGAATCGGAATGGCAACTGCAGCACCTTCCGCGAAACCTGCTCCTCCCGGGCGGCAGAACGAGCCATCTATCATCAGCGGGGAGGATTTTCCGTCGCTCGAAACCGCCAAGAAGGTGCTTGCGAAGGAGCACTCTCGGGGAAAGAGTCCGCAGCCCCCCGTACCCTCAGGGGGAAGCTCTGGCAACAAAACGGACGCTTCAGGGGACCACGACGGCGGTCGCCGAAGCAGCATCGCAGGGCAGGAGACAGGAGCGGGGCCAGAAAGTGGGGGCAGCCGAAGCAGCAGGGGAGGTACGGGAGCTATGGGAGGTCTGGGAGGTATGGGAAGTATGGGGCGCTGGGCGGATGACGAGCCTGATCAAGAACAGGACGATCGAGCGCCGCTTGGAAAATCTTCATTGAGTCGAGACAGACAGGAGGAGCCGAATTTTCCTCCTCGCGGGTCCGGCGACGGCGGGCCTATGCGACCGGATCCGTTTGCCGGGCCCATGCGACCGGATCCGTTTCGCCTGCCGTCGCCGCCCCGTCGCATGTGGGCCGACGACGAGCGAGATTCGGGTCCTCCTCGCGGTGGCCCTGGCCAGAGGGGCAACGCGCCTGGTTACTATGGCGATTCAAGGGGCCCTGCTGATTCCAGAGGGCCGGGACCCGGCGGGTACTTCGACGAAAGGGGTGGGAGAGACGCAGGAGGGTTCGGGGGACCGGGTAACTGGGACGGGCCACCTCCGTATGGCATGGGTGCAGGGCACATGGGTCCAGGCCCAATGGGTCCAGGTTCGATGCATCCAGGCGCTATGGGCCCTGGCCCAATGGGTCCAGGTTCGATGAATCCAGGTGCGATGGCTCCAGGGCAGATGGGTAGGGGAAGAGGGTATACAGATGGGCCTCCAGGGGGGGGTATGGGGCGTGGGGGGCGTGGCGGTGGGGGCGCGGGTGGTGGGATTGGAGGTCCTGGGTATCAGCCTGATTTCGACCGCTTCGGCCCAGGATTTCTGGGGCGGGGAGGCGGATACGGCGGCGGATACGGCGGCGGATTCGGTGGCGGGTTTGGCGGTGGGCGTGGCGATCTGCATTCGCGGTCGTTCGGACCGGGGGGAGCGCGTGAGCGTGGGGAAAGGTTTATGGGAGGTGACGTGTTCGGTGACGTGTCATTGCCTCGGCCAGAGTTCCAGTCTCTGCCACGTGTCGGCGTGGAGCCGCCTCCTAGCTTGGCTCTCCTTGCGCTGTCGCGGAAAAAGAAGGAGGACGCGGAAGCCGCCGCCGCCGCCAGCGAATTCCGGGATTTGGAGCGGGAGAGGTTCGAGGCGGAACTAGAAAGGGTTCAGAATCAGAAGGAGCAGGAGAAGCAGAGGAAGGAGGAGGAGGAGCAGCGGGCAATGGAGATGGCGCGGCAGCAGGAGGAGGAGATGGTGCGGAAAGCGCGGGAGGAGGAGGAGCTGCGCGCGCGCGTGGAGCAGGAGGCGCGGGAGGCGGAAATGCGCGCGCAGATGGAGGCGGAAGCCGCCGCGCGGAGGCTGGAGGAGGAGCGGCGGAAGGTGCAGGAGGAGAAGCAGCGGATTCGGGACGAGGAGGAGCGGCGGAAGGAAAATGCGAGGAAGAAGCTGCAGGAGCTTGAAGAGAGAATTGCGAGAAGACGAGCGGAGGAGGAGGCGAGACGAGCGGAGGGAGGAGGCGACGGGGAGGGAGACTCGATGGAGGAGCAGGAACAGGAACAGGTGGCGGATAGCTGGGAAGACTCAGATAGGGCAGAGGCTGCAGCAGAAGCGGCAGAAGCGGCGGCAGTTGGTGGTAAGGCAGAAGCGGCAGCGGGTAGGGTCGAAGTGGATGGCGCAACGGCGGAAGTCTCGGAATCTGTGAAGCAGGAGATATTGGATAAGGCGGGGGCGGAGGCTGGAAGCTTGGAGGATGGACAGGGGAACGCAGGGCGAGGGGAAGGGAAGTCGGCGGGGGAAGGCGCGGGGTTGGGGCAAGTGACGGTGGAAGCGGAAGTCGATGCGGAGAAGCAGGAGCGCGGGGGAGCAGAGGCGCAAAACGAGCAGCCGGAACAGCAGCGTGAACAGCAGCAACAGCAGCAGCAGCAGGCGACGGCGGCGGGGGCGGCGGCAGGGGAAGCGGTGGAGCAGAACAAGGGGGGCGCGCCAGAACTTCCCCCTGGCGCGGATATGCGCGGAATGGACCCGTACCATGCCCCTTATCCCTCCAGGCATCCAGGCGCGGGACCCATGCTCTCGTCTTTCGCATACAGTCAACCGCTCGCGCGCTACCCCGGATCCCACATAGACTCACACGGGTCTCAGGAGCGCTATTTAGGCGAAAGGCAGCAGGATATGTGGGGAGTGGGGGGTATGGGGGAGATGGGCGGGATTGGGCGGGATTTTGGTGGCGCCGGGGGGAATGGCGGGGAATTAGGGTTTGCCCCTTGGAAGATGCACCAGCAGTTTTTCCCGCCGGGGATGATTGGCCCGGGGGGGGGTTTCCCCAGTGCGTCGCATCTCCTGGTCCCCCCGCACGCGCCCCCCCATGCGCAGCTTCACGCGCACCCGCACCACGCGCACCCCCATCACGCGCATGCGCACGCGCATCACTCAGCGCCCGGGATGCCCCTTCCGCAGCAGCACCACCTGCACGGGCAGCAGCCGCCGCTGCTACACCGCCCCGTCACCATCTCCCCTCCGTCCTCCTCGTTCTTCGGAAACGGGGACATCACGCGCGGGTTTCACATGCTCGGGGGCGGCGGCGCAGGCGGAGGGGCGCATGCCGCCATGGGGATGGGCGCGGGGGGGGTAGGGGGCGGGGGAGGGCCGTTCGCGGGCCCGCCAGGCGGAGCTCCCCCGGGTGCGCCGCACCAGTACTTTGATAAGTCTGTGGGCCCCACGCCCATGCGGAACCAGTACATCGGCGGACCAGGCCCCGTGGGGCGCTTTCCGCCAGGCAACCCCATAGGCGCGGTTGGCGCAGCTGCGGGGGGAGGGGGCGGGATGGGACGCGCGGTGGGGGTGGTGGGGGAGCCTGGGGGACTGGGCCCCGCGGGGCTGGGGGGGAGGCAGTATCAGGAGCGCAGGGGGGATGGCCAGGGGGGGGATTACTATGGGCGGGAGGAAGGCGGGCTGGGGGGCGTGGATGGGGGCGCGGGGGGGAGAGATAGGCGGTGGGGAGCGCCTGGGGATCATCTGGAGGGGCGGAGGGGGCCTTTAGGGCCGGAGGGAGGTTACTCTCAGCAGCAACAGCAGCAGCGGCATTATCAGCACCCGCAGCAGCAACACCAGCAGCATCAGCAGCATCAGCAGCAGGGTATGGTAGCGCCACAGCAAAATCAGCAGCAGCAGCAGCAGCAGCAGCAGCAGCAGCAGCAGCAGCAGCAGCAACAGCAGCAGCAACAGCAGCAGCAGCAAGCACAGAAGTTACAGGGAGAAACGCCGGAGCAGCAGCGGGACGGGGGACAGCAGACTCAGCAGCAGTCTACAGGGTCAATGCAAGTCAAACCTTCATCAGACGCCACGTCAGCAGACGTGGTGGACGAGCTTGGCGCGCTTCTCGCATCAAAACTGGAGGTCGACTCTCAGGACCAACCTAATGCAGTGGCATCAAAAATATCCTCGTCTGCCACGTCAGATGCTGACGTCACCGCTGCCGCCACGTCATCGATCACTGCGACTTTGCCAGGTGGCAGAACCAACGGAATAACGCCATCCACCTCCCCCAGTCCGCACCTCCCCTCAGCCTCTGCCGCCTCTCTTGCTCCCATCGCTCCTTCCGTTTTCTCCCCTGTTTCCCGATCCCCCATTGGTCCAGACGTATCCGTGGGTCTGGCCTCTCCTTCCCAGTCCCTTCCCCAGGCCCTCGCCCAATCTCTCCCCCAAACCCTTCCCTCGTCGCTTCCCCCAACCCTCCCCCCACATACCGTTGACGCGTTTGGTTCTGGCTCGTCCTCATACCCGTCTGTGTCATCCTCGTTTGTGTCTGCTTCGTCATCTTCACAAGCAATTCCTTCTGTAGCACAGTCAGGAGTGGCCCCATACATGATTCAAATCGGCTCCATGCCCATTCCTTTCAGCATGGGCTCCCTCGGGCAGGATGAAAACAATTCCGGCTCTCAGCTGCCCGTTTTCCAGTTCGGGCAGATTGGCGTGCCAGCTTCGTCCCCTTCGCCGATCCTGGACGGATCGATGGCCGAGGCTCTTTTAGGTATGGATGTGGGAGGGCATGTCGGGGCAGGTGTGGGGAGTACAGCAGTAGGAGGGGTAGCTTCAGGTATGGGCGTTGCTGCTAGCACAGCAGAGCAGCAACGGCAGCAGCAGCAGCAGCAGCAGCGGCAGTTGTCGGTAAATCAGCAGGGTGTGCGGGATTCTTCTGTGACTGGACCGGGTGCCGAACCTGCTGGTGAGGCTCGGATGGATTCCCGAGCCTCTCCATCCGTACCGCTGTACTCAGGCTCGAGTGCAGGGGCTGCGTCTGCTACGTTAATACAAGGAAGCACGTCAGGAGCAGTAGGAGGAGGAGCAGCAGGAGCGACAGGAATAGCCATAGGGTCAGGAGCAGGAGCAGGAGGGGCAGGAGGGGCAGTGAAAACAGTGGGTCCATCAATAGCACAAGCAGGAGCGGCGGCATCTGCTGCTATCCTGCCTCTCCCTTCCTCTGCCGTAACCTCGCTGCAACAAGGGAGCCGGCTTCAAGGCAGCACGAGAGGAGGGCCGGCTGGCCGTAGCCTTGCTGGTCCTGGTACTGCTACCAGTGCTGGTGGTGCTGCTGCTGCTGCATCAGCCACATCAGCAACTGCAGCAGCAGCAGCAGCAGCAGCAGTTGGTTCTGGGCGCGGGGGCAGGGGCGGCCAAGACAGGGAATCCGCGGGCAGAGGCGTGGGGGCGGAAGGGCAGGGCTATGGCGGTAGATCGGGGGCGTGGGGAGGCGGAGGGGGGGGCGGAGGGGGAGGCGGAGGCAGGGGAGGGGGAGGGTACGGAGGGGGAAGAGGGGGAGCGCAGGATTGGCAAGGGAGGGGGCAAGGGGGGCGATGGGGGTATGGGGAGGGCCGAGGGGGTGGGAGGTGGCAGGGCGGGAGGGGAGGGAGAGGGAGAGAGGGGGGAGCGGGGGCAGCAGGTGGGGGCAGTTGGAGGCCGCGGGGGGGAGCAGAGGGTTCTGGTGGTGGGCGGGGGGAGGAGAGGTGAGGTAGGGCTGTGAGTTAATCCTTGGTGGACGTAGGGGTGTGGGTTAAAGCCTGCAGGAAAAGGGGCTGTTTTGAGACGTCTCAAAACACTTCTTTTATCATAGGGCTGTGAGTTAACTCTCGGTGGAAGTGGGGTGTGGACTAAAGCCTGCAGGAAAAGGGGCTTGAATTTGAAGGCGCTAATATTCAATGTTTCTTGACAGGGGCACATGAGAAGTGCCACATGCAGGCTTCCGGTTGCTGGGCTCAGAGCAGAGTGGCAGTAGCAGAGGTGGCAGCAGTAGCATTGTGGCAGTAGCATTTCTGAGTTGACTCGAAGGTAATTTTGAGTCGACTTGAGAGTCACCAGGGCACAGTGCAGTAGCAGGCTGGCAGTAGCAGAGGTGGCAGCAGCAGCAGTGTGGCCGCAGCACGGGCAGTTGCAACGACGTTGGGAGCAGCTTTGGTGGTGGCTGCAGCAGCAGTTGCAGTGGCGGGAGTGGCAACAGCGGCAGCAGGAGCGATCGTTGTCTCAAGGGTTGCATGAATATTGGGGAAGCGTCAGAAGCTCGTTGCTTTGAGCTTGGAGCAAACAACATTGAGGGTGTTCTTTCAGACTTCGAAATATTAAAACAAAGATTGGGTCTCAAATGGGTCGTGTGTGTGTGTGTGTGTTCTGCTGAGGTCCTGTCCTGTGGTTGTAGTGGGTTGTGCGCTTGTGCTTTGCCTTGTGACGGTGCGATTTCCTGTCTGGTTTGGTTTCAGGTTTTGAGACGTTTTGTTGAAACGCTTGTATCTGCTGTGAGAGTGCTGGGTGGTGGTATGAAGATTCAGCAGCTGCAGCTGCTGGTGGGTGTTATGGTGAAAGCAGAGCGAGAGGGCAGGGATGGGTGCAGTGAGACTCAGTCAAACTCAGTATCTCAGGTTCAGCAAGCATTAGTGGTGTTGACTGGCAGACGCTGATTCGCTGGCATTGCTGGATGGAGCTACTGCAATCAGGTTTCAGCTGTAGTGAAGAATTCAGGGTGGTGTTCCGTCAATTCCTAGAGCATGGTGTGTGGAGGAGAGTGTGCTCTCAAGATACTTGTGTGGAATGGTAGGCAGCTGCTGTTAAATTTTTATTCCAGTCAGGTAGGTTTGTTGTTTCCTAATTCCAGTGTACGTTATGCTTCGAGGTGTGATTGCTCTCGATTTCTGTGACTTCTCTTGCCTGGTTCTAGATACCCAGTTGTTACTGTGGACTGAGTGAACTCGTGTTTTATTTAGTTAGGGCTGTTGCCATTATTTCAATAACTTCCCTTATGGTACTGATACTGTCTTGTAGCCGTGATTTTGCACCTCACTGCATGTAATCTCCACCGAGGGGTGCTACATCGCATATTTCCTTGTTACGCATCTCTCTTTGAAACTAGATGGAGTACTTTCGCCATTGCGGAAAGCACTGCTGCGCGAGAGGGTTTTGTTTCGCTACCTCTCGCGAATCTCGCGCAGATGCAGCTTCGTCAGGCGGCAGAATTTCGGCAGGACGGGGGAGCGGCGGGGGCGAAACTGAAAACTTCGTCAGAATAGCCGCAGTTCTGGGAGTCAGGATCATCCAGGCGAGTACCAGCAGACTAGACATAGCGTAAGCGCGCTGCGAGTTGAATCTCGTTCGACGATATCAAGGCAGCGTTAGGAGGCAGAGTCAGGAAAGCCGTCAAATGCTGAAACTGACCTGTCGCGTCTCTGACTCGATGAAACGCCTTCAATGGGCGAAGCGCGACTTACAGCTCTTTCGATGGATCCTAACAAGTATAAAGCGCGGTTGTTTCACCCAGGTCCTTCTCAATCTTCGCTCCCGTTTTCGTTCTCACTCTTCGCCTCATTGACTCGCAAATCGCAACCAGCACGAGTCCTTCTCGCTCGACGAATCTCATTACGTCTCCATCCTCCATCCTCCGTCGACTAATCATCTTCGTTCTCACAGAGGGTGGAATTAACGCTTGCTCCGGACACTCTCCGTCTCTCGGCCTCTTTCTCTCTAGTACAGCTCTTTTGTCTCGGCGATCTCTATCCGGAGCCATGGCTCTGGTCAATCGGACAGTCGCCGTCATCACTCTCGTGATTCTCGTCACTCTCTGCTCAGACCCATTCTCCGTGGACGCGCGTTTCGTTGGCGTCACCGTCACGCCGTCGGTTTCCGCGAGCTTTCGTCCTTCCGGCGTTACGAGCAACAAGGATTGGTTGTGGCTCTCCTCGCGAAACCTACAAGAAGCTTCGCGTTCGGACTCAGATCCGTCGTCCGTCCCGCAAGAACCTTCGACGGAAGCTACTGCGACGAGATCTGATTCTACTTCAATGACGTCCTACGACGACTCGCTAGAAGTGTCCGTTTTGTGCTCACCGTCGCCGTCGCCGTCTCCGTCGCCGTCACCGTCACCGTCACCGTCACCGTCGCAAGCACCGTCGCCAGCACAAGTCGCACCGACACCACCGATCGCTTCGAACACCTCGGCGGCAGCGCCTGCTCCTGCGAGCGCCAGCTGTCCCGTGTGCCTCTCGGTGACTGGCGGAGGCGCGTACTCGCGGCCGTGCTGTCTTCCGGAAGCCACGTGCTGCGGCAACGGTGACACCGCGCTGTGCTGGGGCGTGTGCGGAAACACTACCTGTTGCGGCGTTGTAAGTACTAAGTTTTGAGATTAATCTCCGCATTTTTTGCGACCACCTTTCTTCCTTAATTCTCTTTGCTTTTCTTTCCTTACCCGCTGAGCTATTTTCCTGATGTAGATCTTCTAGTTCATACCGTATCTAATTTATGTTAATTGTGTTTCTCATGGTTTTGTATGCAGAGCGAGAGCACGCTGAATCATACGTGCTGTGGAGGGGTGTGTTGTCCCATCGCCAGCTGCTGCAGTGGGTCTGCTATGCCTGTCTGCTGCTCTCAAGGAAACACATGCTGTCTATAGGTTTTAGCTTTAGCATTTTCGCCCTATTGTGGTCCTTAGGTAGTGACAGTGTATATACCAGAGCCCACTTTTTCCCATAACATGAACCCCCATGCATGCAGTGGCAGTAGTTCAATAAGCATAGTCTGCAGATACTGTGTGACATGCATGGCTGTCTGAAGGGCGTTTCTGAATATTCTGGTCTGGCAATAAACAGAGATTGCTCTTGGAACTAGAGCAGGCCCCAAAATGTCAGGGTATTTTACCCTGATTGCCCTGACTGGCGGCCGCTTTTTTTTGAAGTACCCTGACGCAGTCAGACTCCCAGGCTTTAAACACTGACTGGAAATTTGTTTGAAATTTTTTACCCTTATAGAATCAAAGTTCGCGTTTCGTTCCCCTGACTTCATCAGTGTTCTTTCCCACTTACCCTGATACCGAGTTCCTCGAAGCGAGGATTCTGCTACACTACACATACACTGCACCTGTGACGCGGTGCCACTCTCCCATCTTGTCGCACCCGCCCTATGGTGAAAAACTGCCAAACCCCCCCCACTGACCCCAACGTTGCACCCATTGGTGCATTTGGCAAGAATCGTGCCAGCGCACCCGTGTTTGCTGCCAATACAGCTCATAGTCCCTGCCAACTGTGGCTGTTTTTGCCATGGTTTCCCTCGCTGCATGTACAGCTTTTCGCGGTGCGGAGGGGGTCCTCCGTCCTTCCTTTCCAACCGGAAATCGTCTCTCTCACTTCTCTCTTGCACTTCCCCGAGTTCTCACGGAGTAGCACCAGCCAGTCATGCCAGCCGAGCAAGAGCCCGATTCGGAACCGTCTGGGGGCCAAAGAAACGGGCTCTCAGTTCTCGGCGTTCTTCCCAAGATTTCTGATAATTTCACCGTTCCCATCGCACAGCCGCCTCGTGACGCCTCGCCCGTGCGAAGCGTCGGTTATGTGTTTGCAGTCGAGCGGCCCACTTCTCCTAGTGCTGTTGAGCCGCACCTGTCGCTGGTTCTTGTTCCTGGCGGCGATGAAGGCAGCTCAAGGCCTACTACTGCGTCCCCGTCGACCGTGAACAGCACGCCGGGCAAAAGGCCGAGGATCGGGGTGAAATACAGTCAGCAGAGGCTCTGGGGCGCACCGCCACCAAAGAACGATGCATCACCAACGCGCACCGAAGCTCGTGCCGATCCCAAACCACCAACCGAAACCGCTGAAGCTGAGTACGCAGCGTTCAAGCACAGGTACGATACTGAGTGGGCAGGGAAATTCGAATGGTTACGGCTAAATCGTCAGACCAACGGGAGACCTTCGCTGAAATGCAGTGTCTGCATGAAGTACGGCGATCCTACCGCTCGCACGAGCTACGGCGTGAAGGGTGAGGGTGGCCGTGACTTGCAAATTGGAACCATCCGTGTTCACTCATCCACCCGAGCACATAAACAGGCACTGGAGAGCGAGGCTCGGTCACTTGCAGCAAAGGAGAAGCAAGTGACTTTGACAAGGTGGCAGGAGACGGATGCGTCAACTCGCCACATCATCCGCTGCCTGCATATCGCGATGTTCGTCTGCAAGGCCGACGCACCCATCGCGATGTTCGTCCCCCTCTGCTGGTTTCTCGCTAAGGAGGGACTTCCATATCTTCCCCCCAACGGCGGCTACGGTGCATACTACACTGAGTACGTTAATTGTCCGTTGTTTGTTGTGCTTTTCGAATGACTGTTAGTGGGAGTTTTTATTATAAATTGTGCGTTGTATGTGTTGCAGCTACGGTTTCAAGGAATCCCTTCGTGCGACATCCGCGTGCCTGCAGGAGACGCAGCGGCTTCACCTTCTGGAATCGCCGTGGATGTCCCTCTCGCTCGACGAAAGCACTGACCGCATCCACGGCAAACACCTCATCATTTACGTCACGTACCTCAAGAACAGGGCCGTCGTCAACGAGTTCCTCACCTTGATAACCGTGGATCGCGCTGACGCTGCTTCTTTGTCCTCCGCTGTTGTGCAGTACCTGACCGGCATTGGTGTGGACTTGCAGAAAGTAACAGGCATCGCGACCGACGGAGCGAGCGTAATGGTGGGGAAGAACAATGGAGTGGTGGCGCGGCTCAGAATGCGTATACCTCACCTGGCATCAACACACTGCATCGCGCATCGGTAACTATGATGTCTATGCTCGGTAGTTTCAAGTTCAGAGGATATGAACTCATGTATCTTGTTTTGAGCATGCAGGGAGGCACTTGCTGTAAAAGATGCCGCTGAAGCTGTCCCTGAGCTGAACATGATAGACGATGTCGTCCGTGCGTTTTCTGAGCTTATAGGGAGGAGCGGCGTGCAGTACCAGAAGTTTCAAAACCTGCAACGAGTGTTCTGCAAGACGAATCTTGAGGCGCAGGGAATACACACCGTCCGGTGGCTGTCGCGTGGCGAGGCCGTTGCCCGGCTCCTCGAGGTCTTGCCAGCCGCCATCGTCGTGCTCAAGGACTACAAGCCCGACTTGTACGAGGTTGTGACCTCGTTCAAGTTTCATTGGCTACTACGCTTTCTTGCTGACATCCTGTGGGAGCTGAACCACTTGAACCAGCGGTTCCAGCAAAGACAGGTCAGTACTTGAGCTTAACTAGAGTGACAAGACAAATGAACAAGTGCACTGCCCCTTACACCCCACCGTCGCTTCCTTGTGGTTGATGCAGATCGACGTCACGCTTGTGGCGCACATCGTGGAGCAGACGCGCATGCGGCTGAAGGCGCGGTACCTGAACGCGGCACCTGGTCACACCTTTGGAAGCGGGGAGTACATGTCTCTTCCCGATTTCTTCTTGAAGCACCAGAAGCAGGACAAGCGCGAGATGAAAGTTGAAGGCGTTGACTGCGAGGGAAATCCGGTGTCGTTCACTTTCGTTCTGCACGAGCGGCCGTTGAAAGGGCAGGAAAATGATGGCGACGTGACAACCTGCTATGAGCTATCGTTGAAATTTGTCCGCGCGATTGACAAGGAACTGGAGTGGCGGATGTGTGATCTCGCCAACCTGGAGGGTTCGAAGCTGTTCCACACCGCCTCTTACCTCACGGACGACGCCAAGCGCGTTGAGGCGTTCAAGCGCTGGCTGGGAAAACTGCACAAACTCTATCACGAGAAGTTGCCAGGTGTGTGGTGAAGCGTTGACTATCTGTCCGTTGTGATCATGCATGTTGCTTGAATTTGGTGCACCATCCGTGGCTTGTCTTCGTCTTCTGTTGGTCTAATACGCCCCATTCCACCCGGTGTATGCTACTTTAGCCCTATTTGACCCCCACCCCGTACACCAGGCTTCGACTTCAAGAAGGCGAGCAACGAACTGTGGATGTTCACATCCACACTGTTCAGCCAACACAGTGGGGAGGATTTCCACCAGGCGCTTTCGAACATGATGCGTGACGACGGCTGGCAGCAGTCATTCCCCAACATCATGAAGATGTGGCAGGCCGTCGCCGTTCTGCCGTTAAGCACGGTGGAATGTGAACGCGGGTTCAGCAAGCACAACCTGATCAAGACGTGGGACAGAGGGTGCCTCTCGGACACCAGCCTGGAGCACCTCATGCGCTGTTCCCTTGTGCAGTATGAGGTGGACTGGTTTGAGGTGGTGGCTATCTTCAGGGGGGAGAAATTGCGCAGGTCTACAAAAGACTTCACCGGCAGCAACGAGAGCAAGACCTTGTTTGCACAAGAGGATGTAGAGGGGAGTGTGCCTACGGCAATGTAGGTGTAGATTAGTGGGACATTTTTCATATGTATCGACTTTCTTAATGTAAAACAACCAGTGTTGGGTGGGATTTTGCAATAACAATCAGTGTTGGGTGCCTGTTTGCACTGACTAGATCAGAGTAATTTTTTTTTTACCCTGCACCCATCAGACTTCGAAAAAATTCACCCTAGGACTCAGAGTTGGCCACAGCTAGAGCTCTGATTTGTAAGGGTGAGCCTAAACCCATTTTGGGCCCTGAACTAGAGGCTATTTGTTACGGCATTCTCCCCACGCTGCTGGTTCTTTTGAATCCACTTGTTCTAGCATTATCCTCATGCTGGTGGTTCTCAAATGCTCTTGTTCTGGCGTTCCCATGCTTATGATTCTCATCTCCACTTTTTCTTGCATTCTCTTGAGGAGAGATGGTTCTTGAATCAACTTCATATGGCACTCTCCTCTCCAACAATTGTAATTCAAATCTTCATGTCAGAATTCCAGTCACTAGACCACTGGGATAAAAGGGCTTGTTAAGTAGCGGGTCAGTGCGCCCATGACCCCTCGGGACAACGAGTCTGAAACCCTTCCCTATGATCAATCGTGGATCATCAGTAGACCTCGGACACCCCCCCGCACTAAGATGCCCGAAGTGCACACACAAGGATTCGAACCCGAGACCTTCACTCTGATACCATGCCAAAATCCCAATCACTAGACTGTTGGGATAAAAAGACTTGTTTGTGTAGCGAGTCAGTGCGGCCATGACCACTCAATACAACGAGCCTGTAACCCTTCCCTAGGATCAATCGGGGATTATCAGTGGACCTCTAACACTACATATATATAGCATCATCTAGTTTTGATGCCACACACCATCCTTTTGCAGTTGCACCATGGACTGTTCTACTGTAGCACCGTCAGAAAAAGATGTAATACATCCTAGGCTTCCTTCCCAAGTCTAACCGACTACACCACAATACTCCCACGGCACAGAGAATCGTGCCAGGGTATAACAAACCATCAACTGAAGCATTGCTACAACCATCGTAAGGAGGTATTGTTGGACCAACAGAGAGGCAGCAAAAGCTGCAAATCCCGGGCGTGCTTTGAGCACGCAGTTAATACATGTCCTGCTGCTGCAACCTACTTGCCCGCACACCCACTATGCCTGGACAAGGGGACACTGGTTGAGTCAAGGGCTTCCCTGACCTGAGAAAAGGACAAAGTACGAGATTAGCCACGAATCTGAATAAGAACAAAACAAGAAAGTGCAAAGCTCTTGTAGGTGAAAGCATAACTTTTCACCCGTGACTGGCTATATCATGCCAATCTCACCGTTTTGGAACAAAGGGTTCCCCGTAGGATGGTTTGGGAACAGCACGGTGAACCATCCCCTTGCGCATCCTCTTGATCTCCTCCTCCTCTTCCTTCTGCAAGGCCCACGGCGCATGCTCAAGAAGTCAGCAAGGAATGGTCGCAGCAGGAAACTCTATCCTTGAGGCTCTTCGAGGTTGAGTCAGCAAAGTATCATTCCACAACAAGAACGCAGGCGAGACCGTGCAATGACAAGGCAGGGAAACTCACCTTCCATCGTGCTTGCATCTTGGCGTACTCCTCTTCCCCCTGCTGACACCTCTCAGCAAACTGCACCAACACAATGAGAAAATTACAACGAAACCCAGACGTCAACTACGGTAAGTCAAAATTATGTAGACATCAACTAAGTCACAAATTACAAAGAAACACAGACAATGAGTCTCTGAGTCATGGCAACTCAGCGACTGAAAATGGAGAGAGTACCAGTTGTTTCAGGATATACCAACAGCATACATCTTTCCACGTACCGCTTTCTTGACGCATGCATGGTGCTCTGCTTGGCGGTCGATGTTCAGGTTGAACGGCTTCACCTCCGTCAGCACGCGAACGCGCCTCGGGGACTCAGGCCTGAAAAGGACGAAATATTTGCAACCAGGATGCGATCAGAGAAAAGCAAAGAGCAGAATCAGATTAGTAACACAAAGTGATTAAAAAGCAGGAGATCAAAACGAGAACGGGGCGAGGCTTGCAGAGCCTATCACCAACCTCGAGACAAGGAGCAGCGCAACTTTGGTAGCTTGAACAACCACGCAGCCACATCCAAATGGAACCAAACCAAACCAAAACAAACCACACTCTTACGCTCGACCTATGTAGCATCCACAACTCACCGCTTGGTCATGTCAGGCAGGGGCTGTGCATGGAACTGCTTCTGAGCAGCCTCCTCCTGCGCCTTCCTCTGCGCCTCCTCCTCCAGCCGCTGCTGCGCCATCTGGTGCCGCCGCACCGACTCTAGCTCAAACTCGTGCAGCTCAGTGGCCGGCTTGGTGGGCGGCTTGCGCAGGAACTCCGGGGCGAGGGTGGTGTATGGCATGGGCGCTGCCAAGGGAATGGCTGCCCTGCGCCTCTCCTCCTCCTCTTCTGACAGCTTCTGCTGTAACTTGTGCTGCTTCGCTTGCCCACGTTCCTGTGGTCACGTGGACATTTAACAGGGTTACCATGCAGCAGGTCAGTCGGATGTTGGTGATGAGAACCAGGGTTGAACAGGGAGGCATGCACAAGGGGGAAGGCTGTGGGGAATAATGGGTGAAGTGTGCTAGAGTGGAAGAATAGGAGCAGCGAACTGACCTCAGTAAACAGGTGGAACTCCCGTGGGTGAGTGACGGTTGGCACCTGCAGCAGCAGAGGAAAGGAGGAACCAAATGGATCTGTCTATGCTTTCGATGCGCCTCAAACAAACAGCAGCTGGGTTACCAAATAGAAGGTCGACTCGACGCAAGGGGGATTGGTACAATGGTCGAGTGAGTAACACAAAAGTGCACGAGAGAACGTCCAACAGTACCTCTGAGCTGCCGTGCTTGCTGGTATGCACGCGCTTAGCCACGCTCGCCATCTCCTCCAGCTCCCTCTCCTCGCTGCTCTTCACCCTGGGAGAAGCACACACCAGAAAGAAGACCATCAAATGACAATCCAGACAAAGGCAACGAAGAAACAAGCCTACCACATGCGCAACCTGTCGATCCGTTGGTTGTGGCGCGCGACTTACTTTGCTGCTCGTGCTCGCAGCTTGGTGGTCAGCATGGGCGAGCAAGGTACTGTGGGAAGCCTCGGACCAGCCACACCACCACCAGCACCACCAGCGCCAGCAGCCGTCGCTCCCCTCTTTGAAGCAGACCGGGTCGTCACCCCAGTGACAGTGGCCTCCCCTTCCTGCAGCACCCTGAACCTCCTCGGCCGCTCCCTCTGTGCCGTCAGCAGCTTGGGTGTCACAGGCTTGGTCACACGGGGGGCATTCGAAGCAGCACCAGAGGAGGCGGCAGAAGGAGCAGTAGGAGCCTCGCCCTCCGGCCTCATGTGTGCCGAGAAGGAGCTGAGCTCCTGTGCGAGGGACACAAACGGTTTTGCCTCCTTCTTCAGCTGCTCGTCCTTGGGTCGCTGACGCCGGTCGGTCTTCAGATCGAATGGTTCAGGAATGGTAAGAGTAACCCCGTTGGAAGGCCCGCCCTCATGTGCGTGTGACTCGGTCTCAGATGACCGGCTGCTCCTGGCGCCAAACATGCTGACGCTTTCAGCAAGCGAGACAAACGGCTTCGCTTCCTTCTTGAGCTGCTCGTCCTTTGGTCGCAGGCGCCTGTCAGTCTTGAAGTCAAACGGCTCAGGTTCGGTTAGAGTTGCCCCATGAGAAGACTCACTCTCATCTGCTTTTGGCGCTGCCTCTGACGATCGATGATCACTCCTGGTGCCAAACATGCTGACGCTCTGAGCGAGGGACACAAACGGCTTCGCTTCCTTTTTCAGCTGTTCGTCCTTTGGTCGCAGGCGCCGGTCAGTCTTGAAGTCAAACGGTTCCGGAACGGTAAGACCCACTTCATGAGTGGATCCGCCTGCATGTGAGCCTGACTCAACATCTGAAGACCGGTTGCTCCTGGTGCCGAACATGCTCATGCTCTGAGCAAGGGACACAAACGGTTTCACCTGCACACCCAGGAAAACGAGCCCACTCGTGAGATTTACACCGAATGATGAGACAACAGAAGAAGAGACAAGTGAAACTGGCTTCTTATATGGCCTCGGAATCGACAAGGCACCTCAGAATTAACTTTTATGCATTTCGCACTAGCTCTGTCCGTCTCAAGACGTGTCACACAGGTCGTCCCTCACCTCCTTCATCTTCTCATTCTGAGACCCACGCCTCTTCTCCGTGTTAAAGACGAATGGCTGAGGCACCGTAAGATGAGGCTCTGCTGCTGCAGGTACCGCTGACACCCCCCGGCGAGTCCCATGAGCAGCAGCAGCCTGGGAGGAAGAATAAAAGGATCGGTGAGCAAGAAATCCCAGAGTTTGTCAGGAGTGCCATAAGAGTGGGAGGCGGAGCTGACCGTGAGAGAAAAATCATCGAGCCTAACAGAAAGATAGGAATAATGGAATAACAAGGCTGATTTGATAAAACCAGCTCCAGCAGACTGCGTTGGTGTAGCGTACCTCTGCATCTGATGATCGGCTTGAGCGAGCAAAGGCTTGCACGCTCTGGGCAAGGGAGACGAAGGGCTGCGCCTGCGACCAGGGCATCAATGGCAATAAGAAATGCGGGCTAAATTAGCTGCTCTATTGGAGCGGCCGAAAGCAAGATTTCCTTGGCGGTAACCTGACAGCAGGTGTGGATGAACAGTATAAGCACTACATTCGAGCGGGACGCACCTCGCTTTTCAGCTTTGCGTCCCCTGGGCGGCTTCTGACGTCCGTTCTGAGATTGAACGGCTGCGGAACTGTAAGCCCTGTAGGGCGACTTCTGGGAGGTGCCTGTACGTGCACGACCGGGGGGGTTGTGGTGTATATGTCAAATTAGACACGAGCTAGGGGGGCAGAGATCACAAAAGAACGCAACCTTCAAACCACTATAAAGTCCTAACGTCAAATCTCAATTCATGTTGGGAGCAATAAATAAGCATTGGAAAGATCAGCAGGATTTGTTTGAGAGTGAAACGAAACCATGCACAACTGTCCGTTACCTTCCATTGCTGTGGGGTCCTGTCGACCTTCTGCCTCTTATTCTCGCGTGGCCCCGCCTTCGACCCACTGGTGGCCGCACTTCTGGCAGCAGAAGCTGCCGTCGCCGCCATGAGAGACGGACGAGCAGCTCTGCAAAGTGTTTGCCAAACAGATGACAGACGAAACCGTCAGCTCCTTCGAATCCGTACGTGGATGTGAGAGACGCAAGACGGCAACAGGATAGAAACACTAGCCACTCAGCAGGCAATCGATCCTACAGGGGTCAATGCAACGCACATACCCTGAAGGGGGAGCTCCTCCTCTGGCTTTCAGCCTGGCAGAGGTTCGTCGGAGCGAAGCACGGGTGGATGTCGGGGCAGTAGCACGACGGGTGGTAGCAGCCACAGGAGCAGCAGGAGCAGCAGCAGAAGGAGCTTCAGCTGGTCGGGGAGCGGCAGAAGTGAAGGTAACCGCCTCAGATGCTGCGGCAGTGGCTTCAGCAGCACCAGCGATGAAAGCGGCGACAATAACCGAGGCATTAGCAGCGCCAGCTGGCTTTCCACTCGCATCAGCTGCTTCAGCAGCTGAGCCAGCAGCAGCATCACCTTGACCATCACACGCATCAGCAGCAGCTTCATGCGTATCATCAGCACCACGCATCACACCATCAGCTCCGCCAGGCACCTCACTCCGATCACCAGAAGCACCAGCCTTTCGCGCACTGTGGACCTTCGAAACCCTCGATTTTGCGCGGGTCGAGCGGGGCGTGCTGATTCGCATGCTCCTCAGCTGATCCCACAGCTTCTTCTTTGGAAATCCACCACTCTCTGGAGACGTCTCCTCGACCGGGAAAACGGCCGTGATCATTTCTTCCGTTTCCTCTTCCTCGCGGCTCCTTTTACCCGCAGAACCACTGAGAGGAGGCAAAGGGTTGCTATTTCCCGCGTGCGAGGCCGACGCCATTGCTCTGGTCTGCATGCCGTGAATCCTCGCGCCGGACGATCCAGCCATGCAGCCTGCAAACGGACACAATCACAGAAGGTCATTACAAAATCTCTGGTAACTTTACAAGAATTCACAAATATTTCACGAGTTTTACAAATGGAACGGCCAGCCGGACCTTGTTCGTCTTGCTCCGTTACAGGCTGAATCTCCACTTCCGGCCCTTGTCCTGCAGCTGCAGCGTCCGATTCAGCCTCTGCTGCAGCAACATTCACGCCTGCTGCGTGAAGCTCTACCACCTCAGCATCCCCTGAAATTTCCACGTTCAACGGAATTTTAGTGGCGGATCCTTCCTGGTGCATCGCATCTCGTTCTTCCTTCAAATCCACGTCGGTCCACTGCTTATCCTCCTCATCCTCCTTCACTGCTCCGCCGTTCTCGCCGTCATTCCTGGCGTTCTCTCCAGGACCATCCATGGTAGCGACGTCGTCGCACTTGACTCTGTAGATGCCGAACAGTTTGGGGAAACAACAAGAACAATCAGTACCTGTAGTAACAAAATATCAATCAGATTGAGAAGTACCAAAAAGGGTTTCATTAATCACCTTTTTGGACCGTCAGACTTCGTCATAAACCGCGTAGGACGAGGAGTTGGTTCAGGAATCTGCGAATCCATGAGAAGTCGTCCGTTAGTTTGAAGCTTCTATGCAGAAATACTTCAACATTAAAGTCAAAAGCCGTATGGCTCCCTTGATAACGAAAACATACCTTAATAGCGCTAAGAAGCGGTATCGCCTCCTTCGGCATCATGCGTTGACCAGAAGCCATGGCCTTCACAACCAGTGCTGCAAGTAAAAACCGCAACAATTCCGTTGAACCAACTTTTTTAATGGAGAACTAATGTAAATAAAAAACCAATGAATATAAAATCATCTGAGAAGTTTATAGAGGCCACTTACGAGACTTTGGATGTCCTGGTGTCGATCGGAACCATTCATCGGCCGAGGCATCCTCCATATCACCATTGACGAAATCAAAATACTTGGGGGCCTGCACAAACTCGTATGTTGGGTCAATATATTGCTTCGGCTTTTCTTCAACCTCCATTGCGGTACCCTCATTCGGAAAGGTCGGACTGACTGCTACGTCCATCGATGGAGCTTTCTTAGGAAGCTGAGGCTTCAGCACCGAAAATATATTAATGAGTACTCTTATCACCAATGAGTGCAGGACCGCGAGAGCTAGTATCCAAAACGCGAGCGCCAGTTCAGATAAATCAGCTGTAACAGAAACTAGAGGCTTCCAGTACAGGCTAAGGCCTAAATGGAACGAAAAGCTTCTGGTCTACCAGCAAGTTGCTTTTTTACTACAAGACTCAGCTAGGGATGAGCAAATGAGAGTCAGCCAGCCTGTTACAAGCAGTACCAGAAACGAGCTGTACGCGTTTCAGCTGTATGAGTAATAAATAGAAGCTAGAAACAGCAGTAGCTACGTGGGGGATCTAGTCAGCAGCCACGCTCGGGTCTCAGGAAGCTATATGCGTCTCAAAGAGTAACAGGATGAATTCAGGGAGGACGGAGAGTCAAAAGACCAGTGACTAGAGCAATGGGGATTCAGGGAATTCTGAAACCACTAGGAAAAAAAAACAGTCTCAGGAGACCAAACCAGAGCAATGGGGAGAGAGGAGGTTGGTCCAGGAAATTCTGGGCTCAGGATTCCAAGGGAGGATCACCCAGGAAGCAAGCTCAGAGAGGATGGGTGGTGGTGAGCAACAGAAGGGTCAGTGTTTGACAGGGGTATAGAGAGTTTTGGCTCGGTTTGATGAATTGAGAAAGGGCTGGGTAGAATTGCGCTGTGTCTGTGCAGTTTGCTGGATGGATGAGAAGCTGACCCGACTGACTCCCCCGCACATGGCGAGGCGACTCGCTGGATTGGCACTTCTGGCATTTGTGTGCTGCGTCAGAAACGCGTTTCCCGCCGGGCTATGCGAATTTGAATTTCTGACGCGCGGCAATCTCAAAGTGGGTGCTTGCGGGACCAAAATTCTATTTCTGAATTATTCAAGAACACACTTGATGTGGCACTGATTTTGAGAAACCATTATACCAGCTTAGTACATTAAAGATGTGAATCTCCCCATGAAGAAGCTCATCATCACAGCTTCACTTCCTCGTCTTTGTTACCATATTGTCCTCTCTTTAGTCAGGAATAAACAGCATAGAATCACGATACATTGCAGCTTGTATAGCACAATCGCATATAGGCTGCATCATCCAACACATGCATTATTACATCTTATTTAGTTAGTGGTGGTGCAAGACCCATCCATGCTTGGCCACTTCTGCGCGGACTCGTGTTGCAACGTCCACATTGTCTGTCAACGGTGGGTAGCTCCATGTGCTTGCAAGCTGTTACCCGTGACAAGGAGGTGGGTTGGGACGAGAGGTACCGTGAGGAGAATAAAATATGAGTATTGGAAACTGTCATTGACCGAGGGTGAGGCAACACTGGCAGGGCATGAGGTGGCATCTAACAGAATATCCACTGGCATGGACAGAGTGAAACTGACATTGACAGAGTTGTTGAAAGGCCGAATGGCTCCCCTGCGTTGAAGGGTTCGATGAAACTCGGCTATCTTCCACTTGCACTGCTCCCCACCCACCACGTACACTGGCTTGCTGCAATAACACGTGGGTGGATGGATGAAATGCATGCATGAAGCATGAACAGCAGGGTGACAGCAAAGAGTCACGAGTATGAGAATATGAGCAATACCGCAAGGTGAGATTAATCAAAAAAGTGTGAGGGCAACATATCTGCACCGTGACACTCACCATATAAGGCTGATTCAATAAAAAATTAATCAGCGCTTACCCAGGCTTCACTGATCATACTGACAGAGTGTACTGTGATTATAGACACATCCACCCAAGCGAGGTCATTTTTTAGTCCACCCAAAGGATGCATTGCTTACCCTGTAGAGCAGGCTTCACTGATCATGCTGACAGAATCCGCAGTGATTATGAACGCATCAGCCCAAGCGAGGTTACCCAAGTGAGGGTCCAGGCCTGCACGTCAAACAGCACAGCACAGCACAGCACAGCACAGCACAGCACAGCACCGCACAGCACAGCACAGCACAGCACAGCACAGCACAGCTCAGCTCAGCACAGCACAGCACAGCACAGCACAGCACAGCACAGCACAGCACAGCACAGCACAGCACAGCACAGCACAGCACAGCTCAGCTCAGCACAGCACAGCACAGCACAGCACAGCTCAGCTCAGCACAGCACAGCTCAGCTCAGCACAGCACAGCACAGCACAGCACAGCACAGCACAGCACAGCACAGCACAGCACAGCACCGCACCGCACAGCACAGCACAGCACAGCACAGCACAGCACAGCACAGCTCAGCTCAGCACAGCACAGCACAGCACAGCACAGCACAGCACAGCACAGCACAGCACAGCACAGCACAGCACAGCACAGCACCGCACCGCACCGCACCGCACAGCACAGCACAGCACAGCACAGCACAGCACAGCTCAGCTCAGCACAGCACAGCACAGCTCAGCTCAGCTCAGCACAGCACAGCACAGCACAGCACAGCACAGCACAGCACAGCACAGCACCGCACCGCACAGCACAGCACAGCACAGCACAGCTCAGCTCAGCACAGCACAGCACAGCACAGCACAGCACAGCACAGCACAGCACAGCACAGCACCGCACAGCACAGCACAGCACAGCACAGCACAGCACAGCACAGCACAGCACAGCACAGCACAGCTCAGCACAGCACAGCACAGCACAGCACAGCACAGCACAGCACAGCACAGCACAGCACAGCACCGCACAGCACAGCACAGCACAGCACAGCACAGCACAGCACAGCACAGCTCAGCTCAGCACAGCACAGCACCGCACAGCACAGCACAGCACAGCACAGCACAGCACAGCACAGCACAGCACAGCACAGCACCGCACCGCACAGCACAGCACCGCACAGCACAGCACAGCACAGCACAGCACAGCACAGCCCAGCACAGCACAGCATAACATAACATATCGAAGCACACAAATGGTCGATAATTACGAATCATGACACTTTCAGAAAACAACACATGACTTTAACAAAAACCACAAATAGTAGGGAAAGCTCCCCCCTCCATCTTGATTGATGATCATTTTTTCCACCATGAAAGAGACTATTCAATGATGGAACTCACCTTGACCATCCCATATGTAAACAGCATCCTCATCTTTGAGCTCTTGTTGCAACACTCGTTGCATCTGCGAAAGGGTGTAGAGGCACAGAGAGAGGAAGAGGGCGAGACAGGGAGCAAGTACGGAAAGGGGTGATGGTGGGAGTTGGGCGGACCGCTGCACAAAGAAACAGAGAGTAGGAGCAGCAGGTATAAGCACACAGAATGATTTCCTCCCTTTCGCTGTAATACTGATGGTCCTACTGAAGTAAGATCCGCCTTAGTACGAACCGAAAGCAGAGTCCAATCAGGCGCGTACCGCTGCTGGTGTTCTTCTGGAAAAGGACACGCTGAGTGACCCCTGGCACTCCTGCAACATCTCCTTGAGTGTCCTTGCCAGCTGTGCAATCAAATCTGGGCGGTAGCTACAGTGACCTGGGCAGCGGGGAGTGCGTGAGGTGGCAGGTATGGGAGAGGGGAGGGCCGGGAAAGGGGAGGACCGGAAGTGGGGCAGGGTGGGAAGCAGGAGTAGCTATGTGACCATGGAGGGAATGGGGAAGCTTGCAGGTGGGAAATTGACATGGCAGGACTTGACAAGACGAGGTGAATACACCCAGAAGGATCACCTACTTTATGCTGTTCGTCTCCTTATCATAAAAAATGTTGAGAACAAAGGAGAATCCAGTGTTTTTTTTTTTTTTTTTTTTTTTTTTCTAACAGAGGGATAAAGATTAACAGCCGAGACTTACGAGTGGGTCCACCAATGTTGACCACGACAAGTGGCTTGGGGAAGTCACTGAGAGAGTGCCACGTGGCAGCTGCTGACCGGAGGAGAGATGGCTCTGCTATGTGCAACGCGCCAGTTGTCAACACCTGATTCGCCAGAGGACGGGGTGAGAGAAAGGGGGGGAAGCAAGGAAGACTAGACGTGAGGGGTTACGGAACAAATGACATGGTGGGTTGCTTAGGCGCATTTGTTTTGAAATGCAGCCACTGCGGATTGCGGCTGCCTCTGCAGTTTTGAGATGATACCACTGTTTCTGCTGCTGTTGCTGCTGCTGTTGCTGCTGCTGCTGCTGTGATTCCGCGATGTCACACCATGTCCACTGCAGGTGGGCGGGGTTGCACTGCAGGTGGGCACTTACCACGTTCTTGGCAGGCGGAGCAGGGGCGATCCATTTCAGAATCCACGAAGGCACCTCCCTGCTGCCTGCTGCTGTGAGCCCGTAAAATTCGTGCAGAGGCGCCACCACCAGGTCGTACTGGTGAAGGTCGTTTCTGGCAGGGCAGGTGTGGGAGCTACCAACGTTTATGGCAGTAGCCACTCACCACGTTCTTGGCGGGGAGGTCAGGAGCAAGATGCACCACCAGGTCATACTGGTGGAGGTCGTTTCTGGGAGGGCAGGAGGAGGTAGGTATGGCACGTGCCAAGCTACCACTTACCACGTTCTTGGCAGGCGGAGCAGGGGCGATCCACTTCAGAATCCACGAAGGCACCTCCCGGGTTGCTGCTGCTGTGAGCCCGTAAAAGTCGTGTAGAGGCGCCACCACCAGGTCGTACTGGTGCAGGTCGTTTCTGGGGTGCTGGATCTGCACGACAAGGGTGGAACTTGGTGCCAGGCGCTTCACCTCTGCTGCTGCTGCCGCTGTGTCCCTCCCTGCTGCCACTACCAGCAGTGGGCCCTCGCTGAGGGGAGAAGAGGAAGGGGAGGGGGAAGGAAGGGAAGAGGAGAGGGGCGGGGATGGCAGCAGGTGGGTGTGTGGAATGGGTTACCCTATATAATCTCACAGTCATCACATTGTCACTAAGGAGCAGAAGAAGATGCTGAACCGTGCTGGTACATCATTCAACCGAAAGTTACAGCACCATCCCCCACTGCACCCCTCACCTTCCTAGGTCTCATCACACCGTACCATCCCCCGCTGCAACCCCCTCCAAGAGTCTCATTCGTCTCCCTGCTGGCACATCAGTCAACCGTATCCCTTCGCACTTAACCGCATTCCACCACACCATTTTCTGCTGCACCCCTCACCTTTCAAGGGTCTCATTTGCCTCCCTGGCGATCGCAGCAGGGTCCGCAGGAGCAGCAGCAGGGAGAAACGCTGACGTGGAAGCTTCTGATAGGATACGAGGCCGTTGGGCGGAGACAGGGTTGCTTCTAGGAAGGAGCACGGATCTGGGCGTGTGTTGAGTCGGCTGGAAAGGGTCAGAGGTATGAAATGATGAAGAACTCGTGCCATTGGCCATGGTACCATTAGCGAAGGTGCCATTGGCCATGGTACCATTAGCGAAGGTGCCATTGGCCATGGTACCATTAGCGAAGGTGCCATTGGCGAAGGTGCCATTGGCGAAGGTGCCATTTCTACCGTTAGTAGAACCTGCGACTGTTTCCAACGGTTTGCCAGAGGAATCTACAGTACCGTTGACGGACGGGGATGAGAAGGGGTTGTAAAGTGAACTAGCTGCTTCCGTTCCTCCTACAGCAGAACGTCCGTCTGTAGACGCTACAGCAGCTGATTCTCTACCTATGGGTAAACTCACGCCTGCTCCTGCTGTCGCTGATCCTGCCAGCCCTTCTTCTGCTGCTGCTGCTGCTGCTGCTGGTGCGGATGATGGTGCTGGTGAAGATGGGGGTGGGGGGGGAGCTGGTAAGCTTAATCTGGGGGGTGGGAGAAGGGCTAATCGGAGGACTACGGAGGACACGGCCTGGAAGAGCCATGCCAGACGCAGAGAGAGGTACACGTCTAGCTGCTGGTGCGTCTCTAGTGGTAACCACCGTAACCAGCGATGCAGGCCGGCCTTAGGACGAACCACTCTCTGCAAGAGGGAGGGAGAGAGCGAGAAGGGGAGAGAACGGCGGAGATGGTTTGGAAGAGTCATGCTAGACGTAGAGAGAGATACGCGTCTAGCTGCTGGTGCGTCTCTAGTGGTAACCACCGTAACCAGCGATGCAGGCCGGCCTTAGGACGAACCACTCTCTGCAAGAGGGAGGGAGAGAGCGAGAAGGGGAGAGAACGGCGGAGATGGTTTGGAAGAGTCATGCTAGATGTAGAGAGAGATACGCGTCTAGCTGCTGGTGCGTCTCTAGTGGTAACCACCGTAACCAGCGATGCAGGCCGGCTTTGGGACGAACCACTCTCTGAGAGAAAGGTGAGGGGAGAGAGCGAGGGAATGTAGTCGGTGGTTGGAAGAGAAGTAAGGTAGGCAGACGGGTGGGGGAAGGGAGAGGGCGAGGGAAGGGGATGTGGTTTAGATTTGAGCAAGAAAATTGAACATTTTAGACAAGATGTTGAAGAGCCACCACAATATTCAGGCATGATTGAGTAAATACTGAAACTCTTCGCAGTTACAGCAGAAAAAATGGCGGGACGTGGATCAGGCTGGATAGGACGTTGAAGAGTAACCAACCAAGCGTGTTCGCACCCATTGATTGATAGCTGCGTTAACGAAGAGTCTTGAGTCGATTGAAGTAAATCCATGTAAAGGACATGGCATTGGACACACCTGAAGTTCTTTAAATCTCCTTCCTGTATCTTCATAGATACCCGAGCTCCCAGATATTGCACCGAAGAATTGAAGAAGAAAAGAAGCCCCAGCTACTTGTCCTGTATAATTTTCCTTCATTTCTATTACAGCTTAGCTTCCACAGATTCTCTTACCTCTATCTCCATGGACCCTCCCAGTCCCAGAGCTCGCACGAGGCCCAGGCTCTGGTGTTCACAGCCTTTGAGACGTCTCAAAAATCAGCTGCTTGAGCCTCTAATATTCTACAACTTGCCTACCTGAATCTCCATGGATCCCCCGAGTCCCAGAGCTCGCACGAGGCCCAGGCTCTGGTGCTCACTGCCGGGGTGGCCATTTCCTATAATCACGGCGCGACGAATCACAGACGCCGTGCCGCCTTGCTCGAAGATCTCCGGCGTTCCCGCCGATCCTATGACTGGCGGAGGCTCCGGCAGCAGTATTCGTCTGTACGACATGTTTTCTGGTGATGTGGACGGTATTTTGTACGAAATGTGTCAATGATGCCTGGAGCGCGAGATATGGACGGACGGAATGCGCTGAAAAGAAGAAGCAGGATGCGGTATGCTATGTAATCAGACGCAGGATTTTAAACATGCAATTACGTACACGCGCTAATCTCTTGATATCAACTGGACGTTTCTGGCCTAGGAATGCTGAAACTAGGTTGTTGAGTGTGGGAATAAGCAGTAGTGCACGTGACCACCAACGAACATACAGACGATGAACAGAAAGCGATGGGTAAAAGAACCAGTCGACGGCCACGATACGTTGAAAGAAGCACGGATCTTCATTCAGAGCCGCTCAGATGGACAGATTGGCAAAATCAGGGTCCGCGAAAGCAGATACAGTACCAGTGATGCTGCTGAGCAGGGAAATGACGGAACCGACACTGCTCTGTCCAGCACAACGACTTCCGTCAGCGAAACGGCCAGAAGTCCTGCTTGAACGAAACGAGGCATGGAAGAGGAGAGTTGACCAGGCGAAGCGCGAAGCTGTGGTTGGTGGGGTTCGAGAAACGTGTTATGCCACGTCAGGTCCGGGCTGGTGACCCCAGGAATCTTGGGTGGGAACAGCCAACGGACATGAGCCTTAGGAATGCCTATGCGGAACAGTGCAGGCTGACATGCCAACCTCCCACGCGTGCCATACCAGACGTTGGGAATTGAAAGGGTGCCCTGGTTACTGCTCTGTTACGAAAAGCGCAGGTTCAATTTTACCAGCATGTATAGAATAATACGCCATTCCACCGGTAACGAAAAAACGTCATAAGGAGTATTAGGAATCAGGTCAACAACATTGCAGTCCGGACAAAATAAACATTGATAGAAAGGTCAAGGGCACAAAAATATAACCCACCTTCACCCACTCAGAGTTCGCCACATGTGGGGCACAGAACAGCAAAGCACGAGCCACAACAGGCAGCCTCTCTAAAGCGCCAGTGGTGAGTCATATGTGGCGTCGAGGTGGCCACGTGACCACCTGTCCAATCCACCTTCAAGCGTGTGGTGATCTGTCCGCTTTCCCGAACAGATGTGTCCACTTCAGCATTCTGTCAGAAACTCTTGGCAGGAGCAGAGCAACTCATCTCATTGCATTACGATTACTTGCGACGTGCTTCGCCAAACAAAGGTAGCCTAGTAACTCACCTCGCAGCAACTATGAACCAATAAGAAATTAAGCACACCCCCCTGCTTTCGCTCAACTCCGAAGCTCCCGCTCACCTCAGGCTATCCAGTTTTTGCGGCCTATCCTAGCCAGCCCCACACCAGCCTCTTCTGCTCCTGACCTCCTGTCTCACCCGCGCAACGTGAAGGGGAGTCTAGGAGCGTAGCGTCGCGGGGCTGGTCGTTTTCGCATTTCTGTTCGAACGTGCGATATTGACGCGCGAAGCGAACCGTCAGGACATGCGAGGCCTGAAGCAGAAATAAGTAATTTCCCAATTTTTAAGGCAGGCCCTGGATTCCTGTTTCTGAAGGCAAGCCCTGGTCGAGCATCTGTTTGAAAAGGCAGCCTGACAATGGTGCTAGTTGAGTGAGCGTCGAGCACCCCCATCCCCTCCTTTCCGCCCTCCGCTTCCGCCCTCCGTGCCCGCCGTCCGCCTCCGCCCGCCGCTTCCGCCATTTGGCGTCCGACTCTGCTTGCCCCATTGGCGCGCAATGGCGCAACTGCGGCATCACTGCGTTAGTCATTCCGCCACCTATTCCGCCACTCATTCCGCCACTCCTTCCGCCACCCTTTCCGCCACTCTTCCTCTTCCCCGCGGGACTGAGGCGCGGAAGCCTCCTTTCGCTCCCCCCCTCTTGCGCGCGCCCCCGCAATTTCCCAAACCTGCTGTAGCGCTCCGCGGCAGCAGCGGCGTGAAATGCGCTTCTGGATTCAGCAGCAGGTTCGGGAGGAGTAGTAGCGAAAGCTCACGGCTCGGGCCGTGCCAAGGTCCGAGGCTCGAATCAGGTCCGAGGTTCGGGTCACACCATGCCACCTGTTCAGGTCTGGCCCGGCGCAGCAACGCTACGGGCCTAGGGGGAAGGCTCGGAAGCAGCCACGGATGTGACAGTAACGGGGGGCTGGTTGGCGGGGAAAGGGGGAGGCGGAATGTGAGAAAAGCGAATGTGCGTATAACGAGGGACGTGCGGGCGGCAGTGGGGGTGGAGATTGGCTCGTCGGCGGCTCAGGATGTGATTGGAACGCTGGGGCTCGATACACTCACGTTCCTGGTGGCCACCGTTATTGTCATCCCCTTCTTCCGCAGCTTCAATGCCAGCCCGGTGAGTTGCAGAGGCTCCCTGCTCTCTCAGGAGTGGCGCTCAACCAGGTGGGAGCCCGGGGCTCATCCATCCATCCATCCATCCATCCATCCATCCATCCATCCATCCATCCATCCATCCATCCATCCATCCATCCATCCATCCATCCAGGTTTGTGACGCCTCATCAATCCTGCTCTCCTCCACTCCCCTCCACCTCTCCATCTCCCCCTCCCCCTCATACCACCAGATTCTCGCCTTCCTGCTCTGCTTTCAGGCGTGGCGCTCAACCAGCTGGGACTCATTCGCACTTTCAAGACTTCTCAATACCCTTTCTCTCCCATCGTCCCTCCTTCCCTCCCGCCATTTGTCCCCTCTTTCCCATACATCAGATTCTCGGCTTTCTGCTCTCAGGAGTGGCGCTCAATCAGCTGGGCCTCATTCGCAACATCTCTGATGTCAAGGCTCTCTCGGAACTCGGAATCCTCTTCCTGGTAAGCCGCACTGCACCCAATGCTCGACGAACAGCTCCAGACCAGACTCTGTTCTCGTATTGCTCTCTGCTCTCATTTTGAGACGTCTCAAAACTAATTTTTGAGACGTCTCAAAACGACGAACAGCTCCAGACCAGACTCTGTTCTCGTATTGCTCTCTGCTCTCAGCCCGCTGCTCCCATTGACCTTACCTTAAGGCTTCAACTGCTTCTGAACCCTTTTCCCCATTCCCACCCATTACCTGCCTTTCCTCCCTCCTATCCCTCCTTCCATATCGACCTCCCCACAGCTCTTTGAGATGGGTCTCGAGCTGTCTATCGAGCGCCTGAGGGCTCTTGCCAAGTTTGCCTTTGGCATGGGCCTGCCACAGGTGAGTGGGATGTTACGGGTGAGGGCTGTAAGGGTTGACTAGTGAGGGGCTGTAGCAGGTGAGGGGCTGTGGGCTATAGCAGGCGAGGGAGGGGTAGTAAGGGCTGAGTGGTATTGCAGCCGGGTTTCGCTTGTCTTACTGAAGGTGAAGGCATGGTGCTCCTCACCACTCCTCGCCACTCCTCACCACTCCTCACCACATTCTCCCCTCCCCCCAGGTGCTGCTCGCCACAATCGCCTTTGCAGTGTTCGAGCTCCCACCCGACAACGCCATAAGCACCAACCTGCTACCACTTCCCTTGTTACCACTGCAAACCCTCTGTACCGCTCCGCACCACTCCTCACCTCTCCTCACTGTTCTCTCTGCTTCCCCATGCAGGTGCTCCTCACAACGCTTGCCTTCGCATCTTTTGAGCTCCCACCCGACCATGCCATTGGCACCCGCATGCTGCCACTTCCCTTGCTGCCACTGCAAACCCTCCGCACCAATCCTCACCACTCCTCACCGCTCCTCACCACACTCTTCCCTCCCTGCAGGTGGTGCTCCTCACAACGCTCGCCTTTGCAACGTTTGAGTTCCCACCCGACCATGCCATGGAAACCCGTTTGAGCTCCCACCCGATCAGATCATGCCATGGACACCCGCATGCTGGTGATTGAGGGCATCAGAAATCGTCTCACCGCTCCCCACCGTTCCTCACCATTCTTCCCTTCCCACAGGTCCTATTCACAACGCTCGCCTTTGCAGCGTTCGAGCTCCCACCCGACCATGCCATCGGCACCCGCATGCTCGAGTGGGCTGCCTCTGCCCGCCCTGACCTGGTGAGGTCCCACCCCTTCTGATCCATTTCCGTCCCTTTCCACTCTTCCCCATCCCTCTCTACCGCGCCATGGGCACCCGCTTGCTCGAGTGGGTTGGCTCTGCTTGCCCTGACCTGGTGAGGCGATTTTTGAGTCGACTAAAAAATCGCCTCATCGCTTGCTTGAGTGGGTTGGATCTGCTTTCCCTGACCTGGTTCGATTGTCCTCTATGGGTTACCATACCACTTATAACAGCCGCCTGGCCTGCTTTTGGCCACAAATTTTCGCATGCCTTTGCTTGTTGAGATCAGACAGCTACTCGCAGCTACCTTGATTCTGAGACTCGCTCTGAGAGGGTCCCTGGGAGGACTAGTGGCCCTGGGAGTCTCTCTCGAAGGGTCACTCCCAGGGTCGCTAGTCCTCTGAGGGTCCAATTTCTGGCGTAATTTCCTTGCCGCCTGACCCTCCTGTTCGCCGCTCAATCTGTCTCTGAAGGTGAACATCCGATCAATGGATGAGCCACGCACGTGTAGAGAGGTCAATGGATGAGCCACGCACGTGTAGAGAGGTTGTTTTTGAGACGTCTCAATCTCTCGCTACAACCTCGCTACACGTCGCTCAATCTCTCTCTCAAGGTGAACATCCGGTCAATGGATGAGGCTCTTGTCATCGGGGCTGCTTCCTCTTTTCGTTGCCATCATTGCTAACCTTTGTTTGCCCCCCGGTGCTTTCGTGTGCCAACCAACTTCCCTGCTCTACAGGTGAACATCCGGTCAGTGGACGAGGCTCTCGTGATCGGGGCCGCCCTCTCTCTCTCCTCCTCCGCTTTTGTGCTTCAGGTATGCATTTCCATTTTTACTCCACCCACACACACACCCCCGCGCCCCACCTGTCGTCCCCGCCCCCGCTCCCGCCCCCCCATGCTGCTCCTCTTTCCCGTTTTTATCTCCATGGTTTAATGTTCTAACCCCGTCACACGGAATTTTCCCGGATTCTTGTTTCCAGACCTGTTTCGTGCTACCGTGTGTTTGTCTTGCTTGTCTGTGCCCACCTTGCCTCAGCTGCTCTCAGAGAAGGGAGAGCTCGCCACCCGCGTCGGCTCAGCCACTCTTGGGATTCTGCTTTTGCAGGTGTGTGGGTGGTGCAGGTGTGTGGGTGCCACTCTCAACTACCTCGCTCCTCTGCTTATCTCTTGATGCTGCATGTGTCCTGGCTCATACCAGCTCCCCTCTCTCCTCCTAAGTGTCCCACTTGTTCCCCCATCTCCCCCCTCTCTCCACTGCAGGACATAGCAGTGGTGCCTCTACTGGTCATTCTCCCCATCCTCGAGAGTGGGGTAAGTGTCACTGTCACAGCCTTAGCATACATGTGTGTCACATCACATCACACATCCCCTTTCCCACTTGCTTCTTCCAATTGGGACATGTGACAACAGTCTCTTTCCCACTTTCTTCCACATGTGAGACACAGTCTCTCTCTCCTCCAACCTAACCCAACCCAACTCCCTCCCTCACACCCTTCTCCCCCCTCCCCACAGGATTTCACAGATGGCTCACAGATGGATCTCTTCCCCTTGCTCGCAGCCGCGGGGCTCAAGTCCCTGCTAGGTCTGGGAGTGGTGCTCTACAGGGGCCGCCTCTTTTCTCTTACACCCACCCACCAACACGCGCCCCTCTCGCTCCCCTTGTGCTTCCCCACAGGATTTTACTGATGACAGTCTATTCCCGCTCCTCGCAGCAGCAGGCCTCAAGTCCCTGCTAGGTCTGGGAGTGGTGCTCTACAGGGGCCGCCTCTTTTCTCTTACACCCACCCACCAACACGCGCCCCTCTCGCTCCCCTTGTGCTTCCCCACAGGATTTTACTGATGACAGTCTATTCCCGCTCCTCGCAGCAGCAGGCCTCAAGTCCCTGCTAGGTCTGGGAGTGGTGCTCTACAGGGGCCGCCTCTTTTCTCTTACACCCACCCACCAACACGCGCCCCTCTCGCTCCCCTTGTGCTTCCCCACAGGATTTTACTGATGACAGTCTATTCCCGCTCCTCGCAGCAGCAGGCCTCAAGTCCCTGCTAGGTCTGGGTGTGCTGCTCTACATGGGCCGGCTCTTTCTCAGAAGGTTCTTCGAGTTTGTGGCCGAATCACGCAGCACAGAGGCCTTTGTCGCTCTCTGTCTGCTCACAGTCACGGGCACGTCTCTGATTACCAGCAAGCTTGGTTTCAGTGACTCGGTGAGTGCTGCCTGTATGCGCACACACAGCCGTTGGTTGACTCCTTCCTTCCTTCCTTAGTCCCCCTGAGTCTCGCAGCACAGAGGCCTTTGTGGCGCTCTGCCTCTTGACAGTCACCGGCACTTCTTTAATCACCAGCAAGCTGGGCTTCAGTGACTCGGTGAGTGCTGTTTGTATCACTGGCAGGCACCCAGGCACCGGTATAATCCTCAGTCAGTCCCCTGAGGCAGTCCATTCGCGCAGCACAGAGGCTTTTGTGGCGCTCTGCCTCTTGACGGTCACCAGCACTTCACTTATTACAAGCAAGCTGGGCTTCAGTAACTCGGTGAGTGGGTGCTGCAAGGTAAACGGGTTTTGAGGCGCCTCAAAAGTCGGTGAGTGGGTGCTGCAAGGTAAACGGGTTTTGAGGCGCCTCAAAAGTCGGTGAGTGGGTGCTGCAAGGTAAACGGGTTTTGAGGCGCCTCAAAAGTCGCTGAGTGGGTGCTGCAAGGTAAACGGGTTTTGAGGCGCCTCAAAAGTCGGTGAGTGGGTGCTGCAAGGTAAACGGGTTTTGAGGCGCCTCAAAAGTCGGTGAGTGGGTGCTGCAAGGTAAACGGGTTTTGAGGCGCCTCAAAAGTCGGTGAGTGGGTGCTGCAAGGTAAACGGGTTTTGAGGCGCCTCAAAAGTCGGTGAGTGGGTGCTGCAAGGTAAACGGGTTTTGAGGCGCCTCAAAAGTCGGTGAGTGGGTGCTGCAAGGTAAACGGGTTTTGAGGCGCCTCAAAAGTCGGTGAGTGGGTGCTGCAAGGTAAACGGGTTTTGAGGCGCCTCAAAAGTCGGTGAGTGGGTGCTGCAAGGTAAACGGGTTTTGAGGCGCCTCAAAAGTCGATGAGTGGGTGCTGCAAGGTAAACGGGTTTTGAGGCGCCTCAAAAATCGGTGAGTGGGTGGTTCACACCTCTCTCAACGCGCTTTTGGGAGTCAGGTCGCGCAGCACAGAGGCCTTTGTGGCGCTCTGCCTCTTGACGGTCACAGGGACCTCTCTCATCACCAGCAAGCTGGGATTCAGTGACTCGGTGAGTGTGTTGGTTGGAGCACAGGGGTAACATGGTGCGGAGCTGACCTCTGTGCATTTTGAGGCGCCTCAAAATACACCTCACTGCAGAGCTGACCTCTGTGCATTTTGAGGCGCCTCAAAATACACCTCACTGCAGAGCTGACCTCTGTGCATTTTGAGGCGCCTCAAAATACACCTCACTGCAGAGCTGACCTCTGTGCCAGCCTCTCTTAAAGGATTCGCGCAGCACAGAGGCCTTTGTGGCGCTCTGCCTGCTCACGGTCACCATGAACCAGATTACTCACTTACTCTCCACTCCTGTGCTCTCCCCTCTGTCTCTCTCTCATGCCTGCCTGTGCTGCTGTGCGTTCAGCTCGGAGCGTTCTTGGCAGGAGCATTGCTGGCAGAGACAAACTACCGCACACAGGTGAGAGCATGTGATTTGTCAAGAGCGCACGTGCCTCTGTTTGTCTCGTTCCGGTTAACGCTTTTTTTGAGTCGACTCAAAAATACGCTTTTTTTGAGTCGACTCAAAAATACACGTGCCTCTGTTTGTCTCGTTCCGGTTAACGCTTTGCTTCTATCCTGCATACCTCTCATCTCATCATGCCTACATGCTTCCATGCCCCATGCCGCATACCCCATGCCTCGTCCTCCATGCAACTTGCCACATACCCTCATGCCCCATACCTCTACGCCCCCATGCCTTACCGGCAGGTGGAGGCAGACATTCGTCCCTTCAGGGGTCTGCTGCTGGGGCTCTTTTTCGTCACCACCGGCACCTCCATTGATCTCAGTGTGAGTCAGTTCGTGCAGACCCAATGCAATCTTCGGACTGACTGACATCTGCTGCTTCTGGTAACATGTACGAGCAACTCAGGGGTCTGCTGTTGGGGCTCTTTTTCGTCACCACTGGCACACCCATCGACCTCAGTGTGAGTCAGTGGTTATGTAAGCCTCAGTGTGTAGTTACATAACCTCTTTCATACACAGTATGGTTTCTGCTGGGTGTAAGCCATTGAATTGAATCCTAGTGTCTGCTGCTGGGGCTCTTTTTCGTCACCACTGGCACACACATCTATTGATCTCAGTGTGAGTCCAGCTGCGAATGCCCCTGTGCCTTGTCAGGTTCAGTCCAGTGTGTACGTTCCAGTTTAATTCCCAGCTCCTCTAGCTCCTCCTGCTCCTCCTCTCTCGACTTACCGCCATCAAAACAGCCATCATCACGGCACGGTGCCATCGGCCCCATCCATCTGCCCAACTTCTCTCCAAGTCTCAACCTCTCTACCCTGCCCTCCCCTCCCCTCCCCCTCACCCATGCAGCTCCTAGCAGCGGAGTGGCCCAACATCCTGCTCCTCCTCTCGGGCCTCATAGCCATAAAAACAGCCATCATCACAACTCTCGGCCTCCATGCGCCCAACCACTCTCTCAGCCTCTCCGCCTCTCCCTTCTCTCTTCCCTACCCCCCCCCCCCTTCCCCCCCCCATCCTTCCAATCACCACAGCTCCTAGCAGCAGAGTGGCCCAACGTACTCCTCCTCCTCTCTGGCCTCATAGCCATCAAGACCACTATCATCACGGCACTCGGCCACACTCTCCCATAAACCCACCTGTCTCCTGTTTTCCCTCAACCCTTGCTCCTGTGCTCCACAGCTCCTAGCAGCGGAGTGGCCCAACATACTCCTCCTCCTCTCCGGCCTCATAGCCATCAAGACTGCCATCATTACGGCGCTCGGCCCGCGTGTCGGCCTCTCCCTCCCCGAGTCCATCCGCACGGGGTTGCTTCTCTCCCAGGGAGGAGAGTTCGCCTTTGTCGTCTTTGCCCTCGCCAGCCAGTGAGTGCAGTGCATACCCACGGAATAATAATTTCGTAGCCATTATATAATGGTCATCATGCCTCTCCCTCCCTGAGTCTATTCGAACTGGTCTGCTGCTCTCCCAGAGGGGAGAGTTCGCCTTCGTTGTCTTTGCCCTCGCCAGCCAGTGAGTCTCTGCCCTCTTTTTGAGAATTCTCAAAAAACACACGCTGTAAGTCTCTGCCCTCTATCCCCTGAGCCACCCTCCGCTTCCTAGTTGAGTCATATGGCTACGATGCCTCTAACTCTCCCGCAGGTTGATCTGGTAGCTTACTGATGAAGGCTTAGCGGGTTGGAGACCCGTGAGCCGAAACTAGTTTGAGCTGTAAAGATTCTCGTTAGTGAAGGGTTTTAAGGTTTCTACTGATCGTTTTTCCAGGAAATAATTTCTGTTTCGTTTCCTTTTGTTGCTTTAAGCGTCACTCTTTAGAATTGCTGCTCTTCCACTATGAGCGAAGACCCCTGAGCCACCCTCCGCTTCCTAGTTGAGTCATATGGCTACGATGCCTCTAACTCTCCTGCGGGTCGGCCTCTCCCTGTCCGGTCGTTCTCTCCATGGCTCTCACACCCCTCCATGGCTCCATGGCTCTCACACCCCTCCATGGCTCCAGGGCTCTCACACCCCTCCATGGCTCCAGGGCTCTCACACCCCTCCATGGCTCCAGGGCTCTCACACCCCTCCATGGCTCCAGGGCTCTCACACCCCTCCATGGCTCCAGGGCTCTCACACCCCTCCACTCCCTGAGCCAACCGATGAACAGCCCTCTCACCCACCCATTCCCATACCCATTCCCATACCCATTCCCATACCCATTCCCCTTCTGTCGTACCCCTTCAACCAACCAGGCTTGGCGTTCTGCCAGATGAGCTGAATCGGCTGCTAATCATCATGGTCGTTCTCTCCATGGCTCTCATGCCCCTGCTCGACTCCCTGGGCCGATCTGCAGCCCTCTCACCCACCCCTCTGCTACCCACTACCCCCTCTCTGTCTACACCCCTTCTATCAGACTTGGCGTTCTACCAGATGAGCTAAATCGGCTGCTCATTATCGTGGTTGTGCTTTCCATGGCTCTCACTCCTCTGCTCGACTCCCTGGGGCGGTCAGCAGCAGAGGCGTTAGAGAAGCGGGAGAGGGAGAAGCGGAAGGCATTAGGGGAGGATGAGGAGGAGGGGGAGGGGGAGGAGGGGTTGGATGTGGTGGGAGGCGGCAAGAGGAAGGGGCGAAAGAAAGGCGGAGGAGGAGGAGGAGGACATGGGGTGAGTGGGATTGGATTGCTTATTCTATGTTTCTTTAGTTCTTACCTGCTCTGGTTTTTTTTTTTCTTACAAGGGTTCTGTGCTGAGTTTTTTTGTCTCCTTGCCCTACCCTCACTCCCCTCAGCACGCCAACCCTCTTTATCATCATCCCCTCATTTCTCTCGATTTCTTTTATTCTCACCAATGCAGGGTCACTATGGGGGGGCTGAGCCTATTGTTATTCTTGGCTTCAACCACATGGGGCAGGTGAGATGTGGGGCGGGTGAGATGTGGGGCAGGTAGGATGTGGGGCAGGTGAGACATGGGGCAGGTGAGATGTGGGGCAGGTGAGATGCGGGGCAGGTGAGATGCGGGGCAGGCCACACAAGGGTTTCTACCTGAAGTTTCGTTTCCTACCAATCTCTCCCACCCGCACTCTCTCCTCTCAGGTGCTGGCTAACTTGCTATCCACACTGCTAGCCACCATCTCAGGGGGGTCGGGGGGAGAAGCACCAGGGTGGATGTGGTACCACTCATACCTCGAATGATCTCCCACCATCTCACTCCCCCACCCTCTCACTTCCCTCTCTCAGGTACTGGCCAACATGCTATCCACACCGCTAGCCACCGTCTCGGGAGGGTCGGGAGGGGACGCCCCTGGGTGGATGTGTTACCACCGGCCATAACAATTCGGCCACCCCACCATCACCCTCCCACTCCACTCTCTCGCCCTCCCCTCAGGTGCTGCTCAACATGCTATCCACGCCGCTAGCCACCATCTCAGGGGGGTGTTAAGGCGTCTCAACAAAACTCACTCCCACCCCACCATCACCCTCCCACTCTCTCGCTCTCCTCTCAGGTGCTCGCCAACATGCTATCCACGCCGCTAGCCACCATCTCAGGGGGGGGGGGGGGAGATGCACCTGGGTGGCCCTTTGTGTGCTTCGATCTCAACCCCAACCGCGTCAGGGTGAGTGAGAGAGTGAGTGAGGGAGTGAGTGAAGGAATGAGTGAGAGAGTGAGTGACAGATTGAGTGAGTGAGTGAGCGGTGGAGTTCGTGAGGGACAAATTGCCTTTTGAGTCGACTCAAAACTCACCTCATGAGGGACAAAGTGCCAGCTTTTTTATTAAAGCATCTAAATCGATGCACCACTCTTCCCACCCACTCCTCCCCACGCGTCCTGCACCCTTCCCCCTTCACTCCCTCACATCTCATCCTCCCTTTTCCCCTCTTCCCCCCCAGATGGGCAAGCACCTGGGTTTCCAGGTTTTGCCACGGCCTAAAATTAGACACACCACTCTTCCCTGCTCTATCCCATATAAACCCCTCCCCCCTTCTTCCCCCCTCTCCCTTCACAGATGGGAAAGCGCCTTGGCTTCCCGGTCCTCTACGGTGACGGGTGCCGCCCGGCAGTGCTCGAGTCGGCCGGCATTCCTCGTCCGCTAATGGCCATCGTGGTGTACTCGGGGCGGCAGCAGACGGTGTATTCTGTGGAAAGACTACACGATGCCTTCCCAGGGGTGAGTGGGGAGGGTCGCGGGGGGGCTTTGACAGACCTCCAGAGGGGATATGGGGGAATATAGCGTGATTCGTAGGGGTTTGGGGGAGATTGGGGGGGTTTCAGAGGGCTCTTTGGGGACTCAGCAGGGAAATCCTTGGGGAGCTCAGGAATGGAATGGCTCCTTCTTCCAATCCTTCTTCCAATCCTTCTTCCTTCTTTCTGTGCAATGTCCCTTGCCTTATCCCCGCCCACTCCCCCCACGCCACTCTCCTTCTCCCCTGCCCCATGTTTTGCCTCTGACCAGCTGCCCATATACGCAGGCAGTGGATGTGGCTCACCTGGCGGAGCGTAGAAAGGCTGGCTTGCTTGCGATGCGACGCACCTTTCTGTGTCCCCCCCCTGCCCACTCCTGCGCCGTCTCCCCACTTCACTCACACTCACTCACACTTCACTCATTCCCCTGGCCCCGTTCCTCTCCCCTGCCCCACCAGCTGCGCATATACGCCCGAGCAGTGGACGCGAGTCACCTGGCAGAGCTAAGAAAGGCGGGTGCCACAGACGTGGTTCTGGAGAGCGCAGAGGTGAGAGGACCTGTGAATGGAGGTGAGAGGTTGAGGAGGTGAGACCCGTGAATGGAGGCAATAGCAATGTGGAGTCGATAAAAGGAAGCTCATGTCATGTCACGACACAAGGCCAGTAGCCTGTGGAGCTCCGAAATACGGGAGCCAGCCACTGACGTGGTTCTGGAGAGTGCAGAGGTGAGTGAGACGTGTGGGAGTAGAAGATTATAGTGAGGTAAGATGAGGAAGAGGAGGTAATATCATGAGATGAGGTGATAAACCCATGCAGCTGAAGTGCGCCACAGACGTGGCGCTGAAGAGCACAGAGATGAGCTGAGCAAGAGGAATAGCAAGGTGACGCACCAGCGGAATGTAGCGATGGAGGTGATGGCAGGGTGGGACGATAGGAGGAAGGGGAGGTGATACATGAGATGAGCAGCCCATGGAGCTCAGAAAGGCTGGTGGCACTGACGTGGTGCTGGAGAGCACAGAGGTGAGACACGTGGGGAGGATTATAGAGGGGTACGATGCGGTTGTAGAGGTAAGTTGGGGAAGAGGAGGTGGTACTTATGTCGCGAGTCATGACGTGAGGTGAATGGCCCGTCGAGGTGAGAAAGGCTGATGGTACTGACGTGGTGCTGGAGAGCACAGAGGTGAGACGCACGTGGGAGGAGGTGAGGTGAGGAAGGCGGGGGAAAATTGAGATTGGTTGATGATGCGAGACGATGTGGTGTTCCTGTGGCAACTCATGCAAGAGGCTCTTGACACAGAGGCTGCTACTCGCCGCACCACATGGGATAGGATCATGAGAGAAAGGCTGGACAGGATCGGGAGACACGTGCTGTTAGAGGTGAGAGGCTCTTGACAAAGTGGCTGTCACCAGCCGCATCATGGGCATGTGCATCCCTTTTCTTCTTCCTCTCTCTCCAATCACCCAGGCTGGACTTCGCCTGGGCTCCATGCTACTCCAAGACATGGGGGTGATGCGAGATGATGTGGTGTTCCTGCGATGCCAGCATGTGTGCATGCATCCTCCCCTCTGCTTCCCCCAGGCCGGCCTCCGTCTCGGTTCCATGCTACTCCAAGACATGGGTGTGATGCGAGACGATGTGGTGTTTCTCCGGCGCCTCATGAGAGAGGCTCTTGACACGGAGGCTGCCAACCGCCGCACGGGGCAACGGTTGCTCAAGGACAGATCTGAACTGGGCGGCAGCTGGCCGGCCAAGGAGGAGGATTTGAGCGGCAAGCGGTCGGTGAAGGAGGATTTGGGCGGCAAGGGGGTGGGGAAGGAGGGCGAGGATGGTGCAGGAAAGGAGGGTGACTGGGAAAGTGATTCGAGTGGGGATGGGAAGGGAGAGGTTGGTGGAGGTAAGGTGAGGGGTGGGGAGGATGGGGAGAAAGTGGAGGGGAAGAGCGAGGGGGGGAGAAAGAGTGGTGATGGTGGGTTGGCTGCGGTGAAAAAGCTTGGTGATAAGGTAAGTGGTGCTGTTAGTGGTAGTGGTGGTGCTGTTGCTGCTGCTGCTGCTGCCGCTGCCGCCGCCGCCACCGCTGTTGCTGCTGCTGCCAGTGGTGATGCCGACACTGCTGGTGCCGCTGCCACCGCTGCTGCCACTGCTGCCACTGCTGCTGCTGCTAGGGTGAAACCTGCCCCTTCTGATGCTACCGCCTCTCCTGATGCTTCTGCCGCTGCTGCTACACCTGCATCAGGGAGTGATGGGCTGATTACACGGGCTCAAGCAATAGATGCAGCGGTGGGATTTGTGAGTGAGGATAATGAGAATGGGGATGCTGGAAATAATGGTGATGGTGGTGATGATGATGGTGATGGTGATGGAGATGGTGGTGATACTGGTGCTGCTACACCCGCAGAAGGAAGTGATGTGTTGATCACAAGAGCCCAAGCGCTCAATGCAGCGGGGGCATTCGTCACCAGTGATGATGACAATGGGGACGCTGGTAAGAATGGTGATGGCACTGGTGGTGATGGTGTGTTGGAGGGAAAGGGGGAGCACCTAGAAGAGGGTACAACCAGTGGGGTCGAGAGCGGTGTGAGTGGAAAGGCTGTTACTGGCAGCTTGACAGGTGGGGCTGATGTGAAGAATGGTAACTCCGGCTCGGTAAGAGCTAGTGGAGAAAGTGAGTCGATTTTGGAGAGAGCTGGCACCGAGGGCGTGGAAGAGGAGCGTACATTTTCAACAAGTGATGATGGGCTACAGTACTTTTCGGATGGTGAGGATTTTGTTGATACGAAGCTAGGTTGCAACTCCAGCAGTACTCCTCGCGAGCTATGAACTCAGATCCTAACCCGATTTGACAAGCCACCTAGTGGCATAGATTTTGAGTGCGACTCTCTGTCCAAAGAAAATATATGGCAAGGCCTGATGTCCAAGGAGTTTTGATATCCATAGTGATGGTAGCTAAGTTTCAAGTACTTGAATGAAAAAGTGGTTGCATCTGAGGAATACACTAATGATACGGTAGCTTTGCAAAGTGTGAAGCCAAGATCGATATCACCTCGTGCTGGTGGGAAGATTTGCGGCGCGTCGACGTGTGTCTTCCATCACCTTGTGTTCCTTCACGCGTCTTTTCGATGCTTCTGCCAGCCACCAACCACGTCGCGACATCGAGGGCATCACATCACACACACTCTCTCGGGCATCTTGGGATCTGATTTTTGAACTGTAGTCATCGGGCGGGAGTGGGTGGGAGGGGAGGAGTACTGTACGATGATGGAGAAGAGGAGAGGAGAGGACGAATAGTGGTGGAAGCAATGGCCTTGGGATTGCCGCCACTCGCTTGAGCCAGCAGCAGGGTACAGTGCAATGCGGCACACGGTCGTGACCGTTTACAGTGCAGTGCTTAACGCAGTGTACCGCTCAGTAAAATCTGGGAACCACGCAAAACCGATTTTCAGGATCCAACGGACATTAGGGCGCGTGTGATATTTTTTCGAACTTCCTAAAGTTCGAACTTGTAGAAAGGTTCTACACGGTAGGATACAATTGATATTTTTTTTGCCACGGTGCAAAGCGTTTTGAGTTCGAACTTAGACAAAAATCCAAAGATCACACGCGCCCTTAGGGCGCGTGTGATTTTTTATTTTGCCATAAGTTTATGTTTTTGACTCGATTTAAGCATTTGAACATGACTCGACTTTGAGTATTGGCAATGTTCGAACCGCAGGTGAACTTGCTTGTAGATTCACAATCACACACGAAAGTGCGAATTTGCAGGTTCGAGCTTACAGGGGGGGGACCGAGCCGCCTATAGGGTGCGTAGGTTACCCGGTGTTCTTCTATTGACAGCGCGAAAGAGTCGCGAGCTTCGCTGGTTCCTTGTACGTGCCTGAAACCACACACGTTCGGTTCAGTGTGCTACACAAAGTTTGTGCATATATTCGAATCTTGTTCACATTTGTATGTTCGCACCTGGTACTCTTGAAATTGTAGTCACCATTGGCGAAATCTCCTGCGAACATTGGCGAAACTGGTTACCACCTAAAGTTCGACCTTAAATACGAACCCCAAAAAAAATCACACGCGCCCTTAGTTTCACATCTGAGTTTTGTGTACAGGGTACCTGAAGTCTTTTGAGCTCAGACTCCAACTCACATTCATTTCACATCCCAGTTCCACACCTGAAGTCCCAGCAGTCAGTTCTGTAAGCAGCTAGCTCCCACCCAGGGCTGTCGATTCGTTTTGGGGCCCCCGGGCAAATCAGGGGGCCTGCCACGTGCGACCCTGTATCTAGCAGGGTTGGGGCGAGTCTTGGCCCTTTAGGCGTCAGGGCTGGAAATTTTTCCACCCTTTGAATCAGGTTTGGCGCGTCATATTTTGCTGCTTCATTTTAACTACAATGACTACAACTACAAACTACTACAAGCAAACAGTACAAAAAAAAATACTTGGCGTCATTTCTCTATGCACGCTTAGAAGGCTTCCTAGCCTTGGCAGCAGTGAAGATCTTGTGCACTTCTACCTACTCCACAGGATAGTCTAGCATCTTCACAGTCATCAGCTGATCTAGCTTAACATCACTAAGAGCAGTCCTGTCCCATGATTTTATTATGTTCTGCCTACTGAAGCCCCTTTCGCACTCAACAGTGCTAAGGGGCAGGACAGCAAGTGCACGCCACAAGTGCACGAGGGTGGGGTAATCATCCCTCCAGTCTGAGGTGCGTAGCACGTTAGTGAGGGCTTGCTGGAAAGTCAGGTCCTTGAACTTCTTGAACATTGTGGCAGCAAAGAGCTCCATCTCCAGCTGACACTCCTGGTACGTGACACCTGCGGGTGGTGGGGTGGGCGTAGGAGAAGAATAAGTTAAACATGGAAGCACCTATGATAATAACACTGCTGGGAATATAAAATGTACTGGATCATGGGCATTCTTACGTACCGGGCAGCTTCTCCTTGAACATGTCAAGGAGTTCGTAGAGGTGGACGTTGAGCCATCCTTCACGGTCAGCAGGGCGCGGCGGGTAGTGCATTGGCATGAAGAGTTTTGCCCCGTCAAAATGCTTCAGGTCCCCAAGGCGGTAGTCCAGCTTTGCGATCAACTCCTGCGCAAACTCCTGCCCCAGCTTGATGCACGAATCCAGGTCCGTCTTCTTGTCTTTGCCGATGGGGTTTTCATGCAGTATGTCTTTGATGGTGCATGCGGTCCCTTGCTTGTCGAGGCCGCGGATGGTGATCTCGCGCTTGTCAGGGCTGCCGTGCTTCTCGAGAAAAGCATGCAGGTGCTTGCTCTTCGGGGTCCCATAGTCTGCGCGGTTCTCCACGTAACGTTGCGCCAGCTTCAGCTTCAGTTTATCGACGAGGAGCTTCACCTCGCCGATGTCCACCTGCTCATTAGTAGGGGCAGGGCAGAGGGGCAGGGCAGAGGGGCAGGGAAGAGGGGCAGGGCAGAGGGGCAGGGCAAAGGGGCAGGGCACAGGGGCAGGGCACAGGGGCAGGGCAGAGGGGCAGGGCAAAGGAGCAGGGCAGAGGGGCAGGGCAGAGGGGCAGGGCAGAGGGGCAGGGCAAAGGAGCAGGGCAGAGGGGCAGGGCAGAGGGGTAGGGCAGAGGGGCAAGGCACAGGGGCAGGGCAGAGGGGCAGGGCACAAGGGCAGGGCACAGGGGCAGGGCAGAGGGGCAGGGCACAGGGGCAGGGCAGAGGGGCAGGGCAGTTAATAAAGAGCGCTTGTATCAGCAAAGGCCATGACATGATGCAAACTTACCACCAGCCTCTGAAACGCCATGTTGAGGGTGTTGAGCATCTCCAGCACGTCGGCGAGGAAGAAGAGCATGAACTGAAACTTGAAACTTGTGCCGATCTTGTACGCGGCTTGGTCCTCTTCGTGCCAAAGCCAGAGGAGGATTGGCAGCACTTCGCAAAACCACGCCACTGCATCCCCGCGTGAAAGCCAGCGCACGTCGAATATGCCCTGAACTTCCAGTTGGGTTTTCATGACCACGTCCTGCAGCTGCATGAAGGCATCTCTGGAGATGCTGGAGCGGCCGATGTGCTCGGCAGTCTTGCGAATCTGTGAGTCAATGACATTGAAGTCAGGGAACTTCTTGGCAGCATCCTTTGCTGCCAACGCCTCCCTGTGACACGGGTACCAGTGAAACATGAGTTAAAAAACAGCAACTAGAGATGAGAATGGAACATACCAAACAAGCATTCTGACTCACCGGTGTGCCACGCAGTGCACAGCAACGAGCCACGGGCAGCGCTGCATTAAACGGCCCACAACCCCCTTCTTCATTCCCACCACAACCTTGGCACCGTCAGTGGACACACCCGCAAGCTTGTCCAAGGACAAGCCTTTGCTGTCAAGATGCGCCGTGATGGAAGCGTACAACGAGGCGCCATCGGCTTTGTCGACTGGTATGTTGCCAAAAAACTGCACCTCCGTCTGCTCGTTGCGCTCGAAGTGCACATACATGATCATGTGCTTGCCGTGCGCGCGGTCCGTGCTCTCGTCGAATGAGAGCCCGTACCATGGCGAGGCTTGGACGTCTGCCAGCTGGCGCCCTTGGAGGTAGCTTGCGAGCGCCGAAACAAACTCGCCGCATGCGTATCTGCAAAGGTGCATAAGCAGAATGTTAGATTGTATAATGGTAACAAGCAGAAACAACAACGCATTACCTTGAGTAGTATCGCCCGTATGCCTCTTCATTAGTCATGTCTGGGCAGCCCTGCTCAGCCATGAACTTAACAAGAAGCGTGTAGAGCATGATTGGTGCATCATTTCGACAACACCAGTAAGCTGCCTGAAGACATTTCACCACTCTGCGGGTCAGCGGCTCAGCGCTCAGAAGTTCTAGGATACTACGCTGTTGCCTCTCTGTGCCTTTAGCGATATGGTCGGCCGTCACAGCAGCAAGGTGCAGCCTCGAGAACTCATGACCTCTGCAACACCCCACCTGAAAATCACGCGCTCCTATGCCAAGAGGGCCAAACGGAGATTTGCTGTTCTTGGCATGGGCTTTGCAGATCTTACACTTCATACCGTACATCTGTTGCTCGTCGTCATACTCGAGCACCAACCACTTGAAGGTTTGCTTCCACCCAGGGTTCCACTTCTCGACCAGTTTCTTCTCCGACGCAGGGACATCCATGCGTTCCGCGGGATTATCCACAGCAGGAGCGACCTTGTCATCCACGGTCGACACCTTCCTCGAACGCTTACGAGGTGGAAGGTGTGGTCCCGACCATGACAGTCGCGTCTGACGCATGCGCTGGCCCGGAGTGGAAGAAGCTTCACTGGCGCGGCGAGACACACGATCGACTAGCTGGACCTCGACCTCGTGGAAGTTCTCATCAGCGCCATCACCGGTACTCTCTTTCTCACTATTAGAGTCGAAGGCGTTCTCGTCATCGCCATCACCAAGACTCTCGTGCTCACTATCCGAATCTAAGGCGTCGGGCCTTTCAGAGTGGACGGGGGTGTTGAAAACTCGAGGTACTGGGACGGTCGATGCTGTACGTGTCTCACTAGAAAGCTCCATTTCTGCCACGATGCGTAAGTGTTAAACATGGGCTTTTTTAATAGGCAGTGCCTTCTGTGAGAGCGATGGATGGAGTACGAGATTAGAGGAGAAAGGTGACGGAGGGAAGGCTGGCTTGGCGTGGCGTGGCACGTCCTCTCTTTCTCCTTGTCTCGTCGTCGTACCGTCGTGCAGTACGAGGCGCACTGCACGAGGGGGATCTGACGTGTTTTTCTGCTGCTGGGCTGGTGCGTGCTTGCTGGGGCAGTGCACGACGGGGATATGAGATGTCCGTTGCTGCAGCAAGTCCGATTCATGCTTCTGTCTGTGTGTTGTGGCAAGGGAGCGAGGATGTGATTGGATTGGCACAAACACAAGTTCTATGTTGAGTTGAATTGTGAGTGACCCAATCACGCAACTCCAAGTTTGCCAGGTTGGTTGGATTGGATTGGATGGATCCAATCAAGATTGAAACGCGGGGTAGGGGGGGGGGGGGGCTATGGAGGTTTTTGGGGGGTGGGGGGGACTCGAAAGATTTTGTTCCAGGGCTCGATTAAAATCTACCCTTTACACTCCAGACCTAAGCCCTGATTGAGCCCTGTAAGGAATCAGGGCCAGAAAATTTCCAACCCACCAATTTCAGAATTCAAGGGCAACCCAGCCCTGGAATTCAAGGTCCAGCAGGGCAAACGCCCTGCAAGCGACAGGCCTGCTCCCACCCCAACACACCCCCTCCCGCTTTCACCACGACTCGTTTGAAATGGTGTGCCAGCTTGCTAAAATATAAGCAGTTTTTTCTTCATTCTTTCCTTCACGAATTCCCGTCTCGTTGCTAGCGCCAGTTGCGCTCGGTGGTTCAGTGGGAGGTGCGAATGGCGTGGCCTAGGGCTCCACTCAACCAGTCAGCCTTTTATTTCCCTCTTCACACCCTTCGGGTGCTATTTCGGAGAGCGTCGAGCGTTTAGGTAGTAGTTTGAGACATTTCAAGTGTATCCGCGTCGCCATTTTAGCACGACGTCGTGTTACAGAACCAGCAGTTTCTTGCGAGGTTTAGCTTCTTCCCAAACCTGGTAGTGTTGGATTCGATCGCAGCACGATTCTTCATTTCTTTTCGTTGAACTTCTTCTAGCTGTTCCTGAGTATTCGCAACCATGGCGTTAGCTCGCCGGTTCAACAAAATGTTCGTTCAAGGAGGGAAGCAAGAAGCCCCCCCCGCCCCTTCCCGCAAGCCTCGCAACCCACATTCGCAAACGTCGCAAGATTTCGACAACAACAGCGAGGGTCGTCGCTCGCGATCGTTCGCACGTCGCAGCTACGACAGCAGCGCGGCTCCCGCCGCTTCTTCGACTCCACCCACCGACGCTTTCGCGAAAATGCGGTTACCAACGTCGAGTTCGGTGGACGGAAAACAGGATGCCGCGGGACAATCTCACGACCACGATCAACTCGTGGATTCCCCCGATAAATTCACATCGAAATGGAGCAAAGCCGACTGGCAGGACATTATCAGCGCCTTAGAGACGGCTTCTAAAGGGTACGAGTACTCGCTTCGAAAAACCACGATCTCAAGTAAACACGGACAAAGCAAACCTATTTAAACCCCGTAGCCTTGCTGTTTAACCTAGTGCTCAGTCGTCCCCCTCAGACTCGTCCTTGCATTCACAACGGATTGCCAGTTTTGGTGGCCTGCTTGCTCCGGGCGTCCCATCACCAGCTTTTTAAGGCGCCCCGAAAGACGATTTTTTAGGCGCCTACTTTTTTTTCCAACGTACTGTCAGTCTCTTGTGTCCCGCTTGCTCCGGTCGTCCCATCACCCCTTCCCCTTTCCGCGTCCCTACTTTCCGCGACCATTCCCTCCGCTACCCTTCCGCGCCCCTTCCGCGCCCCTGCCTTCCGCCACCCTCAGGTGTCACAAGTGCAAGGACTCCTCCGCCAATCCCCCCCTCGCCTCCGCCTTGCGCCTCGTCTCTCAGCTAAAAGCCGGTGGCAATCACAATCACACCGACACACACTCTTCATCCGGCACCTCTCCCAGACCTAATTCCCGAGCCTCCTTCCCGGACATGCACGGCGCAATGACGGACATGGGCCCGTCCGCGTGCCCGTACCTAGGCGGAGGCGGAAAGGCTGGGGGAGGGGGAGGGGGAGGAGATGCGGGGGAAGGAGGGCCGCGGGTGGCAGGGCTGGTTCGGACGCACTCGGGCGCGAGCAGTAACACGGATTCGCTTATGACGGGGACGACTCATAGCGTGGGAGGGGGAGCGGGAGGGGGAGGGGGGAGCAACGTGAGTGCAGCTGATCTTCTGAATCGCCGCATGCTGTTGATGATTACTAGGGCGCACGAGCTATACGCCAAGGACACGGTAAGTACGAATAAGTTACGTGTAGCGAGGTTGTTTTTGAGACGTCTCAAAAACAACCTCGCTACACACGGTAAGTACGTATAAGTTGCGGTCTTAGTGAGATTTGTTAGACTTAATACTATAGATCGCTACTCTCAGTAGGCTTGCTGCATTTCGAAGCCAACGAATTTCAACTAAGTACGTATGAATTGCGGTCTTAGTGAGATTTGTTAGGACTTGTTAGGGTCTTCTTGACTCACAATAAAAGGGCTGCAGTACTAAAGAGAATGCTTGAGCAAAAAGATCAACACTGTAAAAAATCGTGAAAAAAACAGATATGCAAAAACTATTTCCCCCCCAGAGTTCGTAGAAACAGCCTCTGCGATTTTTGAGAATTCTAAAAAACCAATGGCAGCATGGTTGCGGGTTTCCTCCTCTCTCAGCCGTGCTTTCCTCCGCGCCCCCCACCCCGCGCTGCGTCTCCTTCTTCTGCATCTCTTATCTCTTCTGCCCTTCTCCTCCCCACCAGACCCCCAACGGCAGCAAGATGGCTGATTTTCTCCTCTCCCAGCTGCTGCAGCTTCACCCAGTCCTCCTTCCCCTGACACTGCTCCATCCCTGCTTCCCGCATCTCGTATCTCCTCTGCTCTGCCCTCTTTTCATCCCCTCCTCTTCATCCCCACCAGACCCCAACGGCAGCAAGGTGGCTGATTTTCTCCTCCCAGCTGCTGGAGCTCACTCAGTCTTCCTTCCCCTGCCCTGACACCTTCCCCCATCCCCATTTCCCTGCTTCCTGCATCACATCTCTTGTCTTTCATCCTCTCTTCATCCCCACCAGACCCCCAACGGCAGCAAGGTGGCTGATTTTCTGCTCTCCCAGCTACTGGAGCTTACCCAGTCGCCGGCTGGCTTCATCTGCAGCGCCGTCAGGAAGCCCGATGGGGCTGTTTCCCTCAAGGTGAGCGAGAGAGCACACTATGCACTCGTTATAAGCACACTCAGTTGTGAAATGATGGCAGCAGCTGATTAGGCTCACACAGTCGCCTGCTGTGAAATGATGCACTCGTCATCTGTAGCGCTGTCAGGAAGCCCGATGGGGCTCTTTCCCCCAAGGTGAGCGATATCACACTTTGTGCTCTTTATAAGTGACGATGCACGAGTATCTCCTTCTTTTGTAGCAGCTTTTCCCAACTTCACCAACTTCCCGATCACCAACTTCCCGATCACCAACTTTGCATGGACGAGGGTGCTGCGGCTGTGGTACACAGAACGTCCGTTCACCCCTCCCCGCCCTTTTCTCGGTCTCCTTCTGTCCTCTCTCCCCCTTCTTTCCCTCCTCCCTCCTCCCAGACCCACTCCATCACCAACTTCGCCTGGACGAGGGAGCTGCGCCTGTGGTGCACGGAGAATGCCACCAAGGGACTCGTCTTCAGCAACCTTAACACGCTCTTCGGCCACGTCAGTCCTTGTCCTTTGTTGCCTCTGCCCTCCCTTCTCCCCTCCCAGACCCACTCCATCACCAACTTCGCCTGGACGAGGGAGTTGTGCCTGTGGCGCACAGAGAGACACGTGTGTCAAGTCATCCCCTCTCACTATCCCTGCCCTCTCTCTGTCCTCTGCTTGCCTCTGCTTTCTTCCCGTCCCCCCTCCCAGACCCACTCCATCACCAACTTCGAGTGGACGAGGGAGCTGCGCCTGTGGTATACAGAGAACGTCTATTCATCCCTCCCCGGCCCCCTTCTTTGGTCTCTCTCTTGTGCTCCGCTCCCTGCTCTCTCCCTCCCAGACCCACTCCATCACCAACTTTGCCTGGACGAGGGAGCTACGCCTGTGGTACACAGAGAATGCCGCCAAGGGACTCGTCTTCAGCAACATGAACACTCTCTTCGGCCACGTCAGTGCCCCTCCTCGCCCTCCCTCCCTTCTATTCCCTCCTCGCCCTCTTGCCCTCCTCGCCCTCTTGCCTCCATCCCCCCTCCCTGCTTGAGTCTCTAGCTACCGAGGGGCTCGTCTTCAGCAACATGAACACTCTCTTCGGCCATGTCAGTCCCCCTCCTTGTGCTCCCCGCACTCCCGTTCTTGCCCTCCTGCCCTCCTTTCCCCTCTCTTATTGAGTCTCTAGCCGCCAAGGGGCTGGACTTCAGCAACATGAACACTCTCTTCGGCCATGTCAGTTCCTCTTCGTTCCACCTTCTCGCCCTCCCTTCCCTACCATCCCCGCCCTCTTGGCCCTCCACCCCCTCTCTCTTCTTCACTAGCCGCCAAGGGGCTCGTCTTCAGCAACATGAACACGCTCTTCGGCCACATCAGTCCACCTTGCCCCCTCTCCTTTCTCTACCCTCCTCGCCCTCTGCACCAAGGGGCTCGTCTTCAGCAACATGACCACACTCTTCGGCCATGTCAGTGCCCCTCCTCGTCCTCCGTTCCCCCCCGTCCCCTCCGTCGCTTCTCTCACTCCGTTCTGCCATGGTCTGAGGCGTGGCGCCTCTATACATCTCGCCTTCCCTTCCTCCTTGATCCGCCACCAAGGGGCTCTCGTCGACACACGCACTATCAGTACCAGACCAGACATGCCACCTCAATACGGCTCTCCCTTATGGGGTTTTAAGTCTCGCCTCGATGGGGCTCTCGCGCTTCTCTGCTGCAGCCATGAGCGTCTCAATGTTGAGCGCATGCCCAAAGCCAGCAGCAGGCGATCTCGTCGACTCCAAACACTACCATTAGTACCAGACATGCCACATCCCATAAGGCTCACCTCGATGGGGCTCTCGCGCTTCTCTGCTGCAGCCATGAGCGTCTCAATGTTGAGCGCATGCCCAAACCCAGCAGCAGGCGCTCTCGTCGACACACCCGAGCCTACTGATTGTGAAGACCAGCGACGTGGGTCTGAGCAACAACGCCCCTGACGACCCTCGCTCCTCCCGCCCGCCCCGTCTCTCCCAAACCTGTCTGGCGTCTCAACTCCCATCCCCCATCCCCCGCTCCTCCCCCCCACAACTCTCCTATCCCACCCCTCAGATTGTGAAGACCAGCGACGTGGTTCTGAGAAACAGCACCCTTTTCAGTTTGCTCCCCCACTCCTTCCCCAATCCCCCACCCCCACCCACCAGATTGTGAAGACCAGCGATGTGGTTCTGAGAAACGGCGCCCTGGAAAACCGTCTCTCTGCTGGCATTCCCCAGCCCACCCAACCCTACCTGGCTCTTCAGTTTGTTCCCCCACTCCTTCCCCAATGTATGTTTTTTGAGAATTCTCAAAAAACATACACTCACCCACTCCTTCCCCAATCCCCCACCCCCATCCACCAGATTGTGAAGACCAGTGACGTGGTTCTGAGCAACAACGCCCCTGATGACCCTCGCTCTGCTGGCCTCCCCCCCGGCCATCCCCCCATTAACAACTTCCTAGGCGTGCCTCTCTTCCATGGTACGTTCATACACATGCCCATACATGTGCACATGCACATGCCCATACATGCGCACATTCACATGCCCATACATGTGCACATGCACATGCCCATACATGTGCACATGCACATGCCCATACATGCGCACATTCACATGCCCATACATGTGCACATGCACATGCCCATACATGTGCACATGCACATGCCCATACATGTGCACATTCACATGCCCATACATGCGCACATGCACATGCCCATACATGCGCACATACATGTGCACATGCACATGCCCATACATGTGCACATGCACATGCCCATACATGCGCACATTCACATGCCCATACATGTGCACATGCACATGCCCATACATGTGCACATGCACATGCCCATACATGTGCACATGCACATGCCCATACATGTGCACATTCACATGCCCATACATGCGCACATTCACATGCCCATACATGCGCACATTCACATGCCCATACATGTGCACATGCACATGCCCATACATGCGCACATACATGCGCACATTCACATGCCCATACATGGGAAGTGCACACACACACATACTTGTGCATGCATGCATTGGTATATCGCACATGCACGTGTGATTGCACACACACACATGCTTGAGGCACCTGATGACCCACCCCCTCATCAGCACCTTCCTGGTCCTGGGCTTGCCACTCTTCCATGGTATGTGCACATGTGGATGCACATGTGGATGCACATGCATGTTCCCACATGCATGTTCCCACATGCGTGCACACGTGCACATTCCTTCCCACTTGCCACGCAAGCACCTTTCCCCCTTCAATTTTTACATTACTAAACCGTCCCGCTTCCTGTTCCCCATGTCCCATCCATCCCCCACCCCCATCCACCAGGTTGAGTCACAGGCTGCAGCTCCCCCAGCATGCTCTCCTCGTATCCTCCCTTCCTGTTGCTCACTGCCCATGCCCCTATCAGCTCCGACCCTGGGTAAATGGGGAAAGCAGGGAACACAGGAAGGGAACAGAGGAGGTCGAGTCACAGGCATGCAGGCTGCAGCTCCCCCAGCATGCTCTCCTCGCATCCCCCTTTCCTGTTGCTCACCGCACCGCCCACGCCCCTATCAGCTCCGAGCCTAACAGTCGCATGATAAGGAAATGCAGGTCATGGGTATGGAAAGAGTGGGAAATAGAGGAGGCTGAGTCACAGGCAGGCATGCTGCAACTCAGCACGGCTTCTTCGTACTTCGTACCCTCCCCTCCTGTTGCTCACCGCACCGCCCACGCCCCTATCAGCTCCGAACTTAGGTGGATGGGGAAACCAGAAAGCATAGAAGCGCCGGGGCAGAGTTTTAGTAATGCTCACCGCCCACGCCCCTATCAGCTCCGACCCTGGGTGAATGTGGAAAATAGGGGATACAGGAGAGTGGGTATGAAGAAAGAATCGATGCTGGGGGAGCTGCAGCCTGCCTGTCTGTGACTAAACGTCCTGCTTCCCCTCCTGTGCTCCCATTCCTCATTCCTTGCCCTAACCTATCCTCTCTCACGTCATTGCTAGGTTCCGAGCTGGTAGGGGCGTGGGTGGTGAGCAACAGGAAGGGGGGGTATGAAGAATCGATGCTGGGGGAGCTGCAGCCTGCCTGTCTGTGACTCAACCTCCTTTGTACCTTCCTGTGTCCCCCTCCTCCTGTATCCCCTCCTGTCACTCTCTAGGCTCGGAGCTGATAGGAGCTTGGGCAGTGAGCAACAGGAAGGGAGGGTATGAAGAATCGATGCTGGGGGAGCTGCAGCCTGTGACCAAAACGGTGGCCCAGATTGTGGCGGGCATTCAGGGCAGGAAGAAAGCGGCCGAGAAGGAGAAACGAATGGTTTCCATGCTTAAGGTATGTATGGCTGTGATGTATGGCTAGTTGCTTAAGGTATGTATGTTTGATTCAAATCTCCAATGATGCCAAGAACCCAGTCCCCTCAGAGTTGCATTGCACTCTGAGGTGCAATTCGTACGAATGTGCGAATGTTCTCCAATGTGCAACCTCAGTACAACAGTTTCTTCCAATGTGCTCACGGCAACAGTTTCTTCCACGTGTAGGGCGGCACCTTCACCACAATGAGCCATACTCTCGCTTCTTCGTATGCTTCTTCCCACATGCCTCTCCCGTCCCCTGCTCTCTCCACAGAGCACCATCGACGCCATTATAGCACTGGTGGACGGTGGCACCATCACAGCAATGAAGTCCCATGCCCCTTCCCATGCTTGTTTAAATGTGTGTTCCCTCTCCTCTCCTTTCTACCGCCTTTCCCTCCCCCTTCCCCAGAGCACCATAGATGCCATTATAGCTCTGGACGACGGCGGCACCATCACTGCAATGAACCGGGCGGCGCGGAGCATGTTTGGATTCACCGAATCTTCCCCTCCCCTCCCCTCCCCTCCCCTCCCCTCCCCTCCCCTCCCCTCCCCTCCCCTTCCCTCCCCTACCTGCTCTCTCCACAGAGCACCATCGACGCAATCATAGCTCTGGACGACGGTGGCACCATCACCGCAATGGACCGCGCTTCCCTTTCTAACGCGTGTTCTCACATGCCTCTCTCTTCCTCCGCGCTTCTCCCCTTTCCCACCCCCCTCTTCCCATCCAGAGCACAATAGACGCCATCATAGCACTGGACGACGACGGCACCATCATGGCAATGAACCGAGCTCTCTTTTTTCATGCCTTTTCCCGTGTACCACATCTCTTCCCTGATTTTCTTCCCCCATCTTTACCCATCCAGAGCACAATAGACGCCATCATAGCTCTGGACGACGGCGGCACCATCACGGCAATGAACCGGGCGGCGAGGAGCCTATTTGGATTCACCGAATCGGGCAGCGGCAGCAGCGGGGATGACGTGGACGCGTCTACTCTCCCCGACACCCTTCACATCACAGACCTCCTCGAGTCTGTTGACGGATCAGAAGACTTCATAGAGACTGGTGAGAGGGAAACGACTAGGTGAGAGCCCACACACGGTTGGTGGTAGCAGTGGTGGAAGCGGCAGCAGCGGGAATGACGTGGACGTGTCCACTCTCCCCGACACGCTTCACATCACGGACCTTCTTGAGTCTGTGGATGGATCAGAAGACTTTATAGAGACTGGTAAGAGGGAAACAACCAGGTGAGAGCCCACACACGGTTGGTGGCAGCAGTGGTGGCAGCAGTGGTGGCAGCACCAGCAGCAGCGGCAGCAGCGGGGATGACGTGGACGCATCCACTCTCCCCGACACCCTCCACATCACGGACCTTCTCGAATCTGTGGATGGATCAGAGGAATTTTTAGAGAATGGTAAGCAGCAGCAACTCTGGTAGGGAAGAATGAACTGGTGAGGGATCAGTAAGTGGTCAGTGGGAGGCTGGGAGGCTGGGAGCAGCAGCTGCGTAGACGCGTCCACTCTCCCCGACACCCTTCACATCATGAACCTTCTCGTGTCTGTCGATTGGTCAGCAACTGACTTTTGAGTCGACTCAAAAGTGTCTGTCGATTGGTCAGGAACTTCCTGGAGAACGGTGAGAGGGAACGATGCTTATGGTGGGTGGTAGCAGCAATAGTGGCTGTCACACGCTGCCTACCAAGTCTGCTCAAGTCAACTCAAGTCAACTTGCAAAAGTCAACCCCAACCTGATCAAGTCAACTCAAGTCAATGCCTCCCAGCACCCTTCTCCTTCCCCCCATCAGGCCTTGACACGTTCATAGGAGACTACCCCATGTCACACGCTGCCTACTAGTCAACTCAAGTCAACTCAAGTCAATGCACTCCCTTTCCCCTCCCTCATCAGGCCTCGACACATTCATAGGAGACGACCGCCCAGTCTCGGCTGTCGGGCGGCAGATTGTGGGCGGCAAGGTCTTTTTGGAGCTATCTGTGGCGTCAGGCGCTGCTGCTGATGTGGCGTATGTGCTGACAGCACGGGAGCTTCAGGCAGGCGGTGGGAACATGCATGTGCCTGGCACACCAGGATCCGCTTACAGTGGGGGAGGAGGGAGGGGGAGCATGAGTGGGGAGATGGCGGAGATGGGAGGCATGGGGGGCCTGGGGGGAATGGGGGGAATGGGAGGAATGGGCATGGGTGGGGGTATGCGTGGAGGCATGGGTGGGGGTATGGCTGGGGGCATGGGTGGGGGGATGGGGACCTATGATACGATGGGGCATGGTCGGGGCGGGATGGGTGCGATGAGGCCTGCTGCTGCTGGTGGTGCTGGTGGGGTGGGTGCTGGGGCATCTGCTGGTGGTGGTGGTGCTGGGTTTGGTGGCATCAAGATGGACGGTCTTGATATCAAGCCGTATCATCAGCAGTCTGGTAACAATAGTTACGCAAGTAATACGCAGAAGGAAGACTACAATACGTATGTGTATGATGGAAATGGTATTTGAAGATAGTTGTGGTTGCCCTTGTTGTATGCATATGATTATGCCCTGGCCTGTGCTCATGACTGAGGGCTTGGTTGCAAACCGATAAGTTATTTGTGCCTTTTAAGATATTGTAAGTCAAGCGCGATTGCTATTATCCTGGCAATTTGAGTCTGGAAGAAATGTTCATTTTTCTACACCAGTTTTGCATTGGGATCTTGCACAGAAGATAGACGTTTCGTTCTTCGAAGTTCTTCGAAGTGTTTATTGGATGATACTCCTACAACGAGGCTGTTGTTACTGGAGCGAAATTTGTTCTTCTAGTGCCAGCTATTGAACCGCACTGCACCATTTCAAGTCTTGAACTGTTTCTTCATATCCTTATCCTTTCCCTAACGGCCATCGCTTTTCCCTCTTTATGGTGCCGCTAGGGTTTCAACAAAACTGTTCTCGCAAACCGACCTACACCGTCTACCCCTCGATACTGTCGCAAATTACGACGATAGTGGTTGGTTTTCCTCAGTTAGCTCGTCGCATATATGTTCTCATGTGCCTTTTCTGTTTCCCGCTGGGTTCCCAGGTTCTCAGGTTTTCCAAGTTTTCGAGCTTTCTAGAGTTTGAAGTTACAAACTGCTGAACTCGAATTTATTATGCTCGCCATCTATATCAGCTTTGCCATTTCTTTCTTCCACAGTTGGCCCCAGTCGCGAGTTCGGGTGTGTGGCAGGCAGTCGTAGCGCACATTTGAAATCGATCCCCCCAGTAAATGTTCATTGGCTGTTGTTGACAAAGCACCACTGCGTCTCTGTTCAATTAGTAAGTGCCCCAAGCTAGTGTCGCGAGTTTACTACTAGTTACGGGGGAGGGTCCCTGCTAGTGTTGTTACGAGATACAGAAAGTCTCTTACCGACGTCGGACTGTTGCGGGATAACCGCAGTTTGCGGTTGCCTCGTGTGATAAGACAAGTTCGTTTTTTCAACTGCTCAAAGTTTTCCGTCCGCGATTGCAGAGCTGCAATGGGCGTCGTCTAGTAGCACCCACCGTCATAGCCCTCCATTGTGCTCCGTCATAGCCGCTTCCCGCTCCGACGCCATTAGAGTACTCCTGTCTTGAGATGTTTTGAGATGTCACTAGAGGTGCTTCGTATGTCTCGCCATTTTTATTCCTCCTTGACGGCTTAGCTATCTCTCCGCGCAGCCACCTCGACCTTTCTCGTTGCTCCCTTCGCGTTGAGTCACGTCTGTGTCGTCGCTCCCTTCTTTACACTATCGACAGCGTCTCACTTTTCCGGCTTTCTTCCCCCTTTTTTTCAAGTGTTCTTTTCTTACCGAGTCGTTACACCCTCTGCTTTTCGACGTTCATATCGCCCAGTCGTCTCCTCTTTTCCAGCCGTTACATTCGCGTTACTGTCTCACGGCCCACAAGTCTCGGCCGTATGGAGGAAATACCCGACAGTCACGCCTTCGCGGCAGCGCCAATGGAGGGTGTGGAGTCGGAGCAACCTGTGCAGGGTGTCGAGGCACCTTTTAACGAGGATATCAACGTTTTTTCAGCACCGGAAGCGGCGTCGGAGCCTGCCGCGGCGGAGCCAGGATCGAGCACCGCGGAACACTTCGAGGCGGCGGATGCGGGTTTCGCGGCGTCCGATGCGGCGCCAGATGCGGCGGCTGATGGGGGGTACTCGGCGCACGAGAGCGCGGCAGCGGCGGCAGCGGCGGAGTTAGAAGGCGACGGAAGGGACGCGGAAGGAACGGCGGCAGCGCCAACGACGGTGATCACGGAAGATGCTGAGAACCTTCTGGACGACATGCTGGGAGAGTCAGGTACGTTCAAACGGTGACCATTTTGATTTCCCACTTTTTCATATATATTTTCCGTATGATAAAGCCTTGTAACTTCATTCGCGTTTCACTTCGCTTGCCTTGTCAGTGTGTATCCTCGCTATAATAATTTTCTTCGTATTCGGTCAAACTTGCTATCAAACATTCACTTGCCAACCCCCGCCACCATATGCCCTCCCCTCCTGATTAGGCTGTTCCAGAACCTACTGCCGAACCTGCTGTTGCCGAGCCTGTTCCTCTAGATGATGCGCAAGCTGCAACCATTGGTGTTGGTGGGGAGGTTCCTGCCGATGCTACCCCCGAGGCTCCTCCCACTGCTGCGGAAACACCTGCAGAGGAATCTGCTCCTGCAGAGGAAACAGCACCAGCTGAGGTGACAGCAGCAGGAGCTCTAGAGGGAACCGGAACTGGTGCAGAGGAACCTGTTCATGCAGAGGAATCTGCTCCTGCAGAGGAATCTGCTCCTGCAGAGGAATCTGCTCCTGCAGAGGAATCTGCTCCTGCAGAGGAATCTGCTCCTGCAGAGGAATCTGCTCCTGCAGAGGAATCTGCTCCTGCAGAGGAATCTGCTCCTGCAGAGGAATCTGCTCCTGCAGAGGAATCTGCTCCTGCAGAGGAATCTGCTCCTGCAGAGGAATCTGCTCCTGCAGAGGAATCTGCTCCTGCAGAGGAATCTGCTCCTGCAGAGGAATCTGCTCCTGCAGAGGAATCTGCTCCTGCAGAGGAATCTGCTCCTGCAGAGGAATCTGCTCCTGCAGAGGAATCTGCTCCTGCAGAGGAATCTGCTCCTGCAGAGGAATCTGCTCCTGCAGAGGAATCTGCTCCTGCAGAGGAATCTGCTCCTGCAGAGGAGAGTCAACAGCAGCGTGATAACCAGGAGTCTGTTCCGCCAGTGGGGGACGCACAGGGGGAGGGGGAAGCGGCTCCGCCAGTAGAGGGGATGGGTATGGATGTGAAGCATGATGATGGGAGTGGTGCGTATGGGCAGCAGGAACAAGAGCAGCCTATAACGGGTATGGGCATGGATGTGAAAGTGGACCAGGGGGGCCTGGAAGGGGGACAGGTGGTGGGGGGAGAGGGGGAGGTGATGGGGGGAGAGGGGGAGGTGATGGCGGAGGGAGGGCAGGGGGTGGGAGAGCATATGGGAGAGCAGATTGATGAACAGGAGGGGGATGAAGCACTTCGGCTTCGGATGGGTATGGATGTGAAACCTGATGGGGAAACGCCGGAAGGGGCGGAGATTGTGGGGGGAGAAGGGCAGGTGGTAGGGGGAGAGGGGCATGAGATGGGGGGAGAGGCGAAGATGGCAGAGGGAGAGATGGCGCAGGGGGGAGCCGGAGAGCAAGGGGGAGTAGGGGGAGAGGCGCAATACGAGCAGCAGGTTGGCGCAGTTGGCAGTGCGGTCGGGGAGTATGGGGAGCAGCCGCATGAAGGGGAGGCGCAGGCGGGGGGGGAGCTTGGGGGGGAGGCGCTTGCAGGGGGGGAGCATACGGCACAAGAGTATGCAGCGCAGGAGCATGGGGATGGAGAGTATGGGGCACAGGGGTATGTGGGGGAGGCTTATGCGGGGCAGCAGCAGGAGGGAGAGGTGTATGCAGGGCAGCAGCAGCAGGAGGGGGGGGCTTATGCAGGGCAGCAGCAGGAGGGGGAGGTGTATGCGGGGCAAGTTGTGGGAGGAGTTGTGGAAATGCAGGAGCAGCAACAAGGGGCCGTGGTGGGGGAAGGGGGAGAGGTGGTATTCGCACCTACTGATGCTGCTGCTGATGATGCTGCTGCTGCTGCTGCTGCTGCGGCTGCTGTTGAAGCTGAAGCAATGGCGGCCAAACCTGATGCTGATGCCTACGCTGCTGCTGTTGCTGCAGCTGACACTGCAGCAGCAGAAGCAGCCGCAGCAGAAGCAGAATCGGCGGCAGCAGCAGAAGTGGCAGCAGCAGCTGGTGGTGCGGTAGGGGATGGTGGGGAGGGAATGGAAGGGGTGCAGATGCATGGGGAAGCGGAAGCAGGACAAATGGCTGTGGGAGGATACGCAAAAGGGGGGACAGCCCATGTGGATGGGGCCGGGGAGGGATACAGTGAAGGGGGGAACCATGTAGGGGCGCAAGAAGGGTATAATACTCAAGGGATGGGGATGGGGATGGGGATGGGGATGGGGATGGGGATGGGGATGGGGATGGGGATGGGTAATGAAGGGTACGCTCAGGAGGTCGCTCAGGGGGGGCAGGGGGAGCCTGAGGGTGGGTACACGGGAGAGCAGACACAGGCACATGAGGGGTACGGGCAAGAGGGGGCGCATGCGTATGCGGTTGGTGGAGAGGCAGGAGGTTATGCGGAAGGGCAGATGGAAGGACACGTGGAGGGACAGATGGAGGGGCAGATGGAGGGACACGTGGAGGGGCAGATGGAAGGACACGTGGAGGGGCAGATGGAAGGACACGTGGCACAGCCTTACGGGGAAGGAGAAGCCACGGCAGGAGGAATGGCAGCAGGAGAAGCAGCCGCAGGAGAAGCTGCAGCAGGGGAGGTCGCAGCAGCGGCAGCAGGAGGAGGAGAAGGCGCAGGGGCAGCAGAAGGGGCGGGCGCGGGCAGGAAGGAGATGGTTCTGGCTGGCACTGAGGCAACGGATCGGATTCTATCAAGTGTGGAGGCGGCAGATCTGATTTTGATGCAGCAGCAGCTGCCGCAGCCGCCGCCCGGGCCGGCAGTGGGCAACCTGATGATGCTGCCCATGCTGCTGGACCAGATCGAAGCACACATTCTCTTCTATGGACGCATCTTGTGAGTCTAGTGATAGTAGTCTGGCTCCCGGAAGAGGAGAATCTGATGATGCTGCCCATGCTGCTGGACCAGATCGAAGCACACATTCTCTTCTATGGACGCATCTTGTAAGTCGAAGGACTGTAGAGTGCTGGTAGTGAGAGGGTTTGTTGACTTGGCAGTGAGCAGTGGGCAACCTGATGATGCTGCTGGATCAAATCGAGGCACACATCCTCTTCTACGGACGGATTTTGTGAGTCATGGGGTATGACTGTACGCGGTGTGATTGTACAGGGTGCTGGTAGTGAGAGGGTTGGCTGGCAGAGGGCAACCTGATGATGCTGCCCATGCTGCTGGACCAGATCGAAGCACACATCCTCTTCTACGGACGCATCTTGTGAGTCTAGTGATAGTAGTCTGGCTCCCGGCAGAGGAGAATCTGATGATGCTGCCCATGCTGCTGGACCAAATCGAAGCACACATCCTCTTCTATGGGCGGATCTTGTGAGTCGTGTGATTCTAGAAGATGTGACTGTATGGGCTGTCTGTGAACAAGCCGCCCGGGCCGGCAGTAGGCAACCTGATGATGCTGCGCATGCTGCTGACAGAGGCACACATTCTCTGCACCTCATTTATGGACGGTTCTTGTGAATCGTGTGAGTTACTGTAATTGGTGTGACTGTAACCACAATCACACACTTGTGCGCCCGCCATGCCCATGAACCTGCACCACCCCCTTTTCCCCCCATCTCCCCCCCTCCACCCATGCACCAGTCGCAAGGAGCCTTAGGAGGAGGAGCTGCGGAATCTCGTTTCCTATGCGCCCACGCCTCTATAAGCACACACACACACACACACGCGACTGCCCCATGCCCAATGTCTCCCCACTCCCCCTCTCCCCCATCTCCCCCCCCCCACCCATGCACCAGCCGCAAGGAGCCTTAGGAGGAGGAGCTGCGGAATCTCGTTTCCTATGCGCCCGCGCCTCTATAAGCTCACACACACACATGACTGCCCAACATCTCCCCATTCCACCTCCTCCCCATCCCCTCCACCCCTCCCCCCCCCATCTCCCCCCCCACCCATGCACCAGCCGTAAGGAGCCTTTGGAGGAGGAGCTGCGGAATCTCGTCTTTGCCTCCATGCCCTCAGGTAACGCCTTCCCCAGATAATGCCTCCATGCCCTCAGGTACAGCCTTTCTCAGGTGATGCCTCCATGCCCTCCTCAGGTACCGCCTTCCGCAGGTAATGCCTTCCTCCATGCCCTCAGGTACCACCTTCCCCAGGTAATGCCCTGTTTTTCCTTCTCACTCCTCCTCTTGACCCTGTTTCCCTTTTTACCCTCATTCATCTCCTTCCCCCTTTTTCCCACCTTTCCTCCTTCCCACTCCTTCCCACATTTCCGCTCCTTCCCACTCATCCCCACCTCTTCCAACTCCTTCCCGTTCCGTCCACATCGCTCTGCAACCCAGACCTAGGCACACCGGAGCACGAGCGCTGGCTCGAAGTGGTGGAGGCTTGGGAGGAGAGCAAGCGCATGGCTCTTCCCTTGCTTGCAGGCCTTCCACTGCTTCCCACTCCCTCCCAACCCCTCCAACTCCTACTCCAACCCCTCCTCATTCCCTTCCACCCCTTCCCACACCTCCTATCCAGACCTAGGCACACCGGAGCACGAGCGTTGGCTTGAAGTGGTGGAGGCTTGGGAGGAGCGCAAGCGCATGATTGGCTACCAAGCCTCGGGCGGTCGAGGCAGGGGAAGAGGTCGGGGCCGAGGCAGGGGGAGGGGCAGGGGGCGGGGGAGGGGGAGGGGGAGAAGGGGCGCGTATGCTGCCCATGGGGGGGGATACGGGGGCAGGGGGGAATATCCTGGGGAAGAAGGGGAGGAGGGATATTATGCAGGGAGTGGGATGGGAGCAGGGGGGATGAGGAGAGGGGGAGTGTGGGATGAAGGGATGGAGGGGGAGGAAGGAAATCCAGGGGAAATCGACGGGGAAATTCCCCATAGAAAATACCGAGTCGGGCCTAGAATCCCTGCGGAAGCGCAAAAATTAGGGGCGGTTTTGGGGAGGGCGGCGTGGGGGAAGGCAGAGGAGGAAGAGGCAAGGGAGTATCTGTTGGGTTTGGCCCCGGATAGAGGCATTGCAGAGGAAGCAGCTGGTAGGGCGGCTGCTGCTGCGGCTGTGGCTGGGAAGCATGCTGCTGCTGCTCTTGGGTTGGTGTGTCAGGACGGTGGGAAGGGGAAGGAGGGGAAGGGAGTGGAGGGGAAGGAGGAGGGAAAGGGAGGGGAGGGGAAGAGGGATGAGGTTGGGGGTGTTGGTTCTGCAGCTGTGCCTGCTGCTGTGGCTAATACTGCTGCTGATGCTAATGCTGTTGCTGGTGGTGGTGATGCGGCTGCTGGTGGCGCGGGAAAAGAGATCGACACAATGGAAGTGGACACAAAGGAGGAGGGTGCTGCTACAGCCGATGGTGCTGCTCCTACAGGTGATGCTGCTACAGGTGATGCGAAGGAAGCAGCTGATGAAGGTCAGGAAAAGGGAGCAGCAGATGCTGTGGAAGCGGATACAAAAGAGGGCGCTGCTGCTACAGCTGTTGCAGCTCCAACTGATGCTGCTGCAGCCGATGCTGCTACAGCTGGTGCGGCGGAAGAAGCTAAGGCAGCAGATGAGAAGGGAGCAGACGCTATGGAAATGGATACAAAGGACGCTGCTGCTACAACCGATGCAGCTGCTGCTGCTACAACCGATGGTTCTGCAGGTGATACAGCTAAAGCAGCTAAGGGGAGTGATGAGAAGGAAGCAGACGCAATGGAAACAGATTCAAAGGACGCTGCTGTTGCAGCCGATGCTGCTGCTGCTACAACCGATGCTGCTGCTGCTGCTGCTGCTACAAACGATGGTGCTATAGCTGAGGTAGCGGAAGCAGCTAAGGGGAGTGATGAGAATGGAGCAGACATAATGGAAACAGATGCAAAGGATGCTGCTGTTGCAGTCGATGCTTCTGCCGCTGCTACAGCAGCGGAAGCTGCTACAGCCGATGCTACAGCTGAGGCTGCTACAGCGGATGCTGCTACAGCCGAGACTGCTACAGCCGATGCTGCTACAGCCGATGCAGCAGAAGTAGGGAAGGGAAGTGATGGCAAAGGAGCAGATGTGATGGAAACAGAAGAGAAGGTTTCTGCAGAGGAAGCAGCTGAGAAGGTGACTGTAGAGGAAGCAGCTGAGAAGGTGACTGTAGAGGAAGCAGCTGAGAAGGTGACTGTAGAGGAAGCAGCTGAGGAGGTTCCCGCTGAGGAAGCAGCAGAGAAGGTGACTGTAGAGGAAGCAGAAGTTGCCAAGGAGAAGCAGGAGCAAGCACAGGACAGCAGCGTCGATGCTGCTGCTGCTATCACTACTGCTGATGTGCCAGATGGTAGTGCTGCTGATGAAGCTGCTGCTGCTACCACTGCTGTTGGTGCGTCTAATGCTGTTGCTGCTGATGAAGCTGCCGCTGCTACAACTGCTGCTGATGCGCCCGATGGTGCCACTGCTGACGAGGCTGTTGCTGCTGCTACCACTGATGCTGATGCTGATGCTGCCACAGCTGATGGTGCCACCACTGATGCTGCCACCACTGATGCTGCTGCCATAACTGATGCTGCTGTTACACCTGATGCTGTTGCTACAACCTCTGTTGAAGTTGCTGTTGCTGATGCAGCTGCCATCACAGATGCTGCTGCTGCGCCTCCTGCGTCTGTTGCTGCTGCTACAACCGCTTCTCCTGCTGCTACAGCAGCCGCCACCCCTTCTACCCCTACCCCCACCAAACCCGCCGGCCCCCTTCTAGACGGCTGGTGCGAGGCAGCGGATCGAGCCCTGCTAATGGCAAAGGACTCGGCTGTCAGTGCAGGCAAGGCCATGTTGGCACTTGATCGTGATCTCGATGCCATGTGGCAGGAGCTCTATGAGGTGGACAACTGCCACGTGGAGGCTGACAGCTCATCAGGGAAGCTGGCTGCGCAAGCGCTCGCGGCCGCTGCTGTGGCACGCGCGTCGGCCGCTGCTGCCAAGTCAGCGTGGGACTTAGTTAAGTATTATAGGAGTAAGGTGGGGTTGATAATGATGGAGGAGGAGGGGAGGGAGTGGAGGGAAGGGGGTGGGGGAGGAAGGGGGAGAGGAGGGAGGAAGGGGGAGAAAGGGGGTGTGAAATATGTCCTCGCGCTGCAGGTTAAGCCTAGGAGGGTGAGGAGGACAGCGAGGGAGCTTGGGAAGATGGGGGATGGGGTGTGGGAGGAGGAGGACGAAGAGGAAGTGGAGGGGTTGGAGGGGGTGCAGGGCGCTTCTCCCATGGACGAATCAGGAGCTGCCACGTGGACAGAGGAGGACGGGTTTGGGGGAGGGGGAGGTGGATCGGGGGGGAGGGGAGGAATAGGGGGAGGGGTAGCGGGAGGGATAGGGGGAGTGGTAGGCGGAGGAGTAGGCGGAGGGGTTAGCCCTGTGGCGTTTCAGGGGTATGAGGGGACACCTGGGGGGAGGGGAAGGGGCAGGGGGAGGGGGAGGGGGAGAGGCAGGGGGAGGGGCAAGGGGAGGGGGCGGGGGAGGGGGCGTGGGCGGAAGTCTGTCTGGGACGAGGGGGAGGATGAGGGGGAGGAAGGGGGGGAGTGGCAGGTGGGGAAGAGGTCTCGGGGGGAGATGGAGGGAGGGGGGGAGTATGGGGAGGAGGAGGAAGGGGAGGAGGCGGAGGAGGAGGGGGGACAGACTCTGCGGCACAAGTTCAGTGTGGGGTCGTTTGTGGAGGTATGTGGGCCTGAGTGGCAGCTGGTTTCATGGGCACAGTGCTACAGATGAGTGCTCTCTTCTCAAAAAGTGCTCTCTTCTCAAAAAGTGCTCTCTTCTCAAAAAGTGCTCTCGTCTCAAAAAGTGCTCTCTTCTCAAAAAGTGCTCTCTTCTCAAAAAGTGCTCTCTTCTCAAAAAGTGCTCTCTTCTCAAAAAGTGCTCTCTTCTCAAAAAGTGCTCTCTTCTCAAAAAGTGCTCTCTTCTCAAAAAGTGCTCTCTTCTCAAAAAGTGCTCTCTTCTCAAAAAGTGCTCTCTTCTCAAAAAGTGCTCTCTTCTCAAAAAGTGCTCTCTTCTCAAAAAGTGCTCTCTTCTCAAAAGTGCTCTCTTCTCAAAAAGTGCTCTCTTCTCAAAAAGTGCTCTCTTCTCAAAAAGTGCTCTCTTCTCAAAAAGTGCTCTCTTCTCAAAAAGTGCTCTCTTCTCAAAAAGTGCTCTCTTCTCAAAAAGTGCTCTCTTCTCAAAAAGTGCTCTCTTCTCAAAAAGTGCTCTCTTCTCAAAAAGTGCTCTCTTCTCAAAAGTGCTCTCTTCTCAAAAAGTGCTCTCTTCTCAAAAAGTGCTCTCTTCTCAAAAAGTGCTCTCTTCTCAAAAAGTGCTCTCTTCTCAAAAAGTGCTCTCTTCTCAAAAAGTGCTCTCGTCTCAAAAAGTGCTCTCGTCTCAAAAAGTGCTCTCTTCTCAAAAAGTGCTCTCTTCTCAAAAAGTGCTCTCTTCTCAAAAAGTGCTCTCTTCTCAAAAAGTGCTCTCTTCTCAAAAAGTGCTCTCTTCTCAAAAAGTGCTCTCTTCTCAAAAAGTGCTCTCTTCTCAAAAAGTGCTCTCTTCTCAAAAAGTGCTCTCTTCTCAAAAAGTGCTCTCTTCTCAAAAAGTGCTCTCTTCTCAAAAAGTGCTCTCTTCTCAAAAAGTGCTCTCTTCTCAAAAAGTGCTCTCTTCTCAAAAAGTGCTCTCTTCTCAAAAAGTGCTCTCTTCTCAAAAAGTGCTCTCTTCTCAAAAAGTGCTCTCTTCTCAAAAAGTGCTCTCTTCTCAAAAAGTGCTCTCTTCTCAAAAAGTGCTCTCTTCTCAAAAAGTGCTCTCGTCTCAAAAAGTGCTCTCGTCTCAAAAAGTGCTCTCTTCTCAAAAAGTGCTCTCTTCTCAAAAAGTGCTCTCTTCTCAAAAAGTGCTCTCTTCTCAAAAAGTGCTCTCTTCTCAAAAAGTGCTCTCTTCTCAAAAAGTGCTCTCTTCTCAAAAAGTGCTCTCTTCTCAAAAAGTGCTCTCTTCTCAAAAAGTGCTCTCTTCTCAAAAAGTGCTCTCTTCTCAAAAAGTGCTCTCTTCTCAAAAAGTGCTCTCTTCTCAAAAAGTGCTCTCTTCTCAAAAAGTGCTCTCTTCTCAAAAAGTGCTCTCTTCTCAAAAAGTGCTCTCTTCTCAAAAAGTGCTCTCTTCTCAAAAATTGCTCTCTTCTCAAAAAGTGCTCTCTTCTCAAAAAGTGCTCTCTTCTCAAAAAGTGCTCTCTTCTCAAAAAGTGCTCTCTTCTCAAAAAGTGCTCTCTTCTCAAAAAGTGCTCTCTTCTCAAAAAGTGCTCTCTTCTCAAAAAGTGCTCTCTTATCAAAAAGTGCTCTCTTCTCAAAAAGTGCTCTCTTCTCAAAAAGTGCTCTCTTCTCAAAAAGTGCTCTCTTCTCAAAAAGTGCTCTCTTCTCAAAAAGTGCTCTCTTCTCAAAAAGTGCTCTCTTCTCAAAAAGTGCTCTCTTCTCAAAAAGTGCTCTCTTCTCAAAAAGTGCTCTCTTCTCAAAAAGTGCTCTCTTCTCAAAAAGTGCTCTCTTCTCAAAAAGTGCTCTCTTCTCAAAAAGTGCTCTCTTCTCAAAAAGTGCTCTCTTCTCAAAAAGTGCTCTCTTCTCAAAAAGTGCTCTCTTCTCAAAAAGTGCTCTCTTCTCAAAAAGTGCTCTCTTCTCAAAAAGTGCTCTCTTCTCAAAAAGTGCTCTCTTCTCAAAAAGTGCTCTCTTCTCAAAAAGTGCTCTCTTCTCAAAAAGTGCTCTCTTCTCAAAAAGTGCTCTCGTCTCAAAAGAGCTCTCTTCTCATGTGTGCCCCTGCTTGAGGAGGGGCTGAGGGGCAGCTGGTTCACAGGCACAGTGCTGCAGATGAATGCTCTCTTCTCATGTGTGCCCCTGCTCTCACATGTTGCTGTGTGTGCATGTGGTGTGGGTGTGCTGGTTCTTGATACTATGCATGCCGCAGGTGGCATCCAATGAGGAGGGCCTGAGGGGCAGCTGGTACACCGGCACGGTGCTGCAGATTGTGGGCAACCGGACGTTGGTGCGATACGATGAGTTGCTAGAAGATGATGGTGAGCGGTGGTGGTGAGTTGTGGTGGTGAGTGCCTGGCGATTGCTTCTTGGTTCCAGCCTGGCTTCACGGGCAGGCACGGTGCTGCAGATTGTGGGCAACCGGGCGTTGGTGCGATACGATGAACTGCTGGACGATGATGGTGAGTGGTGGTGGTGGTTGCATGGCATGGTAACATTGATTGATGCTTCGCCTGGCCTCACAGGCACGGTGGTGCAGATTGTGGGCAACCGGGCGTTGGTGCGATACGACGAGCTGCTGGACGATGATGGTGAGTGAGATGGTTTTTGCGGTGTTGATGGTGAGATGAGGGATGTAGAGATGATTGCTGCTTGGTGCGATACGACGAGAGCTGCTGGACGATGATGGTGAGTGAGATGGTGTTTGCGGTGTTGATGGTGAGATGAGGGATGTAGAGATGATTGCTGCTTGGTGCGATACGACGAGAGCTGCTGGACGATGATGGTGAGTGAGATGGTGTTTGCGGTGTTGATGGTGAGATGAGGGATGTAGAGATGATTGCTGCTTGGTGCGATACGACGAGAGCTGCTGGACGATGATGGTGAGTGAGATGGTGTTTGCGGTGTTGATGGTGAGATGAGGGATGTAGAGATGATTGCTGCTTGGTGCGATACGACGAGAGCTGCTGGACGATGATGGTGAGTGAGATGGTGTTTGCGGTGTTGATGGTGAGATGAGGGATGTAGAGATGATTGCTGCTTGGTGCGATACGACGAGAGCTGCTGGACGATGATGGTGAGTGAGATGGTGTTTGCGGTGTTGATGGTGAGATGAGGGATGTAGAGATGATTGCTGCTTGGTGCGATACGACGAGAGCTGCTGGACGATGATGGTGAGTGAGATGGTGTTTGCGGTGTTGATGGTGAGATGAGGGATGTAGAGATGATTGCTGCTTGGTGCGATACGACGAGAGCTGCTGGACGATGATGGTGAGTGAGATGGTGTTTGCGGTGTTGATGGTGAGATGAGGGATGTAGAGATGATTGCTGCTTGGTGCGATACGACGAGAGCTGCTGGACGATGATGGTGAGCGAGATGGTGTTTGCGGTGTTGATGGTGAGATGAGGGATGTAGAGATGATTGCTGCTTGGTGCGATACGACGAGAGCTGCTGGACGACGATGGTGAGTGAGATGGTGTTTGCGGTGTTGATGGTGAGATGAGGGATGTAGAGATGATTGCTGCTTGGTGCGATACGACGAGAGCTGCTGGACGATGATGGTGAGTGAGATGGTGTTTGCGGTGTTGATGGTGAGATGAGGGATGTAGAGATGATTGCTGCTTGGTGCGATACGACGAGAGCTGCTGGACGATGATGGTGAGTGAGATGGTGTTTGCGGTGTTGATGGTGAGATGAGGGATGTAGAGATGATTGCTGCTTGGTGCGATACGACGAGAGCTGCTGGACGATGATGGTGAGTGAGATGGTGTTTGCGGTGTTGATGGTGAGATGAGGGATGTAGAGATGATTGCTGCTTGGTGCGATACGACGAGAGCTGCTGGACGATGATGGTGAGCGAGATGGTGTTTGCGGTGTTGATGGTGAGATGAGGGATGTAGAGATGATTGCTGCTTGGTGCGATACGACGAGAGCTGCTGGACGACGATGGTGAGTGAGATGGTGTTTGCGGTGTTGATGGTGAGATGAGGGATGTAGAGATGATTGCTGCTTGGTGCGATACGACGAGAGCTGCTGGACGATGATGGTGAGTGAGATGGTGTTTGCGGTGTTGATGGTGAGATGAGGGATGTAGAGATGATTGCTGCTTGGTGCGATACGACGAGAGCTGCTGGACGATGATGGTGAGTGAGATGGTGTTTGCGGTGTTGATGGTGAGATGAGGGATGTAGAGATGATTGCTGCTTGGTGCGATACGACGAGAGCTGCTGGACGATGATGGTGAGCGAGATGGTGTTTGCGGTGTTGATGGTGAGATGAGGGATGTAGAGATGATTGCTGCTTGGTGCGATACGACGAGAGCTGCTGGACGACGATGGTGAGTGAGATGGTGTTTGCGGTGTTGATGGTGAGATGAGGGATGTAGAGATGATTGCTGCTTGGTGCGATACGACGAGAGCTGCTGGACGATGATGGTGAGTGAGATGGTGTTTGCGGTGTTGATGGTGAGATGAGGGATGTAGAGATGATTGCTGCTTGGTGCGATACGACGAGAGCTGCTGGACGATGATGGTGAGTGAGATGGTGTTTGCGGTGTTGATGGTGAGATGAGGGATGTAGAGATGATTGCTGCTTGGTGCGATACGACGAGAGCTGCTGGACGATGATGGTGAGTGAGATGGTGTTTGCGGTGTTGATGGTGAGATGAGGGATGTAGAGATGATTGCTGCTTGGTGCGATACGACGAGAGCTGCTGGACGATGATGGTGAGTGAGATGGTGTTTGCGGTGTTGATGGTGAGATGAGGGATGTAGAGATGATTGCTGCTTGGTGCGATACGACGAGAGCTGCTGGACGATGATGGTGAGTGAGATGGTGTTTGCGGTGTTGATGGTGAGATGAGGGATGTAGAGATGATTGCTGCTTGGTGCGATACGACGAGAGCTGCTGGACGACGATGGTGAGTGAGATGGTGTTTGTGGTGTTGATGGTGAGATGAGGGATGTAGAGATGATTGCTGCTTGGTGCGATACGACGAGAGCTGCTGGACGATGATGGTGAGTGAGATGGTGTTTGCGGTGTTGATGGTGAGATGAGGGATGTAGAGATGATTGCTGCTTGGTGCGATACGACGAGAGCTGCTGGACGATGATGGTGAGTGAGATGGTGTTTGCGGTGTTGATGGTGAGATGAGGGATGTAGAGATGATTGCTGCTTGGTGCGATACGACGAGAGCTGCTGGACGATGATGGTGAGTGAGATGGTGTTTGCGGTGTTGATGGTGAGATGAGGGATGTAGAGATGATTGCTGCTTGGTGCGATACGACGAGAGCTGCTGGACGATGATGGTGAGTGAGATGGTGTTTGCGGTGTTGATGGTGAGATGAGGGATGTAGAGATGATTGCTGCTTGGTGCGATACGACGAGAGCTGCTGGACGATGATGGTGAGTGAGATGGTGTTTGCGGTGTTGATGGTGAGATGAGGGATGTAGAGATGATTGCTGCTTGGTGCGATACGACGAGAGCTGCTGGACGATGATGAAGGGAGTTTGAGAGAAGGCGACAAGCTGATTTCCGTTGATACCTCCACCCAACATCCACATCCTACCCCCTCCCACACCCTTCCCCCCCCCCTCCAGGTACTCACCAGTTAAAAGAGTGGGTGGGGCTGGTCCCGCCTCCGCCTGCTCCAAACGATGCTTCTCACTTTGTCTCTGTCGTGCCCTCAGCCCCCCAGAGGAAGGGCCAGCAGCCCGGTGAGGTGGCTTAACACCATTCCCTTCCTCTAACACTATCCTCTTAACCAACCTTAACACTATCCTCTTCCTCTATCCCCTTCACTTTCCCTCTCATTTCCCCCCATTTTTCAACCCCACCAGGCACCCACCAGTTAGAGGAGTGGGTGGGGCTGGTCCCGCCCTCCGCCTCTGCCGGGGATGCTTCCCGCTTCGTCTCTGGCGTGCCGTCAGCTCCCCAGAGGAAGGGCCAGCAACTGGAGAGGCAGCTGAGAGGCGGCTGAAACCTCCTTTTTCCTCCCCTGTCCCCCTCCTCCCCTCTTTTCAGGCACGCACCAGTTGGAGGAGTGGGTGGGGCTGGTCCCGCCCTCCCCTGCTGCAAGTGACGCTTCCCGCTTCGTCTCTGGTGTGCCGTCAGCTCCCCAGAGGAAGGGCGCGCAGCCGGAGAGGCGGCTGAGGCCCGGGAGGGAGAGAGGGAGGCGACGGAGGGTGGCGATGGGGCGCGTGTGGGCCGTGGGGGACAGAGTCGATGCGTGGGTGGATGACGGGTGAGTTTTGACGTTTTGAGTTGACTCTGAAGGCACAGAGGAAAGGCTAGCAACCCGAGAGGCAGCTGCGGCCGGGGAGGGAGAGGGGGAGGTGCCGGCGGGTGGCCATGGGGCGCGTGTGGGCTGTGGGGGACAGAGTCGACGCATGGGTGGATGGGGGAGTGGCGGGGTGAATAACTTTTGATTTATGCAAAGAATTTGTACATAGCGGCGCAGAGTTGTCATGAGGGGGAGGGTGTGGGCTGTGGGGGTGAGGGTCAACGCATGTGGTCTTTCTCGCTCGCTTCCCCTCACCCCCTCTCTATCTTTCCTCTCCCACTCTCTATCTTCCCCTCTCAACCCCTCTCCATCTCTTCCCCTCCACCTCTCATTTCACTTCCCCCTCTCCCCTTATCCCCCCCTCGGCAACACAGGTGGTGGGAGGGGGTCGTCACATCAGTGGACGCACAGGGACCCAAAATCAGGGGCTTCACTGTGGAGTTTCCAGGTACTTTCCTCCACACTTTTCTGTAGGTCAGTCAGTCGCCATGTCTACATCTCTATTGTGAGGCGCCATGTCCACAGCTCAAGAGTATTCTTTATCCTTTCAAAGGACATGTCGCCATGTGGAATCTCCATGTTGCTCCACCCCCCCCGTTGAGCTGCTGCTTGCTCACCTTTGACGGTCAGTCGCCATGCCCCCCTTCACTCCCGCCTTCCCCTCTCTTCTGTGGTGCCAGGGCACGGGGAGATGGGGCAGAAGCAGGTGCGGCCATCAATGGTGTATGACACACAGGGCCACCTCTGGCACCTCGTCAAGGTCAAGGCCGCGTCGCTTGCTGCTCAATGCCTCTCTCCCCCCCCTTTGCCCCACCCCTTCCTCTACCCCCCTGTTCCCTCCCTGCTCTTCCCTCTGCCCCGCCTCCTGCCCCTCTTGCCCTCCCCCATCCCCTCACCTCCCCCTGCTGTGGTGCCAGGGTACGGGGAGATGGGGCAGAAGCAGGTGCGGCCGTGGGAATCACGCCCGTCAATGGTGTATGACACACAGGGCCACCTCTGGCACCTCATCAAGGTCAGGGGCGCGTCGCTTGCTGCTTACTGCCACTCCTCTCTTCCCTCTCTCCCCTTCCTTCTCCCGACCCTTCCCCTTGCCGCTGCTTCTCCCCCTGCTCTCCCCCTGCTCCCCCCCTGCTCTCCCCCTGCTCTCCCCCTGCTCCTCCTCCTGCTCCTCTTCGCTGCCCCCCCTGCTCCCATTGGCCAGGGTACGGGGAGATGGGGCAGAAGCAGGTGCGGCCGTGGGAGCTGCGTCCATCAATGGTGTATGACACTCAGGGCCACCTCTGGCACCTCGTCAAGGTCAAGGGCGCGTCGCTTGCTGCTGTGGTGGGGGGAGCAGCGGGCGATGAGGAGGAGGAAGAGGAGGACGTGGAGGTGGAGTATGTGGGGGAGGAGGCCGGCGCTGCAATGGAAATGGTGAGTCTTATCAAGAAACTGAGGTGACTTGAAAAGGAATATTTGTGCGTGGGGGGAGGATGAGATGAGGGGGAAGAAGGGGAGAGGAGGACGTGGAGGTGGAATATGTGGTGGAGGAGGTCGGCGCTGCAAAGGAGATGGTGAGTCTGATGAACAAGTTGAGGGATTAGTTTTTTGGGTTCCGGGTTCAGGGTGTAAAGGCTGCTTTAACAAGGTCGTCTCTCACCGCCCATCCCCCATCTCCCATTTCGTCTCCCATCTCATCCCCCATCTTCCATCCTGCATCTCCCATCTCCCCCCAAACACCCCGTGTGGCAGATGGAGAGGCCTCGGAAGAGAGGCCGGCCGCGCTTGCACTGAGTGGAGGCTTTGTGTCCGTGATTGTGGCCTTCTAAAGCTGGTGAGTGCAAGAAGAAAGTGGTCTCTAGATGGGTTGAACTGTTTTGTTTCTTCACATGAGCACTCTTGGGTGGGAGGTGCGTCGTGATTATCTCATAACCTTATGCTTTTAGTTAATTGGATCACTTTCATTTTGCATGGTTCCCTCCATCCCCATCCCATGTCACCTCACCAGTAATGAGGATGATGACTGGTGTGGCTTGTCTGACGCACGCGGAGCTTGTAACTTTGAGTTCTGCATGCTTGGTTTGAGGGCCATATGCTATAATGTAATGCAATGTGACGTTGAGGTGTCTTGAAACTTTGTGTTTTTAACCTACCCTGGCACGTATAGGTAAAGGCTAGCACTTCACAACTTCAATAGTGTTGACTAGCAAGGAGAATCTTCCCATATATGAAACCGTGTACAATATTTCTTGTTTTACAACCACATTATCTCCGCTTTCCTTGCCTTAGTGTTTCGATAACGTTGGCGCGCTGGCTGCAGCTTGGTCAATGACCCGCACTCGGCGGTCTTCGTTAGCCAATCAGTTGCAACCGCTTGCCTCTGACATCCATTCCACGCAAGCACGTGATCCTCATGAGATGAGCAATTTACGCTTTCGAGGCGCGGATTCGCAAAGAGCCGAATCGCGCATCCCAAACACAAATACAATTTCCAACTGCATTGCTCGCGCATGCCTAGGAAAATGCGATGTGCTCGTGCGGGCTGCACGTATTTGCATTTCATGGACTGTTCCTGCCCACCCTTACCCAGATTTCAGGTCCATAGTTGTCGCGGGCTTTGAGTTATCCGTCTATCCATCTGTGAGCGTTTGCCACAATGAGGTTTCGACAGCCTTCAAATCAAGCAAGACGTGGCAGTCATCTAGGAGCTTTTTAAAAGATAGGATACCTAGGTAGGCCGTTGCATGGTACCTGCCTACAATTCAGAGAGCTACACCTGTTCCATCAAACGGAAACCGCGCTGCTTACCCGTCGACCTCGTAACATCCGTCCTTGTAAAATCCGTCTGCACTACTATCACTAACCTCCACTCGTGTAACGAATTGTTGTGGCTCCATCGAAACGACCATAGTCGCGAACGATAGGAAGACACATAGCTCTCCGTCACATGGCGATTCTACAATTGCAGCATGTGCGCAACAAGTGGATTACTTCGGAAATGCATGCACCCGGGTTACCAGGGTCCACACCATGCGATGGTACGTAGCAGGCACCATGGGATGCCATGCCATCCCATGCCATGTGCGGTACTGGGCCGGCACCAATCCATGTGTGCACCACGCTACTAGAAGGCTCCATGCCCCTTGCCATGCGATGTTTATGTGAATTTTGCTTGATGTTTCGTGCTGGATGGATTCCCGAGTCGTTGCGAGCCGCCATGTGAGCGCACAAGGAAGAATGTCCTCTCCGCCAATTTCGAGGCGGCCCGAGGGTCGAGAACGCGCTCCGTTCGACCGGGTAGGCGCGTAACGCAGCGCGGCAGCTCCCATTGCAACTTGTTCCCAGCGCTCCTAGCATCTAGCCATCAACGCTCGTTGCACCTTACCCCCTGCGCTCCTAGCCGCTACGAGCCCCCACGCTGCGTCTATATAAGTCGAGAGTGCTTCCTCATCTTCAGTGCGTGCGGTTCTTTGAGCTCTTCTTCCTGTCCCTTTTCCGGCGCTTTCTCTCGCCTCTCGCCTTGCGCATTTTCTGGCAAGCTTGCACTCCTAAGTTTCTTTCCTGAGGAAAACTCTACCCGAGCGAGCTGTCGTCATGGGTCGCGCGTTGGTGCTAGCGCTGCTCGCGTTCTGCCTGGTGGGGTGCGCCTCGGCGCGCTATGGCTCCCCCGTCAACGACGAGAAGGAGTTCATCCCCGGGCAGCCCCAGGAGATTTTCAAGAGCAGCGGCGGACGCGTGGAAGTGTGGAGCCCCGACTTCAAGCAGCTTCAGGTACAGTTTCTTGTGCCCTTTCAAGTTGAACTTCGAGTTTTTGTGTCTCATTTCCACGACGTCCAGCTTCCGCCCATAATTTAGACCCACTAATGCGATTTGCCTTCCGTTCCTGTGTACGCAGACTGCAACGCCATCTGTTCCTCGTTCTCGTTCTTGACTTCCTTTATCATATACCCCTTCCTCTCTGTTGACAGGATGCGGACATCGGCGCTGGCATCGTCACGATCGAGAGCCAGTCCCTGGCGCTGCCCCACTATGCCGACTCCGCCATGGTACGCTTCCTTCCGCGCCTCTTTGCTATTCCGCCATATCTCTCACCCCCCCTTGCTCTCCTCCTCTGTTGGTGCTGCGTTTCTTATGTCGAGTTACTGACGTGCGTCCGGGGAAAGTGCGTGCACTCGTCTCTGAATACAATCTTCCGCCTTCCTCACTGGTTTCTCCTTGCCTGGCTTCTTTGTCCTACTCCGCAGATCAACTACGTGATTGAGGGCGAGGCGTGCGTCGGGCTCATCACGCCGCTCGGCATGCCCACCAACATGCGCCGCCTGCGCAAGGGCGACGCGTACATCCACCCGCGCGGGTGGGCGCACTGGGCGTGGAACAACGGCAACCAGCCCTTCCGCGCGGTCAGCATGGCGGACACATCCAAGGGCCCGCAGCGCGGCCAGTACACGTCATTCCACCTCATAGGCGCGCAGAAGGAGCAGAGTGGCGGCATCCTGCACGGCTTCAGGTGTGCATCTTCTCCTTCTGTCGCAGCGCTTTTGCTGGTTGTGCTCCCCCGCCGTCTACCCCCCCGTGTCGTCAATTTTCCGCGAACGTGCGCACGTCTTCTCCCCCTTCCCATGCAGCTCCGACCTGCTCGCGCGCGCGTGGAACGTGGAGGATAACGACGTGAAGCAGCTGCTGCAGGGGCAGAAGGAGACGGCCTTCGTGAAGGTTCAGCAGAGGAGCCAGGTCGACGCGCTTAACGCCGCGATCGACGCTCTCAACGCGCGCTCCGGGGAGAATATCTTCGGTGATTTCTCGTACAGCCTGATCGAGAACGAGGCGGACATTCAGCGCGAGGGCGCGGGCCGCGTGACGTGGGCGAGCGGCTGGAAGCTTCCGATGTTCCGCAAGGTTGGGTTCTCTGCTGCACGATTTGAGCTGGAGCAGAACGCGCTCGCGGCGCCGCATTGGCTGGCGAACAGCGCGGCGTTGATCTACGTGCTGAACGGGCAGGGGCGGTTCGAGATGACCCACTCCGATGGGCGCACCGCGGTGCGGCGCGACGTGAAGCAGGGCGAGCTAATCGTCATCCCGCCCGGTCTTCCCCACGCCACGGTAACTCGGTTTATTCGAACCAACTACAGGTGCTTGTGAGATGACGGGGCCAACTCCGTTCGCTAATCATCGTCCCCTCCTCCCCGCTTGTTCCTCCGTTTCTTTTGTTCCCCCTCCCGTTCCCCAGCTTGCGTCGGGCAACGGCATTGAGTACATCGCGCTCATCACCAAGTCGCGTCCGCAGGTCGGCTTCCTCGCGGGAGCCAATTCGGTCTACCGCTTCCTGCCGCGCGCGATCCAGCAGGCGGCTTTTAACGCGGACGATCAGCTGATCGAGAAGTTTCGCAGCACCCGCCAGCACGAGTACGTCATCCTGCCGCCCAAGGGCCAGAAGCCCAAGCCCAGGGCGTTCTCCGAGGAGGATGAGGATGTGGATGTTGACTTCAGCATCATCGACACTCCCTATGGCTTTTAAGCACCTTCGGAGCGTGCTTTGCGGTGACAGTCCTTGAGGCGAGCAGAAGGGGCTTCGAGGTTGGGGAGAGCCCCTAACCTCAAAACCTTTCGGATAGCTTCAAGGCGGACGAGATGTTTTTGGTTGCTAGAGTGGGCTGAAGCATAGCGAGTAGGGGTGGGCTGGGTCAAAGTACTTTCTGTCCATTGTACAGTCTTGCCAGAAGTGCAAGAGTTTTACAAATCCATTTCAAACACTTGAAATTTGTCGATTGTTCATTGTACTGTGAAACATAGTTTTGAAAATTCCGGAAAACAACGTGGTGTGAGCTCTTGGTGGAAAGTGATGTTGCATTATCGAATGGGTGCAATATTGCACCGTTACTAGTTGATGCACAAGAACGATCTTATCTCGTCGCCTATTACCACTTAGAGACAGTAAGCACAAGCCACGTATGATCGACGATCATATCCGCCCGTATGATCCGTCGGATTTAGAAGTCGACGGAGGTGCAAGCTGTCACGTTTCGAACAGAACACCTACTCCCATAATCAGCAGTCAGCGCGGGTTAGAGCAACTCGCTGCATGTCGACACACTTGCTGCCTGCGCGGCAGAACGCAACACCTTGACATTGGACATTCTTCAAGGGGCAAGGAGAGCCTTGACACGACACGCCTCAGCATGCCTCGACGCGCCTCGACGCGCCTCGACGCATCTCATGTCTTCGTGACATGCGTCGACTCGCCCTCGGCATCCATGCACGCCGGTGTGGAATCTCGCGTCGCTATTCCCGTTCGGGCATCTCGCGTCGCCATGCCAGGAATGATGTTGCTGCTGCTGAAGCCTCCAGCCGCGCTCTTTTCTCCTCCTCTCCTCCCTCTCGCTCTCCTCGTCCTCAAATTCAGCACTCCCACCGGCTCGCTGCTGCTCATTCCGTTGTCAGCTCCTCCCCTTCCTCTAGCGTGTCCCGGTCCTTCGGCTCGATTCGTTCCTGCGCTGCTTTCGGCTCGCTGCTGCTCATTCCGTTGTCAGCTCCCCCCTCCTCCTCTAGCGTGCCTCGGTCCTTGGGCTCGTTTCGTTCCCGCGGTGCTTGTGCTTCGCTCCTTTTGCGTTCATTGAGGGTGTCGTCTGCTCCTCACTCACGTGGCTCCTTTCCCCAAGTGAAATTGAGCTTAAGCTTGTTGCCATCTTACCTTGATATCCTTCAGCGATTGTTGAGGCGCCTCAAAAGCTTGTTGCCATCTTACCTTGATATCCTTCAGCGATTGCTAGTAAGCACTCATGGCTCTGCATTGTCTCACCCCCTTCAAGCTCCCACCGCTGCTGTTACTCCCTACCTCCGCCCTTCTCCTCTCCCTCCTCTGCCTCCTCCTCCTCCTCTCTCCACTGCGTTCCCCTTCTCCCATACTTGCCGCACATGCCATGACATCTGCTACCGAACCCGAGCCTACGACCACCACACCTGCTGCCGAACCTGAGCTTACCACACCTGTTCCTGAACCTGAGGCTCGGGGTTGGCTTTCCGTTGGTGCTGCAGCACTGCTCCACCAAGGCTGGCGCTGGCTGGGCATTGGACCTCTCATGTCAAACCTGGGATCAAGGCTCGGCACAGGTCTGGGGGTGGGAAGGAACGCTGAGGAGGATGGGGGAGGGGAGAACAAGGCGAGGGAGTTTCTTGCAGGAAGGCCGCAGGTGGAGGTGGCAACCTGTGGAGGGCGGATTGAAACGTGGGGCGCTGGGCTGAAACGACTGGAGGTATGTTTGTGTGTGTGTATAGGGGGGGGGGTGTTGGGCGGAGTAGGGGGAACAGTCTGTGGATGTTGGCATGTGTGGATATGTGTTGCTGCTCTCCTTCCCACACATGATGACCTCTTACCTTACCCTCCTGCTTTCAACCAACCACATTTAGGTGTCTTTATTCAGTATGCAGGAGCCAGCGCGGCTGTGTTGATAACATAGCTCTGAGGCGCCTGCTTTCAAGGCGTAACGGCCCCCCTCTCCGTCCTGCTTTCAACCAACCACAACATATGGGAGTCGGCGCGTGGCAACATATGGGAGTCGGCGCCCTTTTGAGTCAACTCAAAAGTGCTGGGCTGTGCAGCATCACCCATTTGTGGTGCTGTGCTTTTTTTCATGATAACCCAGCCAACCCCCTGCTTTGAGCCCAGCCAACCCCCTGCTTTGAGCCCAGCCAACCCCCTGCTTTCAACCGACCATTGCCCATGGCAGGCAGGATGTGGAAGTCAGCGCAGCAGTAATGACAATTGGGCCAGATTCCATGGCTCTGCCTGCCCATGTACTCCAATTATGAGGAAGTGGGAGGACGTGGGAGGATGTGGGAGGATGTGGGAGGATTTGGGGTTGCAACTTATGCTCTTACCTTGTTTGCAACCACAACCACTGCCCATGGCAGGACGCGGACGTCAGCGCGGCGGTGATGACAATAGAGCCAGAGTCCATGGCTCTGCCTATGTATTCCAACGGTGAGGAGCTGTGATGCTGTTATCTTTAACCACCTGTTCTCAACCACAACCACTGCCCATGGCAGGATGCGGACGTCAGTGCGGCAGTGATGACAATAGAGCCACAGTCCATGGCGCTTCCCATGTACTCTAATGATGAAGAGGTGGGATACGCCGTTTTGAGTTTAATTGCCGTACATGACCATTCAGATGCATTTAGATGCCCACATCATGCCACTTCTGACTTGCACATCTCTGTTACCCTTAATTAACATCCCTGGAAACTTGCTGCTGCGGTGCGCAGGTGTCCTATGTGGTGGAGGGCGAAGCTCGGGCAGGGCTTATCAGCCCGGAGGGTATTCGCACCAACGTGAGGTGCGATGGGATGCGGTGCGATATCGTGTGATGCATTACAATTCGATGTAATGTGATGTGATGTGATATGATATGATATGATATGATATGATATGATATGATTTTGGTCGTGGAGCACACATCATAATAGTTAACAAAATTCCTTTCTTTTGTCCCTTCACTGTCTTGTGCCCTTTATAGGAGGCTTCGGAAAGGTGACTCGTTTGCTTTCCCACGAGGCTGGGGCAGGTGGATTTGGAACGATGGCAAGGAGACTCTACGAATCATATCCATTGCTGGTACGCTGACGTGTTGCCATATGCTGATGTGTCTTAGATGGCAAGTAGCCTCTGCGAATCATATCCACTGCTGGTATGTGGATGTGTGTTTCCTGCTCTGCTGACGTGTCATGATTGATTCGCTGACCTGTCTTTGTTGGACTGCTCGTGACTTTGCTGGTTTATTATGACTGCACCGCGGGTCATGTCATATATCACCCGTACCTTCCAATCCCTCCCCCACCCCACACCAGATACGTCCAAGGAGGCCCACCGGGGGCGGTACACTGCCTTCAGCCTGGTGGGCGCTCAGAAGGGGAAGTTTGGTGGTATTCTCCATGGCTTCAGGTGGGTTCAGGTGAATCTCAGGTGGTTTCAGGTGAGTTTCAGTTGGGCTCAGGTAGATGTCAGGTGGCACATCCCCTTCCTCATCCGCTGCTCATTCTCCCTCCTGGCTGCTCTTCCCTGTTGCCTCCGCACAGCCACCGAATGCTGGCGAAGGCATGGGGCTAGGAGGAGGAAGGGGATGTGGCACAGCTGCTGTGTCTTTTGAGTCGACTCAAAAGTCACCTCGTGGCACAGCTGCTCTGTACCCTTTCGCTTCCATCTCTCAATGTGCCTCCTGTGTACCCTTTCGCTCTGCCTCCCCATGTCTGTTCCCCATCACACAGCCACCGAGTGCTTGCGAGATCATGGAATGTGGAGGAAGGGGACGTGACACAGTTGCTGCAGGGGCAGAAGGATGCAGCCATTGCCAAGGTCGACCCGGGGAAGGTCGTATCTGCTGATCCTGATGATGATGACGACAGCTCAGCTGCTTCTGCTGCTGATAACTCGGAAGGCACTGTAGCGTTTGGGGATTTCGTGTACAACCTTATAGAGGAGCAGGCTAGTATCGAGACACCAGGGGGAGGCACACTGACTACTGCAGATGGTTTTAAGCTGCCAGTGTTTCAACACCTGGGCGTTTCTGCTGCTCGCATCGACCTGCTGGTGAGTAATGGACGGTATGAAAAGAGAGGGAGAGAAAGAGTTAGTGTGTGCTGTAAATGAAGGGTTTGTATGTAGCATTCCTTTCTTTCCAATAAATTCCACTATTTTTTCCAATTTATTGTTTGATTGATATCGATTTCCTTCCCTTGTTTCCCCCTTCCCTCACTCCTCCTTCCCTCAGCCCAATTCCATGGCAGCGCCTCATTGGCTGTCCAACTCAGCAGCCGTTCACTTTGTGACACGTGGCAGTGGGCGGTTTGAGATAGCCTATCCGGACGGCAAGAAGGCGCTGAGGAAGCGTGTGAGCGCGGGAGATTTGGTGGTTGTACCGGCTGCCTTTGCCCATGCTGTTGTGAGTAACGCAGTGATGAGGAAACATGCTAACGCATATTTCATGTGAGGAGTAGCGGTAGTGAGAGGTGTGGTTCTTGTGCTGGTGTTTTCGCTCATGTTGTTGTGAGTAACGTGTTTTGCAGAGTAACACATCACCCTAACATGCCTCCACCCTGATTCCCCCCTCTTCATCCCGCCTCCCACTCCTTTCCCGTCCTCCCCTAACAGGAAGCGTCAGGGGAGGGGTTAGAGTACGTTGCTCTCTCCCCCAAGTCCAAGCCCGACCCTGATGCCCTCAATGTCCTCCCTTCCCTCAATTCGCCCTCCCGCCCTCCGTCCCTCTGTCTCTGCTTTATTAGGAGGCATCAGGGGAGGGGTTAAGAGTACGTTGCTCTCTCCCCCAAGTCCAAGCCCGAGCCTGATGCCCTCAATGTCCTCCCTTCCCTCAATTCGCCCTCCCGCCCTTCCTCCGCCCCTCTGTCTCTGCTTTATTAGGAGGCATCAGGGGAGGGGTTAGAGTACGTTGCTCTCTCCCCCAAGTCCAAGCCCAAGCCTGGCTTTTTAGCCGGCAGCAACTCGGTCTACAGTGCGCTGCCTACCACTGTACTGAAGGCTGCTTTTAACGTGGATGAATCCCTGGTGGAGAAACTGCAGGGTTCTAGGGAGGGGGAGTATGTGATCCTGTCTCCTTCTAGGGCAAGAAAGGAGAGTGGTTTTGAGTTGCTCGGGAATGCTGGGCTGTTGCAAGCAGGAGCATGAAGGCTGCTTTTAACGTGGATGAAGCCTTGGTGGAGAAAACTGAAGGGCACTAGGGAGGGGGAGTTGGCTCAGAGGTGCAAGGCTCTAGGGAGAGAGTATGAAGGCTGCTTCCGACTTGGATGAAGCCCTGGTGGAGAAACTGCAGAGCTCTAGGGAGGGGGAGTCTGCAAAGAAATGAAAAGAGGGGTGAGGAGGGTGCTGGTGGTGGTGTGGTGCCTGTGGCTTATAGGTGAGGGTGTGAATTGCAATCGCCGATATTTCAGTTCAGCAGGCAGTAAGGGTGAAGTTTGTGAGGCTTTAGTGGGTTGGGTTGGGGGAAGTGTACGAATTGTTGGATGAAGGTTTAGTGGGGGGTGTAGCAGGAGGTGGGGTGTAGCACATATACGGTCCCGTAGACTGGAGGATGGGTGGCCTTGTATTGTAAAAGGATGTGTTTTGGGTCAACAATGTAAGCTATGTGAATATGAGATGGAGTATGTACGTTACCAGTATGTTGCACCGTGTCAGCTAAAGAAATTATCTGTGAGATTTGGGGCTCGTGCACTTCTGTGTGCACCTTGCATCCCTTGCATCCCTTGCATCCCTTTGCACCTTGCATCCCTTGCATCCCTTACCGTAAATCCAGTATCTCAACAGACTCTTATTACGGTAACAATTTAGTTTCCTTAACTACACTACGGCACCATTGCTACCATCTGCTGCCTCCACTCTCGCCGCACCACCAGTTGCAGCGTGTGAGGCAATGTTCTGCTCTAAGACAAGAGGCATGGGTCAGATCAGATGCTCTTACATCCAGAGCCTTTACAGGCTCTTACCACCTTTCTTTCCAGCTGCCTCCACTCTACCACCCCCACCAGCTGCAGCGTGCGAGGCAATTTCCTGCTCAACGATGCTGAGTGTTTTTTTTTTTTGAGAATTCTAAAAAAAAACAATGCTGAGCCATGGCTCAAATATTCTGTCATCCAGCCAGAGCTAAAAAAAACGATGCTGAGCCTTTACAGGCTCTTACCACCTTTCTTTCCTTTACTACCGCTGCTACCATTCGCTGCCTCCACTCCAGCTGAGCCACTAGCTTTAGCTCGTGAGGCAATATCCTGCTCGAAGATGCGAGGCACAACGGTGGGCAGCAGGAAGCAGAACACGTTGTACGCCCACAGCAGGTAGTTCGTGGCTGGGGTGAGGGGGAGAAAAAGGGGGAGAAGAGGGAGACACAAGCAGGGCACGTGGATAGGCTGGAGTGAGAAGTGTTGGGGAGGGGGGTGGGGTAAGGACACACAAGCAGGACACACAGATAGGTGAGAGTCGAGGCACGACGGCGCAGCAGGAAGCAGAGGTCGCTGTAAGGCGCTTGGAAACACGTGAAAGCCATACAACCACAGCCAACGCGCCTGCACATGCTACCAGCGTGCTCAGCCGACTTTTGAGTCGACTCAAAAATCGACTGAACCCATACAACCACAGCCAACGCACCTGCACATGCTACCAGCGTGCTCAGCCGATTTTTGAGTCGACTCAAAAATCGACTTAACCCATACAACCACAGCCAACGCACCTGCACATGCTACCAGCGTGCTCAGCCGATTTTTTAGTCGACTCAAAAATCGACTTAACCCATACAACCACAGCCAACGCACCTGCACATGCTACCAGCGTGCTCAGCCGATTTTTGAGTGAACTCAAAAATCGACTTAACCCATACAACCACAGCCAACGCACCTGCACATGCTACCAGCATGCTCAGCCGATTTTTGAGTCAACTCAAAAATCGACTTAACCCATACAACCACAGCCAACGCACCTGCACATGCTACCAGCGTGCTCAGCCGATTTTTGAGTCGACTCAAAAATCGACTTAACCCATACAACCACAGCCAACGCACCTGCACATGCTACCAGCGTGCTCAGCCGATTTTTGAGTCGACTCAAAAATCGACTTAACCCATACAACCACAGCCAACGCACCTGCACATGCTACCAGCGTGCTCAGCCGATTTTTGAGTCGACTCAAAAATCGACTTAACCCATACAACCACAGCCAACGCACCTGCACATGCTACCAGCGTGCTCAGCCGATTTTTGAGTCGACTCAAAAATCGACTGAACCCATACAACCACAGCCAACGCACCTGCACATGCTACCAGCGTGCTCAGCCGATTTTTTAGTCGACTCAAAAATCGACTTAACCCATACAACCACAGCCAACGCACCTGCACATGCTACCAGCGTGCTCAGCCGTTTTTTGAGTCGACTCAAAAATCGACTTAACCCATACAACCACAGCCAACGCACCTGCACATGCTACCAGCGTGCTCAGCCGATTTTTTAGTCGACTCAAAAATCGACTTAACCCATACAACCACAGCCAACGCACCTGCACATGCTACCAGCGTGCTCAGCCGATTTTTGAGTCGACTCAAAAATCGACTTAACCCATACAACCACAGCCAACGCACCTGCACATGCTACCAGCGTGCTCAGCCGATTTTGAGTCGACTCAAAAATCGACTTAACCCATACAACCACAGCCAACGCACCTGCACATGCTACCAGCGTGCTCAGCCGATTTTTGAGTCGACTAAAAAATCGACTTAACCCATGCAACCACAGCCAACGCACCTGCACATGCTACCAGCGTGCTCAGCCGATTTTTGAGTCGACTCAAAAATCGACTTAACCCATACAACCACAGCCAACGCACCTGCACATGCTACCAGCGTGCTCAGCCGATTTTTTAGTCGACTCAAAAATCAACTTAACCCATACAACCACAGCCAACGCACCTGCACATGCTACCAGCGTGCTCAGCCGATTTTTGAGTGAACTCAAAAATCGACTTAACCCATACAACCACAGCCAACGCACCTGCACATGCTACCAGCATGCTCAGCCGATTTTTGAGTCAACTCAAAAATCGACTTAACCCATACAACCACAGCCAACGCACCTGCACATGCTACCAGCGTGCTCAGCCGATTTTTGAGTCGACTCAAAAATCGACTTAACCCATACAACCACAGCCAACGCACCTGCACATGCTACCAGCGTGCTCAGCCGATTTTTGAGTCGACTCAAAAATCGACTTAACCCATACAACCACAGCCAACGCACCTGCACATGCTACCAGCGTGCTCAGCCGATTTTTTAGTCGACTCAAAAATCGACTTAACCCATACAACCACAGCCAACGCACCTGCACATGCTACCAGCGTGCTCAGCCGATTTTTGAGTCGACTCAAAAATCGACTGAACCCATACAACCACAGCCAACGCACCTGCACATGCTACCAGCGTGCTCAGCCGATTTTTTAGTCGACTCAAAAATCGACTTAACCCATACAACCACAGCCAACGCACCTGCACATGCTACCAGCGTGCTCAGCCGTTTTTTGAGTCGACTCAAAAATCGACTTAACCCATACAACCACAGCCAACGCACCTGCACATGCTACCAGCGTGCTCAGCCGATTTTTTAGTCGACTCAAAAATCGACTTAACCCATACAACCACAGCCAACGCACCTGCACATGCTACCAGCGTGCTCAGCCGATTTTTGAGTCGACTCAAAAATCGACTTAACCCATGCAACCACAGCCAACGCACCTGCACATGCTACCAGCGTGCTCAGCCGATTTTTGAGTCGACTCAAAAATCGACTTAACCCATACAACCACAGCCAACGCACCTGCACATGCTACCAGCGTGCTCAGCCGATTTTTTAGTCGACTCAAAAATCGACTTAACCCATACAACCACAGCCAACGCACCTGCACATGCTACCAGCGTGCTCAGCCGATTTTTTAGTCGACTCAAAAATCGACTTAACCCATACAACCACAGCCAACGCACCTGCACATGCTACCAGCATGCTCAGCCGATTTTTGAGTCAACTCAAAAATCGACTTAACCCATACAACCACAGCCAACGCACCTGCACATGCTACCAGCGTGCTCAGCCGATTTTTGAGTCGACTCAAAAATCGACTTAACCCATACAACCACAGCCAACGCACCTGCACATGCTACCAGCACTAAGGCGAATCTCATGTAACTGGAGGTGAGAGAAATCAGCGGAAGAATGTTACTCAGACGCCTTAGCAGAGGAACCCTCATCCTATCAGGGCGAGCGGCCAGAGCACTCCCACCACTAAGGCGAATTTCATGTAATTGGAGGGGGAAGGGAAGGGAAGGGAAGGGAAGGGCAATCCGCAGCTGGGGTGCCTTGAAAAAGAGGAAGCCAGACGCTATCAGAGCGAGCGGCCAAAGCACTCCCACCACTGCGGCGAATCTCATGTAACTGGAGGGGAGGGAATGGAATGGCAATCCGCAGCTGAAATTATATGCAGGGGCCTTGAAAATGAGGAACCCGGATGATATCAGGGCGAGCGGCCAGAGCAGCTGAGGGGTGACTGCTTGCTGATTCGGCTCAGTGTGATGTGACCCGAAGAAAGAGAAATCAGTGAGATTTACTCTCACGGCTGATTAAGGTGGAAAGGAGAAAGGATGTGGCTGATTTTATTGGACGAGCACGCATCTGGACGAAATGGGATTGGATATCTGGCCGCGGCCACGATCCACGCGAAATATGTGTTACAGAATGTTTAATGTCGTGGGTGAGGACTCGCCTATTCGCCGTCTTATTCGCGGGGACATTTCGCCTAGCATGAGCGTCTGGATTTTAATAGGTATCTTAAATGGGGGATTAGTGGGGATTAGTAGTAGGGAAGACAAGCTACGCACCTTCTCATTTGTGGAAACAATTTGCGTGGCTTCTGAGAGGCCTCACAAAGTGGGGATTAGCGAGATTCAGTAGTGATTAGTAGGCGAGAAAAGCTACGCACATTTTCATTTGCGGAGACCTTTTGCCTAGCATGAGCGGCTGATGCGGGGGGCATGGGAAGACGAATGAGATCGCGAACGCGTAGAGCGTGGCGAAGGCGGCGAAGCCTGCGACGTCGAAAAGGGACTCGGCGAGCTGCTGCGATGGCAGCGAGAGCGAGGAAGCGTTGAAGAGCGACGGCCAGAGCGCCTGAAGCGGGTGGAAATGCGGCGGGAGTGGAAGCATGTCGCCGCCTGCCATGGTGATGGAAATGTGCGGGATTTTTGTGACAGGAGGATTCAAGGCTATCAAGTGTTGGTTGAATCAGGTATGTGTTTTGAGACGGAGAAATTTGCGCCACACGAAATTGAGAGAATGTAGGGTTCAGAACGGTTGATAACAATTTCGTTACGAGTAGCTGCGATTCTGAGAGTTTACACATGCTGGAGTGAAGCCCTTCTCGACTTTCTCGTTGCTGTTGCCAACTGTAGTGTTTCAGGATCCATGAAAGGATAAATCCATTGGAAAAAAAATAAAATAAAAAATCGTGTATCTGCACTGTACATCAATGATAAGTGATTTCAACCCACCTCGACATTGGCACGGCTAAACCTTGAAACTTCACTCGGCCATCACAGCGGGTCCACATGTCACAAAAAACCTCACCCAACCATTGTACTATTTAGTTAGAACGTTATAGACCGTACCAAGTCTCATTGAGCCACATTCAGACGTACTCACGGAACCCGCCCTGACACTCCTGTGCACGCCCGAGATTTCAGTGAAACCTCCCTGACACAGTGCTTCACCACCACTCGTTCAAGTCTAGAACTTACCACAATTCCTTTTCATGGCAGGCTTTGGGAATGCCATCACCAGGGTGTCACATTCGCCATCATACAGCATCAGCTTTGTTATCGTCAGAGAAGAGCAGAGAAGAGCAGAGAAGAGCAGAGAGCAGAGGAGAGCAGAGGAGAGCAGAGGAGAGCAGAGGAGAGCAGAGAAGAGCAGAGAAGAGCAGAGAAGAACAGAGAAGCGCAGAGAAGAAAAGAGCAGAGCAGAGTTGACTTGAGTTGAGTCGATTACTTTTCAAGACATGAGTCAGCCTTGGGAATCTCAACTGTTCATCTCTTAGCATCATCACCTCTGTTCCGCTGCGGTTAAATTTTAACGACATCCGTATTTGCCTCATCGTCAGCCGCTCCACGACCAGCCACTCGCGGCGCGAGTACGTCGCGACTCGAGAAGTGCGTGCTTTTTAGCGGAGGTCTCCCGAGGCACACGACACAGCATCGTCATGATGGCGAACTTCGCCGCTCATTCACCTTTCCACTCGCCGTTTTTCCCGCGCGTCGACGGCGTGACGCTTCTCCGCCGATTTCTTAGAGAAAGCAGCCGACTGCTGGGGGAGAGCGGGGGAAATGGAGGCGAAACCTCTGGCAGCGAATCGAATGTAGATTTGTCCTCGTCCATGCTCTATACTCCGACCTTCTTGACCGCTACTGTGGCGGCGATTATTATCATCGTGTCGCTGCTTTTTGAACGGCTTATTTATCTCATTCACAGAGTGAGTGGTTCTGTACTGTAAAAAGCAGCGTATGGCTGAGTGCATTGGAATTGGCATATCGTCTGGTTTGACATTGGGAAATAAAGTGTTCGGCAGCATGTTCCATGTGCATCAGCAAGGGATTCACACTCGTACGCATCAGCATTGGGTTTCTTTATAATGCGCATACTGACTGCCATGTCACATGGCCTCATTACATGTCATATGCCGTGTTCCCCGTGCCATGCACCCTTGCATTGCTCCTTACCATGCCATACGCCGTCCTTCTGTTCCATGCGATGCCATGCCATGCACCTTTCTTCTCTTGCGTGCCATGCACCTTCTTTCTTTTTGCTCCATGTCATGCCATGTGTCTTCCTTCTGTTCCATGACACGTGCTCATGCACCTGTTCCTCGTGCACATGCACGTTGTGTGTCGCAGTTCTTGGTTCGGTAGAAACGAGCAGCTCTCGTGACGGTGGGGCACCGCATAAAAGACGGTGAGGAGGAGGCAGACAAGGTGTCTTTTGGGTCAAAAGTCAGGGTGGCAAGGTCGCTCCGGAAATATCATGTGTCAAGTCAAGGTCGCTCCAGAAATACCAGGTGTGATGAGGTCGCTTCAAAATTACCAGGTAACTGAAAAGCAGCTCTCGTGACGGTGGGGCACTGCATAAAAGACGGTGAGGAGGAGGCACAAAAGGTGTATTTTGGGTCAAAATTCAGGGTGGCAAGGTCGCTCTGGGATTACCAGGTGACAAGGTCGCTCCAGAAATACCGGGTGTGACAAAGTCGCTTCGGAATCACCAGGTGACTCAAAAGCAGCTCCCGTAATGGTGACGAGCCACATAAAAGACAGGTGAGGAGCCATGCATACAAGGTGAGGAACCATGCATACAAGGTGAGGAACCATACATAGAATTCTCAAAATGTTGACAAACGAGGGATGTAAAATAAGCAGGGTGACAAGGTGACTCAAAAGTCAGGGTGACAAGGCGACTCATAAGGCAGGGTGACAAGGTGACCCCTCCCATTCAACCTCCTCTTCCCTACCCCCTCTCTCTCACCCCATCCGTGCACCCTTCCTGTTCAACCCCTCCTGGCCCATGCAGAGCTGATGCTGGTGGGCTTCATCTCCATCGTGCTGGCTCTCATCGACCCGCTCATAGTAGAACCCTTTCAACCTCCTCCCCAACCCCTCCCATTCACATCCCTTTAAACCCCTGCCATTCCCCCCCAACCATGCAGAGTTGATGCTGGTAGGCTTCATCTCCATCGTGCTGGCTCTCATCGACCCGCTCATAGTCCAATGGTGCATCGCCATCCCCCGCTCCACCATCTTCATCCCATGCAAGCCCCCATCCTCGTCCCCTGCGCCACCCGCCTCCGAGTCTGCACCGCCCGCCTCCGAGTCTGCACCGGCCGGAAATACTGCGCACCTGGGGCTGTCTGATGGGCGGCAGCTGCTGTCCGGGCGGCACGGGTTCGACAGGCGGCAGCTGCTGGGCGCATTGACGCATGGGATGCAGCATGCTGAGCACAGTGGTGGTTACAACCACCATGGTCACCTTGATGATGGTTACCACCGTAATGGTGGTTACCATCATGGTGGTTACCAACAAAGTGGTTACCATCACATGAGCAGGAGGGTGCTGTCCAGCTCAGAAAACACATGCCCATCTGTAAGTTGTCATTCCATTCCATTCCATTCCAGTATGATTACCATGAGGGTGGTTACCACAACAGTGGTTACCATGAGATGAGCGGGGGGTGTTGTCCAGCTCAGAGAACACATGCCCATCTGTAAGTTGTCATTCCATTCCATTCCTCTCCACCCGTGAATCATGCCAATCCAATCATGAGTCATGCCATGCCACCCCATGCGTCATGCCATGCTACCCCATGCGCCATGCCATGAGTCATGCAATGAGTCATCATGACATGCCATGAGTCCTGCATGTTCCCCCAACCTTGTCCCACCAGGGCTAGGAGCTCTTCAAATTGCCAGCAGGCGTGCACCAGGTGCATCTCTTCATCTTCTCTCGCACCCCGGGCCATCGCATGCGTTCCTTGTCCCCTATTCTCCCAACCCCCGCCCCCACTTTCCCTCCACCCTTGTCCCCATCAGGGTCAAGAGCCCTTCATGTCGCCATCGGGAGTGCACCAGTTGCATCTCTTCATCTTCTTCCTTGCCTTGGGACACATCCTCTACTCCTGCATCACCATCATCATCGCCCACCGGCGGGTTAGTGCGCCTGTGCCTGATAGCCAGCTGTTTGAGTCAACTCACAAGGCACCTCTTCATCTTCTTCCTCGCCCTGGGGCACATCCTCTACTCCTGCATCACCATCATAATTGCCCACCGACGGGTTAGTGCATCCGGGCCACCGAATGACTCAAAATCCAGATGTTTTGAGTCGACTCAGAAGTCAAGAGGTTTGAGTCGGCTCAGAAGTCAAGAGGTTTGAGTCGACTCAGAAGTCAGGAGCCGTGAGGCACATTCTCTACTCTTTTGCATCAGTATCCTCATCGCTCACAGATGGTTCTGTTGTTGGTCTGTGGAACCAGCATTATCTCTCAAGCAGCATACCTTTCACAGCCAATCGACCCAGTAGATGAATTTCATATTTGTCTAACTGAATGAAACTCTCTCTCAGGTGATGCGCTGGAAGAGCTGGGAGGCGGAAGCACTCAAGAAGTCGCTTGAGATGGAAACCGTGCCTGTTTCAGGTGTGGATTTCAGGTATGGGTGTCAGGCATGGGTGTCAGGCATGGGCGTCAGGTATGGGTGTCAGGTATGGGTGTCAGGTATGGGTGTCAGGTATGGGTGTCAGGTATGGGTGTCAGGTATGGGTGTCAAGTACGGGTGTCAGGTACAAGTGGCAGGTACCGGTGTCAGGTATGGGTGTCAGGCAGGTACGGGTGTCGGGTTCGGGTGTCTGTCAGATATGGGTGTCAGGTACGGATGTCAATGATGGGTATCAGGTATGGGTGTCAGATACAGGTGTCAGGTATGGGTGTCAAGTACGGGTGTCAGATACAGGTGTCAGGTATGGGTGTCAGGTATGGGTGTCAGGTACAGGTGTCAGGTTCGGGTGCCAGGTTCGGGTGTTAGGTGCAGGTGTCAGGTTCGGGTTTCAGCTCCATTGCAGAACTGGGCCTTCCAGCACCGCCTCACCACAGCAATGCTCTCACTGTTCCCCTCCCCCCTTATCCCCCCTCCCCTCTCCTCCCCCCTTATCCCCCCTCCCCTCTCCTCCCCTCATGCACCTACTTCTCCAAGCTGACTCTCACTGCACGACTCAGCCTTCAAGCACCGCCACGGCGCTGCTCTTTCTGCTCCCCTCGCCACTTATCGCCCCTTCCCCTCTCCTTCCCCCTCCTCACCCCATCCACGTATGGCAGGTCAACTGACCCTCGCGCAGATTTCGATGCGTCCTCACGCCGTGTCTCCCACTCAAACACCTTCTCCAGGCCACTCTTCCCCCCATGCACGCACTCCAGGTCAACTGACCCTCGCCCTGTATTACTCTGCCTTTCAGCACCACCACGGCGTGGATTTCAATGAATCCTCCTCCCGGCACACAGTTGTTGATTTACCTTCACAATCCCCCAACTCCCCTTTTCCCCGCTCCCCCCCCCAACTTCCTCCCCCTGTGGCAGGCCAGTTGACCCTCGCACTGCAGGATTCGGCCTTTCAGCATCGCCACGGGGCGGATTTCAATGCGTCCTCACGCCGTGTCTCCCACTCGCATACATTCTCCGGTCCCATCTTCCACTCCACCCGCCTCTTCCGTTCGGGGCCCCTCACCTCCTCCACCACCGCTTCCATCGCCCAGCGCTCCCGAAGCATTTCCCACCACGACAGCGGCGCCTCCTCCTTTTTCTCCCGCCTCCCGTCCTTCTCCTCCTCCTTCCGCCTCCCGCATTCTGCCCCATTCCCTGCACGAGACTCCTCGTCTGGGCGAATTAACCAGACGCTAGAGCCCTGGCACAGCGACCAGGCGTCAGCACACTTAACAAAAAGGCATTTCAAACATGCACACTCAAAGGAAACGTGCTCAAAGGAAACACACTCAGAAGAGCAGACCGGGCAGTCTTGGAGAAAAGGGCCGGAGCACTTGAACCAGTCGCTGCCGCGGCCTTTGGGTTTTGAAGCGTCTCAAACAACCCATACACTAGCATCTGTGTGTGAATCCCCAGAGCACGCATCTGGATCAGACTCGCACTGCAACAAACCCCCAACTGCTCAGCCCCGGGCACACTCGAGCCAAACCCATGAGCTGCCAACCCCCACCTCCTCCTCTTCCCCCTCCCCCCGCTCCTCCGCCTCCTCGTTCTTTCCGTTCCTAGGCAGCTGGCATCCCTCAGCCTACGTTCATATGACGAAGGAAACACCGCCCTCCCTGGTTCCGGATAACACTGAAGGAGGGCGTAGGGGAGGAGGAAAGAAGGTTGGGGTTGATTCTTGCTCTTCCCCTGCGTCTGCTGCTGCTGCTACTGCTGCAGTGTATGGTTCTGTTACCCGTTCTTCTTCTTCCGTTTTTGCTGCTGCTTCTGCGGCGGGTCCTGCCGAGTCTGTTTCTGCGTCTGTCGAGTCCCCTGCTGCTGCAGCAGCAGGAACACAGAAGGAGGGCTTGATAAGGAAAAGGGAGGTGCACTTTACCCCGAGCACCAAGGGAAGCAGCAGGAGTAATAGAGATGGTAGCAGCTGTGGTTATGGTGGGGGTGGCGGTAGTAGTGAGGGTTATGGTGGCGAGGATGAAGGGAGTGAGGGTGAAGGGAGTGAGGGTAATGAGAGTGAGGGTGATGAAGGTGCATTCGAACTTGATGAGTATGATGAGGTGGTTGCATGGGCGGATGGAATGGTTGAAAACGGTGGGGAGGCTGGGGAGGATGATGGGATGGAATGGGAGGGCGAGGGAATCGCAGAGGAGGAGAGAGGGAGGGTGAGGAGAGAGGGAGGTGATAAGGGAACGGGAGAAAACAGGCAGTTGGGTAGGAAGAACGTGGGAGGGGGAGGAGGGGGAGGGGGAGGGGGTGGAGGGGGAGGAGGAGGAGGGGGGGGAGGAGAGGCAGGGGAGGGGGAGGTTGGGGGTGGAGACAAGGAGGGGGAAGGAGAAGATGAAGAGGAGGTGGAAGGCGGGGAGGGGGAGGAGGGCACAGCACGTGTGGATGCGAGCGGGCATCTGTCTGCTTGGCACTCGCTCCTCCTCACCTATGTAAGACTGCACCACACCACACTGCACCGCACCACACCACTGTATGCAAGGAGAAAACGTAGAGGAGGTGGAGGGTAGAGTGGGAGAGGAGGGCACAGCGCGTGTGGATGCGAGTGGGCATCTGTCTGCTTGGCACTCTTTCCTCCTAACCTATGTAAGACTGCACCACACCGCGCTGCACTGCACTGCACCACACCACACCACGACACTCCACAGCACCACATCACACCACCGTACCACAGCACCACACCACACCACATCACCGCACCCTCTGCTCTGCCCTGCTCCCCTGCCCCCGTGCTCCCCTGCTCCCTTACTTCCCTACCCACCTGCTCCCCTGCTCCCCTGCTGCCCTGCTGCCCTGCGCCCCCACCACCCAACACCAGAAAGCCACGACACAGCAGATACTGGCACCATTGTCGTCGAACCCTAAACCCATTTCTTGATTGCTCCCCTGCCCTCCTGCTCCCTTTCTCACACCAGAAAGCAGCGACCCAGCAGATACTGTCGCCCATCACACCAAAATCCTAAACCCCAAACCCTAACCCCGTGGCTTCTCCCCTGCCTCCCTGTGCTCTGTGCCCCCGCTCCTCACACCAGAAAGCGGCCACCCAGCAGATACTGTCGCCCATCACACAGCTCGACTACACCACCCTGCGCCTCGCCTTCATCCATGTGAGATGCACTAAACCCCAAACTCTAAATCTGAAATCTGAAACCATAATTCTCACTGCTGGTGGTGCCCATAACACAGCTCGACTACACCACCCTGCGCCTCGCCTTTATCCATGTGAGGAGCACTAAACCTCAAACACAAAATCTATCATCTAGTGGTGTCCATCACAATGCTCGACCACACCACCCTGTGACTCACCTTCATCCATGTGGGATTCACTGAACCTTAAACCTGAGATCCTCAAATTTGAATTCTGAAACTCCAACTCTCATTTCAACTTGCGTGCCTGTGTGCTGCGTGGCACTTCTGCTGCGTTGCCTCTTCCCACTGTTGCCTCTCCCCACTGTTGCCTCTCCCCCCTTGCCCCACTTTCTTCCCTTGCCCCGCCTGCCAAACAACGACCTCCTCAAAGAACCATGGCCTACCCCGTGACTTCAACTTCCATGCCTGTGTGCTGCGGGCGCTGGAAAAGGACTTCATCAGCATGGTGGGCACCACGTGAGTGCCTTTGACTCCCCTTGACTTTGACTCCCCTTGACTGTAACTCCCCTTGACTTTGACTTGCCTTGACTCGTCTTGACTCACCTTAACTTTGACTCGCCTTGACTCGCATTGACTTTGACTCACCTTGACTCCCCTTGACTCGCCTTGACTCGCCTTGACTCCCCTTGACTCGCCTTGACTCGCCTTGACTCGCCTTGACTCGCATTGACTCGCATTGACTCGCATTGACTCGCATTGACTCGCCTTGACTCTCTGTCCTCTGTATTCTTGCAGTTGGTACATCTGGCTCTCAGTCGTGGCCATCATTCTCGTCAGCAGCTACGGTCAGTAACCCATAAAAGGGTGGGATGGGATGGGATGCGCAGCGAGAGGGTTGGATCGGCAGTGGCAGGGTGTGTGCATGCATGTCATTGTCACAGTTGGTACATCTGGCTCTCAGTGGTGGCCATCATTCTCGTCAGCAGCTACGGTAAGCCAGCAGCAGTGCGAGAGAGGGGTGGGGTGGGCAGTGAGAGAGAGAGTGGGATGGGCTTAGAGCTATGGGCATGTATGTCATTGTCGAAATCAAAACATCTAGCTCACAGTCGTGGCCATCATTTCTCCTCACCAGCTATGGTCAATAAGCCGTGCACAGCCAGTATGCCATCCCATGCGCCTCGTGCCATCAAATGCGCCTCGTGCCATTAAATGCTCCTCGTGCCATCCCATGCTCCTCGTGCCATCCCATGCTCCTCGTGCCATCCCATGCTCCTCGTGCCATCCCATGCTCCTCGTGCCATCCCATGCTCCTCATGCCATCCCATGCTCCTCATGCCATCCCATGCTCCTCATGCCATCCCATGCTCCTCATGCCATCCCATGCTCCTCATGCCATCCCATGCTCCTCATGCCATCCCATGCTCCTCATGCCATCCCATGCTCCTCATGCCATCCCATGCTCCTCATGCCATCCCATGCTCCTCATGCCATCCCATGCTCCTCATGCCATCCCATGCTCCTCATGCCATCCCATGCTCCTCATGCCATCCCATGCTCCTCATGCCATCCCATGCTCCTCATGCCATCCCATGCTCCTCATGCCATCCCATGCTCCTCATGCCATCCCATGCTCCTCATGCCATCCCATGCTCCTCATGCCATCCCATGCTCCTCATGCCATCCCATGCTCCTCATGCCATCCCATGCTCCTCATGCCATCCCATGCTCCTCATGCCATCCCATGCTCCTCATGCCATCCCATGCTCCTCATGCCATCCCATGCTCCTCATGCCATCCCATGCTCCTCATGCCATCCCATGCTCTCCTCGTGCGTGCCTTCCCATGCTTCCGTCTCTCAATCAAGCATCCCTCAATCCCCTCCCTTTGCTCCTCTTCCTCACCTTCCTCTTCTTTTTGCTCTACCCCACTCACCCCCGTTCCCACCCCCCCACCCCCCTTCTCCCCCTCCCCCCTGATTGTCATCACGGCAGTGTGGGACGACTCAATCATCATAACAGTTCTCGGATTTCTGGTAAGAGTCACCTGAAGCTACTGTTGCTGTTGGTGTTGCTGTTGGTGTTAGTGTTAGTGTTAGTGTTGGTGTTAGTGTTAGTGTTGTTGTCAGCTTAGCCCCTTTTCCCTTCCCCTCTCACCACCAGCTATCCCTGGCAGTGGGAACGAAACTCGAGTTCATCATGCCACAACTGGCTCTGTAGAGCGCACATGTCAAGTGGGGCATAACACGTAATGACAGTACCCCTCCCTCCACCCACCAGCTATCCCTGGCAGTGGGCACGAAGCTTGAGTTCATCATGGCTCAGCTGGCCCTCGAGAGCGCACATGTCAAGGGGGCAGCCACAGGCGCGCACTTAAAGCCACGCAACTCCCTCTTCTGGTTCCACCGCCCACGCCTGCTGCTCCACATCATGCATTTTGCGCTCTTTCTGGTGCGGCTTTTGTTTTTGCTTGTTTTTTTTTTTGGGTTTTTTCTCCAGTTTTCTCAAATATCCTCTCCTTCCATTTTTCTCCTTCCTCTTTTTTATTCTCTCGCCTATCCTCTTCAATGCCTTGAAAAGCTTCATGTCACATTCCTTCTCTTCTCCTCTTCTCCTCTCCAACCCTCCGTCCCTCCTCCTTTCCCCTCCAACCCCACCTCTCCCCTCGTTTGCTTATGTACAGAGCTCATATGCCTTGGGAAGCCTCATGTTTTATTTGGTGAGTTGCCATGCACGCGTGGTATGGTATGGTTCCATGCACACATAGTATGGTATGGTGTCATGCACGCATAGTATGGTATGGTGTCATGCACGCATAGTATGGTATGGTGTCATGCACGCATAGTATGGTATGGTGTCATGCACGCATAGTATGGTATGGTGTCATGCACGCATAGTATGGTATGGTGTCATGCACGCATGGCATGACGCCATGCACACATGGTTGATATCATAATCAGTATTGCATATCCTTGGCATGCGTACCCATGCCTCTCCCTCCCCCACCCCTAAACCCTCCGTCTTCACCCACCCCATCGCCCTCTTTCCAATCCCTTCCCCCGTTATCCTCTTCTCCCTTAGTCTGATTCTCCCTTATCCTCTCCATCCCTGTTTCCCTGTTTTTCTTTTTTTTTTTCTCTTCTCTCCCACTGTTTCCTACTTATAAGCCACCCACAATGCACCTCCTAAACCACAGTGTTCCTCGATCTCATCCCCAGGCCTCCCTTCTCCCCCACCTCTCCCACTTCGTCTCCTCACTCCCTTCCTCCTCCCCCCACAGTACCTACTGGCAAAACACCAGCAATGAACCCCCTCGCACATGTGCCTACTCAATCTCACAGCCCAGGTGGCTCGTCCATCCCTGTTCCCTTCCTTCCCGCCTCCTCACTCCCTTCCTCCTGCCGCCACAGTACCTTCTGGCAAACCACCAGCAGTGCACCTCCGCACCCACATGGCTCCCTGGTCTCAAGTTCGCAGTCATTCTTCTCACTCTCCTCGTCACCAGCCTCGCCTCGCTGCCTCTCTACGCCCTTGTCACACACGTAAGTGCTGGATTGTCTTTTGGTAGGGCCCTCGGAATAACCTGTTTTCAGTCCACATGACTTTAGGCTGGTGACTCTTCTCATCACCAGCATCAGCTCGCTGCCTCTCTACGCCCTCGTCACACACGTAAGCTATCCATAGGCCCCTCAAAGTAGCGCTTTCTTGACACCAGGAAGTCTACATGGCTATTTTTTTAGGCGCCTCAAAAATCGCTCCTGAAGCATGTAAGCTCTTGATAGGCCCGTTAGTATAGCGATTTCTCGGTTTACATGGATTCAGGCTGAAAGCTCTCCTCATCATCAGCATCAGCTCGCTGTCTCTCTACGCCCTCGTCACACATGTAAGGGCTTCGTAGGAGGAGCTGATAGAAATGGAGCTTGAACTGATTGATTAGAATAGAAGGCACTAATACAAACAAGATTGGGTTGAGCAAAGCTAGGAAAAGGATGGGATGGAAATCCAAGCAAATCTCTAATGGTGAGTTGGCAGATTTGTTGGATTACGAGGGAATCCCAACCGCATAGGGTTGGGATTACAAATCTACACCCAACCCGCAAATAACCTAAAGCATATAAACTAGAGTACACAAAAGTGTTGACAGCCTATTTCTAACACACACTTGGTCACACTGGGTCACGCGTGGTCACACTTGGTCACACATGGTCACGCTTGGTCACGCTTGGTCAAACGTGGTCACGCTTGGTCAAACTTGGTCACGCTTGGTCAAACTTGATCACACATGGTCACACCTGGTCCCACCTGGTCACACTTGGTCACACTTGGTCACGCTTGGTCACACTTAGTCACTCCTGCTTGGTCCTGCTTGGTCACACTTGGTCACGCTTGGTCACACTTGGTCACGCTTGGTCACTCCCGCTTGGTCACGCTTGGTCCCGCTTGGTCCCGCTTGGTCACGCTTGGTTACGCTTGGTCACACTTGGTTACGCTTGGTCACACTTGGTTACGCTTGGTCACACGTGGTCACACTTGGTCACACTTGGTCACGCTTGGTCACACATGGTCACACTTGGTCACACTTGAGGTCATTCATGCTGCAGAACTGGATTTTGAAATTGAGGAAGTCTGAAATGCGGAAAAATGTGATTTCGGCAATAAGAGCCCGGATTCTGGTCTGCTGCTCTGCTTCGCCGCTGCCCCTTTTCCGCTTCTCTGCTGCGTCGCTGACCTGTTCTGCTGCGCTGCTGAGCCTGTTCTGCTGCGCCGCTGAAACCTGTTTGAAGTTAAGAAGTTGAGAAATTTGCCACGAAAAAATATAATTCCAGAAGCTTACTATGAAGGAAGTTGAAGAGTGAATTTGTCACCGTTGTAATCGAAAATGCGCGATGCAGGAAGGCGAATGCGGTGTTGACGGGCGCAAAGATGTGAAGTCAGAAAACGCTAAGCGGAGGAGCCGGAAGCCGAAATAGGCATAGCTTAGAGGAAGAAAACCATCGTGACGCCAAGGATCGGATTCCGCGTTTGCGGAATTTACTAGCTCAATATCATGATAGAAATGGAGCTTGAACTGATTGATTAGAATACAAAGCACTAGGCCTTAAGTACAAACAAGGTTGGGTTGAGCAAAGGTAAGAAAAGGATGGGATGGGAATCCAAGCAAATTTCCAATGGTGAGTTGGCAGATTTGTTGGATTACAGGGGAATCCCAACCGGATAGGGTTGGGATTACAAATCTACACCCATCCCACCCTAAACCCTAAAGCATATAAGTAGAGTACACAAAATGTTGACAGCCTATTTCTAACAGGAGCCTCGTGACATGTGCAAGTTCTCTATTTATAGGTGTTACACTTCAAAATGGAAAGAAATGCTACATAGGCGGATGCTCCACCTTTCCCCTCACCTCCTCTGCTCCACCTTCCCTCGCCTCCTTTGCGCCACTCTTCCCTCACCTCCTCTGCTCTGCTCTACTCTCACCTCCTCTGGTACCCTTCCCTCCTCCAGATGGGCAGCAAGCCACAGGGAACAATCGTATTTGTCTAACGTGCTGGCAAGGCTCGGGTCGTGACGAGGCAGACTGTATTGTAAGACGTCTCCAAAACCATACCTTCCTCCCCTCTCCCCGATATCCACCAGATGGGCAGCAAGCCACGGGGAGCGATCGTATCGGCGCACGTGCTGGCAAGGCTCAGGTCGTGGCGAGGCAGACACAAGCAGAGCGAGTCCCGATGGGGGCAGGCACTTGTGAAAGTTAAAGCCCAGGCACCAGATGAAGTGGAAGCGGACTAGGAGAATGACATAGGGAGCTCAATATAAAGCCCAACCAAGCACCAGGTGAAGGAGAAGCATACTTGAATGACTCAATAATGAGAGAAGGCAGGAAGTACCAATTGCAAGATGACGTCATCTGTGTAGCATTTTAGTGTAGGTAGGGGTAGGTGGGTAAACGGGAGTTTTGTAGTTGTTATTCATGTTGGAAACATATAGTTCGTGTTTCTGATGAGTCGATCACTACAATGTAAGCGAAGCGAACTACAACGAAGCAACAGCGAGTCAACCAAAGCGGTTGACAGAAAGACAACAACAAGAGGTTAAGTGAAGGTCAAAGGTCAGCGACCTTTGACTCGCCGAAAAGCAGCGCGACAGCAAGGACACATAACTGACTCGTTATTGAGCAGTTACCCGAGTCGTCGCTGTAACGAACCGCAACAGCAGTTACAGTTAGTTAAACCTTTCATATTCCTTGTTCTAATATAAAACCTTGTATCTCTTTGCTATTATCAACTTATCTTGTTCTCACATACCAGTGCAAGGTGGTTCAACCAGTTCACTACGGTAATACGCTTCCGCTAATACCGTACATCACTATTTTGAGCCTTAGTATTGAAATGGATCCTTAGGGCTTTTCTCAGCCCAACAATTCATCCAGCCTGCTGAATTTCTTTCTCTGTTCAGAACTTCAGCATCTATTGATGTCACATCTGTTTTCTCAGCTTTTTTCTACAGTTGTGTAACAAATTCTGAAGAGCCAAAACCAAAAATATGTACTCTTCATACGCATCAAGGAGCACAGTGCATACACGGTATCAGCAATTGTTACACAGTACAGTACGTAGGCAACTGCTTCAAAGGATGGAAACATGCTCTTCCTCTGTCTCTACACTGCCAGACCCTGCCCAGTCTGGTTGCAGATGGTGTACAGCTGCACGTGCGAGAGAGGGAAGTGCGGAGGGGAAGTGGGGAGGGGAAGGGGGAAGGGGAGGCGGAGCTGCATTTCATGCAATGGAAACACGCTCCTCCCTCCGTCTCTACACTGCCAGGCCCTGGCCAGTCTGGTTGCAAATTGTGTACAGCTGCACGTGAAAGAGAGGGCGGGCGGGGTGGGGGAGGGAAAGACGCGGGGTATGGGGTATGGTTTAACGAAACTCAAAAGCCAAATGAACTACTATGCAAGAACACATGCATTCTTCTCGGATCACACAGGCACCACCCATGCCAGCACTCACCAGCCATGCCATAGACACACCACACTCACCGAGGAAGTTATCCCTGGCGGAAACAAAACCCGGTCTATTCCATGAACGATGCCGTTATACCCTGCGAATTTATTCGGCTCAACCACCCTCGCGCCCTCCACAGTCACCGCTGTTGCCGCCCGGGTCACAAGCACATTGGTGTTAGCAAGGGTGAAATATCGCCGCCCGTCAAAGAGCGCAGATTGTGGGAAGTTTCCGTGGAGGATGTGGTGGTTGAGAAGGATGGCTAGCATGGGCCCGGACCGGGTGTAATTGGCGAGGCATGAAGTGTATGGGCCGAGGATCTGGGAGGAATTTGGGGGAGAATCGGTGGTGGGGAGGGGTGCAATGGACACGAGCATGATTGAAGCTGGGGATAGCTGGAAAAGTCCACCCACTCACCAGAAAGAAGGCTGGTTACCAGCATGCAGTGGTTACCAGCACGCAGTGGTTACCAGCATGCAGTGGTTACCAGCATGCAGTGGTTACCTGGAAGGCGGCACTAGAGGGTGCGAGGATGGTGATGCCGTTTGCCATGCCCACAGCCCCGTTGAGGAAAGCGACATAGTCCATGGGGGGCTGAAGGGATGCCATGGCTTGCACGAACATGGAATAGTCTGAGGCCGCTGGGCTCTGGTGGGAGAGGGTGGGAGGGATGGGCGTGGGGAAAGGAAGAGATATGATGCCATGACAGACCCCCCCACTTGAGGAAAACAGCATAGTCCATGGGGGGCTGAAGGGATGCCGTGGCTTGCACGAACATGGAATAGTCCGAGGCCGCTGGGCTCTGGTGGGAGAGGAGGGAGGGAGGAATGGTGTGGAAAACAAAGGAAAATAATGGAATATCTGTTGCCGTGTTGAGGTGCGTGGGGATGACGACATAGTCCATGGGGGGCTGATGGGACGCCATGGCTTGCACGAACATGGAATAGCTGGATGCCGCTGGGCTCTGGGAGAAAAGGAGGGAGGGAGGGAGGGAGGGAAGGACGGAGGCGGGGGAAAGGAGGTGAGAAGGAAAGCGTAATTCGGAGCTCAAACGGCAACAAGGAAGGAGTACAATCTTTCATTTCTCAGTTGGGACACGGACTGAAAACCGCACTTGAACGTTTTGAACCGCCTCAAAACTCATCTCATTTCTCAGCTAGAACGAACACTGACTGAAAACCGCACCTGAAGGTCGCCGAAAATCCCCGCCACGGGAAGAGGCGGGTTGTTGCTGTTGCTGCCATCAGCCCCCGGTGCTAGAATCTCAACCTCACTCGCGCGGGTGGTAACCCCAATTCGCCTGCTGCCGCGAAAGTCTCGCAGCGGCACCGCAGCGACGGTCGTAACTCCCGAGGGATTCAGCGGGAGCACAGTCAGTACGAACAGCACCACAAATAACACCATCGCAAACGAGACAAATCCGTTTCTTCCTCCAAAAGTTTTGAGAAAAGCAGTCATGGAAAGTCCTGGATGTGCTACTTGCCGTCGGAAATTCTTTGCGTTAACACACTACTAGAGAACAGCGATAAACGCGAGGATGTGACGGTCAAGAAATCCCTTACGACAGTCACCTTCGTACTTTAGCAGACTTACGACACGCGTGCTCAGCGGTCGTAGGGGCGGTAGTCTCACTACTCTCGCGGATTCTCTCTGGAAAAGCTCTCGCAATCAGCTTATTACAACTCTCGCGCTGCTCTGTGGCAAAGGCACGGCTTCGACACGACCTGTAACGAACCTAGACGAGGTAGTGCTTCGTCCTAAGGCTAGTATGCCGCGAACGAGACGAACGAGCAGCGAAAGCAATGTCCATGACGGTAACTTCGACGGTGAAGTTAACGGAACAGCTCCAGTGTCGAGGCGACGGCACTGGCCGTCACCCTGTTGGAGCATCACACATCGGCCATGGGATGCAAACCAGTGGCCAATATCAGTCCCGCATAACAATAAACGATGGCCCATGTCACTGAAGCTGCCTGGATGCCTTGGGATGAACTATGCACCATTCTATTTAGCCTAGCTGTTGCGATGGCGCTTCGCCTAGTGGGACGACTGCTGTCCGCCATGCAGCGCGTTTCACGGCTGGACGAGGCAAATTCAACATCAGGAGTACTGTATCCAGGTGGTTTCAGAAGGGGTGAATTGGAAAAACAATGCTCATTTCAGAAGGGGTGAATCGTCCCTGGACGGTTCAGAAGGGCTTTCCATCGGTTCACAGCGTTCTTACCGGAACGCACCCAACAAAACCGTGGCACGTGACTTGAGAGCCTTCGGCACAGCGAGCGAATACAAGGAAACTCGTAACTAATCACAACACTAGGATAAAACACTACACCAAACCTATAAAAGGCAACACCAAACTAGAGACTAGTCCCTACATTGCGTGCTCCTATGCACTACACATCCAAGCCAGCTACAGTTTACATAGAGGACGATTCGTGCTAACTACATTTCATGAGAAACCACTGGAAAAGGCTAAAACTCTTTGCATATTCCAAGCATCTAAGCAACATTCAGCCATCCGTTGCGAATCCATTCCAAGTGAACTAATATGGAGGCCCCTGTACTCCCAGTATAAGTATGCTCATACCATTCATGCATATCAGCAACAGTCGGCCACCCGTTGTAGCATCCACCTCCGTCCAATCCTCCTCCACACCAGTCTAAAAACACCATTCACATGCCCGTGCCCATGCCCATGCTCATGCCCATGCCCGTGCCCATGCCCGTGCCCATGCCCGTGCCCGTGCCCATGCCCATGCCCATGCCCATCCCCATGCCTATGCCCATGCTTATGCCCATCACCAGCATCCCCCTTTTCCCCCGCCTTCCTCTTCCTCCCTTTCACCTTCAACTCCTCCACCTCTCCTTCCCCTTTCCGCTTCATCCCAGTCATAACTTCCCCCTTCCTAGCATCAGGCACCTTTCCCTCCACACCGGCCCCTTTCTCCCTCTTACGGCTCGCTTTCTCCCCCTCTCTTCCCCTCTCTCCCACACCTACCTCCTCTCCACCCACACCAGCCTCTCCTTCCTCTCCCTCCTCTCCCACATCTCCCCTCCTTCCCTCCCACTCACCTGCCTCCTCTCCTTCTTCTCCCTCTTCCCCTTCATCCACCTCCCCCTCCTCTCTCTCATCACCCCCCTCCACCTCCACACCCCTCCCCTCCCCTCCTTCTCCCAACCCACCACCAGCAGCCCCCTTGATTCCCACCTCTAGACCCTTATTCAGCCCACCACCATCTTTCTCATGCATTCTCGCTTGGTCACTCTCTCCCTCCACCCGTGCCCCGAGACCCAAACGCTTCATCCCACCATCCTCTAGAATCCCAGCCCGTGTCACCACGTCATCAAAGCTAAACCCCTCTCCACCGTCCGATCCTGGTGAATCCGACGATCCCCGCGTGCTCACCGCACTCCCACCTCCCTCAGAACTACTCCCACTATCGCTCTCTCCCCTCTCCTCTCCCCTCTCCTCTCCCCTCTCCTCTCCCCTCTCCTCTCCCCTCTCCTCTCCTCCATCTTCCCTTGCTTCTTCCCGTCCCCCTTCCTCTCCTCCTTCCTCCGCTGCCCACTCACTCCCCCCTCTCTCTCCCTCCTCTGCTCCATTCCCCCCACGCCCTCTCTTCTTCCTCCTCTTCCCCCTTGCCTTCTCCTCCACCTCCTCCTCCTCCCCCTCATCCTGCTCCCACGCCCGGTCTAGAGCACCAGCCAGATTCACCTGCCTCAGATCTACCTCCCCCTCCTCTTCACCCCCCTGTCCCGCACACCCACTCCCCGGTGCATTCATTTTCAACCCCCCTCCACTGTAAGCAGCAGTACCCCCTGAAGACTTTGAGTCGGCTTTCACCCAGGATTTGAACGATGCCTCCCGCTGCACACTGCGCATCAAAGGAATTCCATCCTCCTCACTCTCCTCTCCCTCCTCACTTTCCTCCTCCTCTCCCTCCTCTCGTTCCTCATCCCCTCCCCCCTCCTCCCACTCCGGCCCTTCTTCCCACTGCGCATCTGCTTCCTCTTCCTCCTCCTCCTCAGAATAATCTTCCTTCTGCTTCCTCCCTTCCGCCTGAATCTTCTTTCCCCTTTCCACATCCGCCCTCTTGCCCTTCTCTTCTCCCTCATCCGTCACTATATCCCAGCCTTGCCTCTCCTCTCCAACCCTTCCCTGCTTAGGCACTTGAGGCGCTTCCATTCCTTTCCTCTGCTTACCGGGTGATCGTTTCTTCCTGCCCAAACCCCCAGGTTCCCCAGCTGCAGGAAATTCACCTGCCCGAGTTCTGCTTCGAGCTTCCGCCAGAGCTTTAGCTCGGGCAACCTGCACCAGACAGGGGAACAGCACGGCTTGGTGAGAGGATCAGCAATTAATGAGGTTCTCGCGGTGTCTAAAGAAGCGAAAAGAGAACAAATACGGTGTCACAAGCACTGACCTTCAATCTAGCTGTGTGCCGCAGGTGGGCAACCATGGGCATGGCATGGCAGCGCGCGTGAGCAGCGAGCATCATAGCACGACCTAGAGTACATCTAGCTGTTTGGCGCAGGTGGGCAGCCATGGCCATGGCATGGCAGAATGCATGGGTGCGAGCATCATACAGCACTCCCTAGAGTCCATCTCAGCAGGGCATAGGCAGGGAGTAGACGCACTGACCTTGGATCTAGCCGTTTGGCGCAGTTGGGCAGCCATGGCCATGGCAGCGCGCACAGAGTTCTTATAGCTCGAATACCTGCAACACACATATCCGGGGGAAGCGGAGGAATGCGGGCTAGTTGAAGGGACAACGGACGGATGGAGGATGCCGAGGTTGAGGTGGGAAGACAGGAAAGGTTTGACAGGTGGGCGGAAGCACAGGAATCAGACTCTGGCCAGGTTGACATACCATCCCTCCCACCTCCCAGCCTTTCTTACCCATCAGTCCGCACTGACCTTCCGACTCGCACCACCTGCTGCTGCATCAGCTCCATCTGCCACTTCATCTCCGCCCTCATCCGCTGCAGCTGTCTATAATCCTTAACCCCTTAAACCCCCCTTTTCCCCCAACCACCCCCCCTCTTATAGATCTTACCTTCGAGCTCGCACCACCTGCTGCTGCATCAGCTCCATCTGCCACTTCATCTCCGCCCTCATCCGCTGCACCTCTCTCACAGCTGCCTCCTTCTCCCGCCTCTCCCTCTCCAGCTCCTCCCTCATCGCCTCTTCCTTCTCTCTTTCCTCTTTCTCTCGCGCCTCCTTCTCCCTCGCTTCTTTTGCTCCTGCTTCCTTCTCCCGCCTCTCCCCCTCCAACTTCTCCCTCACTGCCTCTTCGTTCTCCCTCGCCTCTTTCTCTCTCACCTCCTTCTCCCTCTCCTCTGCCTCCCTCGCCTCCTCCCTCCTCTCCCTCTCCACCTCCCCAGAGGCCACGGTCCCCCCTGGACCAGGAGCCACCTCCTCTCCTCTCTCCTCCTCCAGCTGCTCGTCACACTCCACTACCATGCCGCCTCCTGCACTCTTGGCAGCAGCAGCAGCAGCAGCCGCGTCAGCATCAGCAGCAGCAGCACCAGCGTCAGCATCAGCACCAGCAGCACCAGCGTTAGCAGCAGCAGCAGCAACGACACCACCAGATCCGGCACCAGAACCAGCACCACCAGCAGCAGCAGCACCATCAGCCTCCAGCTCCTTTTTCTCCCCAACCACTCCTTCACTCACGCCTGCCTCTGCTCCCACCCCTCCCTCCCCATATTCCCCGCTCACTTGTGCTGCATCCACGTTCTTCACTCCTCCCCCTGAACCCGCCTCTTGGCGCATAGCGGAGTTGCTAGTCTCGAGGCACATAGCAGCATCCACGTTGCTTCCTGACGGTGTCGCTTGGCCCTCCCCCACGCCTCCTGCCCTCTTTCTCCTCCTCACATAGACATTCATCTGCCCCTCCTCACACCGCCCCTTCTCCCTCTCTCCTCCCACGCCCTCCTCTCCCTCATCCATCCCTCCCTCCTTCCTCCCCTCCACACTTTCCTTCCGATTACTCGTCTCCCCTTCACCCCCTCCATCCTCATCCCCTCCTCTCTCCTCCTCCCCCCCACCTCCCGCCACACTCCCTTCCTCCTCACTCGTCCTCCCCTGCTTACCCCTCCCACCTCCCCTCCGCCCAGCCTTCGGGCTTCTAGCCTTCTCCTCCCCCTTCTCCTTCTCCTTCCCCTTCCCCGTCGCCTTGCCCACCTCCTTCTCCTCCTCAGCCCTGGCCTTGGCCCTCTCTTTCCCCCGATGCACCGCCTCCTCCTCCTGCTCCTCTTCTTCCACCTCCATTATCCTCTCCTCCCACTCACTAATCCTCTCCAACACCAAACCCTTCCCTTCCCCTTCACCCTCTTCACCTCCCGCCCCCCCAACTCCCTCCGCTCCCCCTGCCCCTCCCCCCGCCCCTTTCGCCTTACTCTCCACCTCCGTTTCCCCCTCCCCTTCCGCGCTCATCCCACTCTCGCTCCCGCCATCCGCCTTCCCAGCGCCCCGCCTCCCCCCTCTCCCCCTCCTCGCCCCTCCCCTCCTCAGCCCAGACAAACTCACACTCACACTCGCACTCGCACTAGCGCTAGCACTAGCGCTCATGCTGCTCCTGTCACTGTCGCTCCCCCCTTCCGGCATCAGTCCAAGAGACCTCCACATGGAACGAGTCATCCTCCTCCCACCAGGAGTAAGCAGCGCTCCTGGCAGCAACCCCTCTACCGCACCCGCCACGCCATCCCCTTGCGCCTTTTGAGGCACCTCCAGAGTCATTCTCCTCCCACCAGGCGTGAGCAGCGCTCCTGGCAGCAACCCCTCGACTGCACCTACCGCTCTGTCCCCTTGCGCCCCCCCTGCTGCCGCCGCTCCCCCTACTACTGTCGCCCCCCCTGCTGCCGCCGCTCCCCCTACTACTGTCGCCCCCCCTGCTGCCGCCGCTCCCAATACTGCTGTCGCCCCCTCTGCTGCTGTCGCTCCCCCTGTTGCTGCCAATCCACCGACTGCTTCTGCCTCTGTTCGCCTCCTCGCGCTCCTACGCCGCGTGCTCGCTGGGGTTGAAACAGGAGTGGCGGTAACAGGCGCTGAGGTGACCAGTGCTGTGGTTTCCGGTGCGGTGGTAACAGGCGCTGTGGTATGCTCAGCTGCTAACGGCTTCTCAGCAGGCTCAGCTGCTAACGGCTGCTCAGAAAGCGTGTCAACAGCCTCGCCAGGACCTGCTGGCTTGTCCGGTGCTTGAGACTGCTCATTAGGCTTGACGACATGCTCCGCAATCTGATCGGCATCCACATGCTGAGTGGGTGCACTATCAATATTCATCTGCTGAGACTGCTTATCAGCTGCATCAGGAGGCTGAGAGGACACGTGGGGTGCACCAGACTGCTCAGCAGGCTTGTCAGCATGCTCGGTACTCTTCTCAGCATCCACATGCTGAGTGGGTTTAACATCAGCTTCCATCTGCTGAGAGTGCTCACCAGCTGCATCAGCAGGCTGAGCAGGCACATGGGGTGAGCCAGACTGCTCACTGGGCTTGTCAGCATGCTCAGTACTCTGCTCAGCATCCACATGCTGAGTGGGTTCAACATCAGCTTCCATCTGCTGAGAGTGCTTATCAACCGCATGGGTTGCTTCAGAATGTCCCATCGTGGAAGCAGGGGGATCTTCAGCCGTGGCAGGCTGGTCGGTGGGATTGTCGGCAGTAGGCGTATTTGCACAAGGCGTGTCAATGGCATCCGTCGGCTGGTCTGACATTTCCGCTGCATCAGATTGCTGAGTAGGCTTATCAGCTACAAAGGTAGGCTCGGCTGCTTCGAGCTGTTGAGTTGACTTCCCAGGCGCATCAGACTGCTGATTAGGCGGGTTCGCTGTTTCAAGATCATGATCAGGCTTATTAGGTGCTTCAGGGTCGTGATCAGGCTTCTCAGGTGCTTTAGACTCCTCAACAGGGTTTTCAGGAGCTTCAGGGTTTTTATCAGGCTCCTCAGGTGATTTAAAACCCTGATCCTGTTCATGCTTCTCCGATGCTTCAGGCTGCTGTGAAGTCGCGTTGTAATGCTTCCCAGTCACATCAGTCTGCTGCTTCTCCAATGCTTCAAGCTGTTGCGAATTCGCGTCATAATACTTCCCAGTCAAACTGGTATGCTGCTTCTCCGATGCTTCAGGCTGCTGTGAATTCGTGTCATGATGCTTTCCAGTCGAATCGGTCTGCTGCTTCTCTTCAGATGCGTCGACCTTCGTTTGACAGACATCGGCCACCTCATCTGACGGTCCACGTGCAACACCCGATGGTCGAGCATCATCTGAAGGAATCTGAGCAGCATCTGACGGTCCTGCAGCATCCGACGGTCCTTGAGCAGCATCGGACGGTCCTTGTGCAGCATCTGACGGTAACTGAGCAACGCCGAAATTTGTTTCGATTTTGACGGCTCTCTGCGCAGAGTTTTCCATCTCAACTGACGTGGTTGCCGCTGCACCGCCAGGATCCAAACCCGTCATTTGATCCATCATCTAAAGCCGTCAGAATGGCATACGAACCACGATTACAAGTCGATTTCGTCTGAAACTTCTACACTGGGTGATAAAGCCTGTTACAGAGAAAGTGTTTCAGCTTAGACCTAAATGCGAACTGCGGAGGTGCTACCCTATCGCAACTCCGACAAGGAAATGACTGGGACTTCCAAAAACTCAGCAACAGCACTTGCACTCTAGAACTAACATTTTAGGTGAGGGGAGCAATATGACAGGACAGATTTACCATAATTCTGGAAAATGAAGAAACCTCGTGCTTCCAGGAGCTTCATTGCACAAACATGTGGTTGAACGGGGTTGAAGGCAGAATGGTCTGTTCGAATCGGGCTGGTTGATGGAGCATGGTCCGAGGAGATCTGTGAATGTGTTTAACTGTGATCGGACGGTATGTGAATCGCTTAGAGGTGTCAGAGACGATCGGACGGCTACTGGCTATGGTGTTGCCCACGGTATTGTCCACCATGATGGCGTGTGCCTGACGACGAAGCGGGATAGAAGCGAAAGTTTGCAGGGCGCGAACAGAAGTCTAGGCAACGGCAACTTCGATACAAAGACAAGCTTTGATACTATCAAAAACACAGACCTAGCAATAAGACAATCTTAGTTCAGATATTTGAGACATTCACCGCCACATCAATAAGGGACAAGCTTTTGAGAGAAACACAAAAAGTAACCTACAATTCTTAGGGCGTACAGCAAGTATGTAAGGAATTAGGAAAATTCCTTACTGAGGCACTCTGTGCGCGTACAATTCCAACTTTCGGAGTTCTGGCTCGGTCCGACGACCTCGCCTTTCGAACGTCCCTCGCGTCGCCTTCGGGTTTCCCAACCCCAAACCTGCACCCAACCATCTCGCGACTCTGCGACCTCGGCCTAGCTAGCATTGCGATATTAGTCCTAGGTCTCGTTGTTTGCTCAGTAGTTGTAATCACTTCCGTGATATTGCATTCTGCGCACTCTTCACTCGTACAACTCATAACACTTGGTATCAGATCTACTTTCCTAGGTTACCCACCAGTTTCCGGGGTAGTTTAGTGGAGGGGTGCGATAGACTTGGCAGGCTGCAAAACGGTCGGTTGAGAAATAGATACGATTATTTCGCTCCGACTAATAGCGTTTGCGCCTTCATCAAAGTCATAAAAATCTATGTTAACCCCCTACCCGTTAGGAGGGGCCTGAGAAACATGGACCAGGCCGAGTTTAACAGTTTCATGCAGGACTTTCGGGCGATGCAAGCCAACATGCAGACTATGTCTGGCGAGTTGGAGCGCCTGAGGGTGGAAAACGCCGAACTACGCCAGGCGCGAGGTGAAGCGCGCCAGGAGTCGCCCGTCGTGCTCAGCGAGCTACAAGGCTCACTAGACGCTGAAGACGAGTGGACAGCACGACAGCAACAGGCACATGAAGCGCCAGGGCAGCAGCAACAGGGACGAGCAACGCCGAGGCAACAGACGCAGTCAATGTCACGACAGGCACCAGCGACAATTCCGGCAATGGCTTCGACGGCGCCCACAGTGAATGCAGCAGCAGCAGTTTCTACGACTGTTAAAATAAAACCGACAAACCCGCCCCTGTTCAACCCCAGCGACAAAACTGTTACTGTGTCTGCGTGGTTGTTCAGCGTGGAGGTTTTCTTTAATGCTGCGCAAATTGCTGATGATGTCACCCGCATTAATTTTGCAGTGCCACTGTTACGCGGAGCTGCGTTGGAGTGGTGGAGACGAACACTTCTGACAGAGGGGACTTCGGCAGAGATATCACGCGCGAACGACGGGACCTGGACACCTATCACGCAACGAGAAACCACAATCTTCAGAGTGGCCACGATACGCACATGGACGGAGTGGGGCGCCGCGTTGCGAGCCAGATTTGAGCATGTATCCACCTCGGATTCTGCTCGCATGAAGCTGCGTGCCTGGAAGCAGGTGACATCGGTCCAAGACTACACAGCGACGTTCTGCGCCTTGGCCGACCAAGTGGACGACAAGAGTGACGCGGAGCGGCTCGATCGATATGTCGCAGGCCTCAAATATGAGGTGCAGTACGAGGTGCGACGAACGAGGCCAAGCGACTTCAACGATGCCGTCCTGCTGGCCGAATCAACGGACGCGCTGATGCAGTGGGCGAGAATGAGTTCTCGGGAGGGAAATCAGTTTCGTGGACCGCCTCGCCAGCCCACAATCAACGGTGTGGATGCGCCAAGACGTGCCCCAAACACGTGCTTCAACTGCAACCAACCAGGCCACCGGAGGAAAGATTGCCCGAAGCTGAAACAGGGGAACAGAAACGACGGAAAGGGGTCGGGAAAAGGGACGAGTCAGTAGCAGTCAAGCCACCTGGTGACGAGACCCCGTCGCCCGGCAATCAGCATCCACACCGAGTAGTGGTACCGATATGGGCTATCGACCGCAACCGAACGAATAAGGTGGATGAACATGTGGATCACCCTTTGCTGGTCGTGGGGAGGGTTAACGGTCAAAAAATAAAAATATTCGTTTATGGTGGGGCGAGCAACAGTCTCGTCAACCTGGCTATGGCCAAAAACATCGGAGTAAAGCTGGACAGGTGTCTGCCCGAGATTGATGCACAAGTGGTGGACGGGACACCGCGGGCGATCAGGGATGAGGTGGGATAAATTCGGATGAAGTGTGGCGATGATTTCGGGTTTTCAATGAAGATGCTGGCAACAACACTGGACGGTTGCAATGTGGTGTTGGGACGAGATTGGCTGCAGCGATATAATCCAACGATCGACTGGATGACGGGAGCTTGCACGGTCATGAGCAACAAGGGACGTGTGACGCTTCCGAAATGGGCGGAGCCGGAGCCGATGACGACACGTGTCAACGCGATAACGCTGAATCGAGCGATAAAAAGGGGAGCGCAAGGCTACGCCGCACATCTATACGAGGTGGTTGCGTCCGATAAAATCGCCGACATTGACACACTCTACACTGCTGTACCTGACGATGTGGCGAGCATAATTCGGAAGTATCCCGAAATTTTCCCGAATGACCTGCCTGATGGGCTGCCACCTCAACGACCAAAAGACCACTGGATCGAGCTGGAGCCAGGCGCGCAACCAACTGTTCGGTCCTAGTGGCGGCTCAGCCAACCGGAGCTCGACGAATTGCGGAAGCAATTGGATTATCTGCTCTCGAAGGGATTCATCCGGCCGAGCACGTCACCATTCGCCGCCCCGGTACTATTCACGCCGAAAAAGGACGGAGGCCTACGCATGTGCATCGACCATCGAGCGCTGAATCGGATCACAATCAAGTCGCATTACCCGATTCCGCGAGCGGACGACCTGCTGGATCAGCTTCGCGGGGCTCGCTTCTTCTCGAAAACCGACTTGCGAGGTGGCTACCATCAAATTCGCGTGTTCGCCGACGACTGCCCGAAGACTGATTTTCGCACCCGCTACAGCAGTTACGAGTATACGGTGATGCCGTTCGGGTTGACGAACGCGCCCTCGACCTTCCAGCTCACCATGAACGGGGTGTTTCGGGACATGCAAGACAAAAAAGTCATCGTTTACTTGGACGACATCCTAGTGTACAGCAAGACTCGGGAAGAGCATTTACGGGATTTGGAGGTGTTCCGGCGCTTGCAGCAGAACTGAGTGATTACGAAGGGCTCTAAGTGCGATTTCTTACAGCCGGAGCTGGAGTTCCTGGGGCACGTGGTTTCACGGGAAGGTATTAAAAGTGACCCTCGCAAAGTGACAGCGATTTCGGAGTGGAAGCCGCCTACGAACATCACGGAGTTGCAGAGTTTCCTCGGCTTCGTTAACTACGTCCGCCATTTTGTACCGAATATGGCGGGGGTAACCAGGCCGTTAACCGATCTACTGCACAAAGGCGTGCTATTTCTTTGGGGGGAGAAAAAATTGAGTTCACCCCCGATGCTTCGGCTGGTAGACCCATCTCGACCGTTCTAAGTCGTGACGGGCGCCAGCGATTTCGCCGTCAGCGCCGTCCTTCTACATGATTTCGACAACGGGCTCCAACGAATTGCGTACGGGTCACAGAAAATGCAGCCGCCCGAGCGCAACTACCCTGTACATGACAAAGAAATGCTCGTCATCGTGCATGCATTTCGTACCTGGCGCTGTTATCTTACGGGAGCCCACATCACGATCAGGACAGACCACAAGTCATTACAGTACATACACAGCCAACCACAGTTCAATCCGCGACAAATTTGGTGGATCGATTACC